GAACCTATGTAATTTTACTTGGATTTTATAATTTCTTAAGATTTCATGTGTCAACTTATGTTCTATACGTGCCATTTCCTGAATAAACAAACAAACTTGTCAATTAGATAATGTTTCCATAATTCAGGCCCGTAGCAACGGTTTCAGAAGTGCGGGGGGGGGGGGGGGGGAGCTTCCCAAGAAAATCTGACAAGCATAAAATAAGCTAATTTACTGTCCAAATCCTGGAATTTGCCAGTGCTCAACCTTGCAACATCAAAAAGTGGGGGGACAATCAGCATCTTAAGGAAAATTTACTATAGCAAAATACTATACTCAGAAAAAAGTGGGGGGGGGGGGGGGCTCCCTCGCGTTCTACGGGCCTGTAATTTATGTCGTTGTTTTGTAATTGACTTCTATGTTCACGGTCTCTATAAATTAAATTTCACAGTAACTTTTAAGATTTTATGTATATCACTGTTTACAGGATTGTAACATGTATCTTTCATTGTCCAGATTTTATATCATGAGCTCATTCTTCTTTTTTCTCTTTAGAACTTACTTTTTTTCTTCCTTTTTTTGCGTGGTATACTTCTATAATATTCAGACTGCTTGCGGGGCTCGGATCTTGAACCAAACATATTGATTAACATATATAAAGCATGTAAATCTGACGCATGTCTGGACTGATACCGCCATATTTCTGGGGAAGAGGGGAGAGGGTAGTAGTCCAGGCAAGGACAGGTTATTTATTTTCTTGAGTGTTGAGGACATATTATGTTTCAACATTTTTCAGAGCTGGGCCCAGGATCATGAAACAGACTTGGACTAAAATAATACTTTGTCAATGCTTTCAAAATTTTACTCCTCCTACATCAATAAGTACTTTTAAATTTTTAAAGAACCCAATGAAACGTCGAAATAACTCTTGGGCCTCTTGTTAAATCTAAGAATTGCCCCATAGCCTAAAAAGTATGAAATGATTAAGACTCCTGGGCCTCTTGTTAAACATAAGTATTGCCCATAGCCCAGAAGTATGAAATGACCCTGTCTCAGTGAAATATGGAGATATTATGAACAGTATTGAAGCTCAAAGTCCATTTAAACAAAACAAATCGGGAGCAGAGCAAACACGGACCTCCAAAAACGTCAGAAGTGGGACCAGGTGCCATGGAGGAGTGAGTATCCCCTGCTGACCGGGGTCACACCTGCGGTGTGTGCTCCTTGTCATGATCGGGAAAAACGGGAAAATTAATAGACAATTCAGTGTGCAAATTATGGCCGAACAATTAATATATGAAAAACGTCAATCAACATTTGACTTATGATTGGTTGTATTTGCTGACAAGGGCATTGCATCCACCATAGAACTTGCGAAATGATGACTTCAAGGAAGACTGTTGATATCCTTGTTTCATCAAGTTTTTTGTCGAATCACCTGCGAGATAAAAACCCTTATGTAGGTGACAAGGGTATATTGCTACATCAGTAAGGGAAGTTGACGAATGTCAATCAGTCTCAAATAAAGTGATGGTCACTTACCAACGAAAGATTACTTAGCAACAAGACTCTGGAACCTTGGATTTTAATGTATTCAGTTAGTTGAGCATGTTATTGCCAATGGTCTTTGGATGTACAATGGTCCTCAATCAATGTCATATAAGTATCTTGATGGGCAAAGTCACTTGGTAATTGGTTAATGAGAGTACATTCAGGCCGTAACTTCAGAAATGAATTCAAACTTGAGTTTTGTTGCTGATCACCTAAAGGTATGACATGAAGTTTGACTCAGTTAGCTCATTTTTCCAAGATCAAGGCCAATTCATCAAGGTCATAGTTATTATCAGAAAAAACATCCCGCTTCCGTTTGTTATTAACCTTGGTGTTTTATGACCATTTTGTATTTGTTTTTTTTTTTACTTTAATCTTTTTTTTTTTAATTTAAAATAAAATCTTTCACGGTAGCTCAGTCGGTAGAACTCTCGCTTCGTGATCGGGAGGTCGTGAGTTCGAATCTCGGCCGCGACTGACCAAGTCGATAAAAAATGGGTAGCAACTGTTCCTTCGCCATGCGCTCGTGTCACGGCAGGCGTTGGCACGATAAAGATCCCTCACTGCTCAATGGCCCTAAGTGCCGAGTAAAGGTCAAAATTTGAAGCCCTTCACCGGTCTATGGTGACGTCTCTATATGAGTGAAAAATTCTCGAATGGGACGTAAAACAACATACAATCAATCAATCAATCTAACATTTGCCGTCTGTATTGCTTTTGTTGGGTTAAGATGAGATGCATATTAAAGCTCATTTTCCACAGCCTTCTTCAATAATGATGTCCTGTACGAACAATTGAGGTGGATTCCGCCCATAATTTGGCTGGACGTTAAGCGTATTCCGCTTGGAATCCACAAATTCCAGGCGTAATACAGGAGGAGACGGAACTTTCTGAAATTCCGTCTCAGAGATTCCGCCTAAATTTAACAGATTCTGGTCATCAAATTCTAGGCTGAATTAGTTCATGGGGAAATACCTGGAAATTATAAATAGAAATTCCGCTTGAATTATTTGTCATCAAGGAACAACACTTAAAGTTTTTGATTGGTTTAAATACAAAAGTTAATTAATAGCATGGTCAAACTTTCTGTGCAGTCAGGTTAAGTTTGAATTTTGTTGGTTTTTGGAGGGAACAGCATAGGGCAGTGATGAAGTTTTAGATCTGGGGAGCATTTAAGTTAGATAATTTTGTTTTCATGTAGCTTAGTGATATGAATTGAATTAATAGGGTCACCTAAATGAGAGATAAGTGTGATTTTATTTTTTTATAACCTTAATGTGTTTGTAAAATGATTATTTGAATTATGATGTAATAACCTTTAGGCCATGCAATACTTCAATCATAAATTAATTGAATTCACTCTACATATATAAGTAATCATGAATTAGTTAATATATGATTATGTACTCAATCTGATTTTGGTAATAAATAAGAAGCTGATAAGCCAAACTAAATAAAACTATACAACATTCATTATTAAAAAGAAAATACAGTTATTTTAAGTCTTTAATTTATTGTAGCATCTAGTTTTTGAGTGCATGAAAGGAAATTATTTTTTAGTAACAATAATTTTTCAGTTTTCAGCAAGTCTATGCAACTTAACTGAAAGGCATTATTTTAAATAAAAATAGACTGAACAATAATTTTGGTTGAAATAAGTTTGTGGGTCAAGGAGAGATTATGCAATACTTTGGACAGTTGAGACGGAATCTATATTCAGGCTGAATCCTGTTTCCAGGAGGAGCTAATTTACATATTTTGCCTCAAATTTCCGGCCAGTCTCCTCTTGGTTTCTGCTTATATTGCCTTAACGCCTGGAATTTGACTGAGAATTGCGTCTTGATTACACCTGTTTTCCAGGTGGAACATTTCGTACAGGAAGAGAAGCCAGACTACTAATTTGAAATTTTAATGACTCAACATGTACAACTTCACATAAGACAGCACTGTAAAATGACAAAAACAAATCTCACACTAAAATTCATAAAACAAGTCATAAAATCTGAATAAAACTATAAAGCACACAAATCAGAATAGAAAACAGAAACAATTTACATATATCATATAAATAATAATATAAATAACCATTAGCAATGTATTAACACCATGATTACTGGCAACATCCCTATTCCTATTTAACATTTCAGTCGGAATTTTTTTTGTGTGTGTTTTATGTCTTTAAATCATCCCAATATCATAAAATTAACGTAATTCCATTTACAAAAGACATTCCCAAAATAAAATCCATGATCATATATTCATTTTCTACTTACTGAACATGTAGTCATATAAAGATACTATAATATTTATAAGAAAATAAACCAGCTAGACCACTATTCATGGCCTTTGGAAGTATCCATTCTGTGCATAAAATTTGATGTATTCAAGGTATACATAAAAAACAAAGAGGTCAACAACAAATAATGTACAGAAAACAAATTATAAAAAAAAAATGAAATAGAAGTCATGTATAAGAATTCGATTTACAGTGTTGGAATGCAAGATGTGGGACGGAAATACTATTAAAGTTTCTATGTTCAATAACATAGAAAATGCTGGCAAAACTGTACGACCAAGAGTTAAAACTCTAAGTCACATACTGATTATATATGTCATGTAATTAAAAAATAAATGCATAAAATATTGATTAATTGTCACCAATTTTAACAATAACAATATCACAGTCAACATAAAGAAGATTAATTTTTGGACGGGAACGTGTGTTCTTATCACCTTATTAAGTGGACAGTATCTTTAAATGTGACTTATATATCACAAATATAAACAATCAAACAAAAAAATATATATATAATACACAATAAAAAGTATTATTGTGAAATTATACAATTTATCATGACAAAACCAATGGATCATTTAAAATTCACAACTGGTCAAGTAAACTCTGAAATAATCCCAATGTGCTCAAGTTGTGCTCTCTAATGTGAAAAAAAATGTGATGTGAGAACATGAATTCTTTATATGAATAAACATCAATAAAGCAACCTGACCCACAAATGATTGTAAATCTGAAGTGTCAACTCAAATTATACTAATCTGGCCCACAAATGATTCTAAATCTATAGTGTAAACTCAAATTAATACACATGTACTAATCTGACTTTAGAAAAATAAGTGAATAAATATCTGTGTGTAAACTCAGAGTACAAATAAAATTAAATATCTGCACCAGGAAAATACATGCGCTAAACATGCTAAATCTATGTGGAATTTTATATGAAGTTAATATTGTATAAAATATTTACAAAAGTCTTGAACACACAATTATAATAAGTTAATAACAACAATAAAATTCAGAGTAAATTAATGTAAATGTTGTTGATCATTAATAGACAAACACTTGCTATTTGTGACAAGAGCTTCCATTTTAACTGTTTGACAAAGATAATGCAATTAAATCAGTCACAAAATTCAAACAAAATATGTGTTTGAAGATTCAATAATTGGGAAAACACAATTATGGACTTTTTATATTTAAAATAGATCTTCTGAAACAACATCAAATGAGTTACTGTTGTGCAAAATTCTGGGAAAATTGTATCCGAAACATCGAAAGTAATACAATTTTACCTACTTTGCATGCATGCATGTCAACATTTACTTACAATATACACCATTTTGTTATGTACCCGAATTCACTGAACACCTTAAATAATTTTAAGTACATGTTTATAAATTCTGTCATAACAATATTTAAAGAATCATATCCCTGATTTAAACAAAACTTCAATAACATATTTTTGTAGACTCCTGTAAAATTTAAATACTAGTACTTTTTTTTTAATTTTAGACCAAAAAAAAAAAATTAATCTTCATGATTGTGAAGATCAGTTGGTCTGCACATAAAATCTGGGAGATTAGTTGGCTTGTACATTAGATCTTGGAGATCAGTTGGAATGTACAGACCTCGGAGTTCAGCAGGCCGAATGGCAAGTCGGTTACTACTCATCTTAGATCCTAGAGATCAGTTCCTACATTAGATATTCATGGCGAGATCGGAGAGCATCTGTGAATAATTTTGTTCTATACTAAGAGAGGGTAGAGTGACAGACTTGTCTCCATCGCGCAGAGTCACTAACTGGAGAGTTGTTGACCCGACCTGACCCTGCCTCGATTCCAGAGATAACTGGGGAAACAACTTCTGAGTGACTGCATCCACTAGGTACGGATCATCACCAGAAATTAGAGCTTTAGTTCCAGTCTCTCTTGGAACAGCCATCTTTCTTGGTCTAAAAAAATGCAAACAAAACAAGGCTTACATGGAAATCACCAACTGTGGTAAAAAAATTGTGTGTGAATTCAGTTAATTAAAGTAGTTGCACAGTTCCACTTGCTGTGTAAAAATTATAAGAGGGTCTCTTTACCTTCCCCTTTTAATTTGTGAGGAATTTTTCTTGTCTTCTGCTGCTCTTTCGAACAAATGTTTCAAGAGTAAATCTGTGTCCCCTGTGATGTAGACTTTACGCTCCGGTTGTCTAGACTGCTTTTTGTGTCGCTCCTTGTCATCAGGGGGCGTGATCGGTCGCATATCTGTAAAAACAAGATATTGTACAATTTCAAAACATGATATTAAAATTAATTTCAAATCAAACCACATACTTCCTTCAGCTAAATTATGGAAAGACAGGTCATCCAAAGATTTTAAATCCAGAACATAGAAATAATTGTACCCTGCAATTATTGGTTTTATTACTAGATTTTCTGTCTTGTAAGTGTTTGTGTGTTATCAATATGTTTTTTGTCTCTCTCTGTCTGTACCTATTTATATTTTCTTTTCGGTTCTTTTCAAATGAAACTTAGCAAAGCCTCCTTAGACACAAAGAACTAGAAAAAAAAAATAAAAGCTGAGACACTCATGCTTCCTTTTTTAGTTTAACACATGCTTATGGTGGGAGGACAAGGAAAACATGAACATTTATCACTGACACATTGAAAGAGTACATAACTGCAGCAAAGAAGTTTGTTTAAAACTTAATTCTCAAAACAAATTTCAATGAATTCACTCTACTGAAAATTGAATGTATTCATTATAATTAACATTGTCTATGAGGCCTGTTTGGAAATTAGTGAGTCATCTTTCTAAAATTCTAATGAACATATTTCAGTAAAAATTGGCATACAGGTTTAACAAAAACTAACAATAAATAAAGCAAGAAATTCTTCAGAAATGTTTCATTTCTTATTTTCAATGATATTTTATTCAGTTGTCAATAGTAGGGTTACCGGGCTAAGTTACGAAATCAGATAAATATTTGATTTTGTGGAAGTTTGATAGAATTTTCATCCGAAACACAGATACGTTTCATAAAAATAATATCACGGTATAGAAATCTGATAATGATGGCAAAATGAATTTTGAGGCTAATCAGTGGGCATACATAAAATCTGGTGTAGCACTGAGGAGCTGCTAAAACAAGCAAAGGATACATCTCTGGGGCTTTGGTTTATCAATGGTATAAACTTTTTTAGACAAATTATTCAACCAGACTTACAAGAGTAAAATCAAAGGAGAGCATCAATTATTATGGATTAAATAAAATAAAGTCGGCAGTTTTTCGAGTCAGTACAGCATGATACTAGTTAAACTGTGAATGACATTTCATGACATTTGACATGGGGCTAGCTACAAATTACAGATTATTAACTAAGTGTTTAAGAAAAGAAAGAACTTGATTTAACTAATGGCAGAAAAAGAAGAAATTTTATGCTTTGTGTTCGTTTCAATGTGAGAAAAGTTACATTCTATGCTGAAGTGGAGTTAAAATGATGTAGCAATGACATCTGCGGACTGTTCCAGGTCAATGGACATATGTAGATTAACAATTTCATCAGGCCTTATCTAATGATGCTATTAACTAGAAATATTGCACATTTGTTCTATTTATTCTCTATAAAATATTGGATTTTCATGAATTGATCTCTTCCTTCTATAGAGTTAAAGTAAATGTCTCAGTAATTTCCAGACAGCCCTCATATAAATGGTTTATATATCTCACCTGTGATATCTTCATTGGAGTCTTTAGATCCAAGGGGAGGTAAAGAGGGAAATAGAGGGGCAGGAGACACAGGGTTGGGAACGTTGGGCTGTTTCCAAAATGACTGTGGCAATGCTCTCAATCTCATCGGAACAGACTCTGTGGTAAAATAATTAATCATTGTTTTAATCATTGTTATACATAAAAAGGACTCATCAACAATGAGAGTTTATCCTGCTGTATCATTTGTGCCTTTTTAATTTGATGCATACAGCCTATCAAATGATCTGACAATGCCTGTTTTACTTAAATTACAAATCTGAAAACTGGTTGAAAATGTACAGAACACAGTCTGTACTCAGTGTACTGGTCACAATACTACTGAATGAATATTTATCAAAGAAGAAAAAAAAAAAGATATCAATTATTAAAGAGTAGATTGAAGGATAGAAACTCTTACTCATCCTTTACATACCTCTCTTGGGTCGAACTTTTGGAGGAGTTGGTGCTCTTTTCTTCAGGGCAGATTTAAAGTCAAACACAGTCGTCTTCTTCTTTTTCACTTTCTTGATTTCCTGTGCATGATGTTTGAATCCTGGTGGCCTTATGTACACAGGGCCACTGGCCGTGCTGCTCCCACTGGGGGAGGCTGCAGGCTCATAGTCATGATCATGCTCATAAGCATGTTGGATAGATGAACTACTATTCACACTGGAACGAGGGGATGGCGGTAAACTCTCCTCTTCATCACTTGACGTGACCAGAGGTCCAGGTGCCCCACGCTTAGACCCCTGCTGAGGAAATGTCACTTTGTCATTATCTACCTGTCCTTCTTCTTTAATTTCTGTTAACGGTACATTTGCACGCCTGCCTGCTTGTGAGGCAATCTGAGGCTTTTCCTCCCCATCATGATTGACTAGACTATTTGTTGGAATAATTTTCTTTAATCCATAGGATTTATAGGATGCTGACTCTTCATCATTATTCAGAACAATAATATTTGATAAAGTTGATTTTTTAACACATGCTAATTTAGAATCTTCATCCACATTTACTGCAGTTAATCCCGATGGTGCTCTCTTCCCTCCATAGGATTTCTGTGAATTGCTGTTACTTATAGGTAATGTTTCCTCTTCATCTGTATATGTGTGGAACCCATGCGGAGCCTTTTTTCCACCGTAAGATTTCTGTGGGATGGTGTTACAGTTTATGTGTGGTTCCTCTTCATCTGTATACGAGTGGAAACCATGTGGAACTTTTTTACCTCCATATGATTTCAGAGGAATGCTGTTACTAATATGTGACTCCTCTTCCTCAGTGTATGAGTGAAAGCCATGTGGAACCTTTTTACCTCCATAGGATTTCTGTGTTGAACCCAGGCCAAAATTTACATCTAGAAGAGGAACTTGTGCCATCTCTTTAATTGTTATCAGTCGTAAAATTTCCTTCAATAAAACAGTTCATTTTAAGCCTATATCCATCTTAAAATCATTACATCTCAGAATTGATTTGTCTATGTATTTAACAGTAAAACAACATTTAGAGATTTAACTTTATATTATAACTTGCATCGACATGTTCTTGTCATGATTTATCAAATAATTCAGTCATTGTTGTCGCCCGTTTAACATAAGTAAAAAACTACTAACCTTAAATTCATTTTAACGATTTAAATCATTGTGCCGACGTAAAAAATTAGTACGGCCATTAATGTTGTTTACATGTTTTTGACATCGTCGCCATGCATTTGTAAACAAATCTCCGATGGACATAAAACTGGTTCCCATGCATAGTTTGGGTATAGTCTTGATTATTCAGATGCTTGTCTTTATTATACTGCGAAGTAGACGAAGCATCTTGATGATCAAGACGATTGTAGGCTACCTTGAGAAACCAGCAAAATGACGTCATATTACAAGTAAAACTCCATACAGTAGGCCCTAGTATCTGCTAGATATTAATAATAGACATAAGATGTGTAGTTTTTAAACAATTAAAAAGGTATAAAGCTCTAGATATCAATGAAGACAAACAATGTACGGATTAATCAAACAGTGCAATTTTAGGCGCGAGCTATCAAAATCTTGTCACACCGGAAACGCATAAAAATAAATTGTGTCAAAGAAGCAGGTAAGCATTTGGATTTTTTGTAATTTCGGAACTTAATTACTTTCAAAACTGAATGGGAACGTATACGTCCGATTGAAACCATATCTTAAAAAAATTTCTAGTTAGAATAATCTAACTGTGTCTCGGGACTAGCCCTCACCACAGTTAGAATGAATGTCAGACACCTCGGCCTAACGACATCGAGTGCGGGACGGTTCGCCCCAAAAGACCATTCGCGCTGAGACGTTTCGCCCCCACACGGTTCGCGCCGAAGATCAATTAATTAATTATGCGGTAATTATCAATTGTTAAGAGCAATTATTAACTTATATAGCATTACTCAAAATCACAAAGAAAATTGGAGTCAGTGTGCATCCTATAGAGCAACGGTAAAATGAACTTGACACCCGTCTCATAATTTTAATTCTCCTCTTTATCTTGACATGGAGAGTCTCCAAATTATAGTTATAACACCTTAGTTACAAAACTGAATCAGAGAATTATGATTGCTGAATAAATATATTTATATCTGCACATGGATAATTATACATTTAATTATGGTATAAGCCTATTTTCAACAATTTAAGCATGAAAACTTTTTTAGTAACTTTAAAACATTTTTTAAATGAAATCAATATTAACCTTATGTATAAATATTTATCTTAAAACATCGTAATATATCGTTATAGACACTGTAGATTAAATTCGGCGCGAAACGTCTCGGCGCGAAAGGTCTTTAGGGGCGAATGGTCTCGGCGCGAACCGTCAATAGTGGTGAAACGTCCCGTTACCACGTCTTGGCCCATTGACACCTCGGCCCCGACGGGTCGGCCCAAGATTTGAGACACCTCGGCTCACGTAAAAGACACCTCGGCACAAACAAAAATGTATTATTTTAAACATATTTTATTGATATTTTCTTAAGTATTTTATTATTATAGGGACTATATGCGACGGATTATATTACTATATATCCATGAAATAAAAAAGAAAATAATTGAATAAAAAAATAATTAAAAAAAAAGATTGTCTGTCACATAGTGCTAATCGTTAAACAAACAAGAAGACGCAGCGCATCCTTTGAAGTCTCAAGCGTGTGTCATATGGGGTGGTGACAATGAGGAGTTAATTACGAGCAGGCTAAATTAATCCAATTGTTGGGTATAAACCACATATCTTCCTTGGTTGGTTTAGGGAAATATGCTGTCGTTCGTTCAAAAATTCTTAAATTATATGCCCCTGTTTATCGTATACATATTGTCATTATAAACATACATACATTTATATTACCATAGTGAATACAGATAATAATTCTAAAAAAAAATTGCTTGGGCCGAGGTGTCTTTAGTATGGACCGAGGTGTCAATAATTTTGGGCCGACCTGCCAGGGCCGAGGTGTCAAGCGTGATGGGCTGAGGTGTCGTTGGGCCGAGGTGTCTGTCTACTGTTAGAATATGTCCCATATACTTGCAATGTAGCAAATCGGAGTGGATCCACTCCGAAATGATTTTGAATAATACAAAAGGAGTTGCACTGAAAATAACTACCAAATTAATCATAACAAACCTTATTGAGATGTTATGTGTCTTTTAACCTAAAAAATAATCCATATAAAATTCAACTCATTTTCTCAACGTTTTTTCCTCGCTTCAAATTTAACGCCATGTTGACATTCGGAACTCTCTGGATTGTTCATAGAAAATGCACAGAGCACGAGTTATCGCTCGTGTTTATTTTGCACAGAGCACGAGTTATCGCCCGTGTTTATTTTGCAACATTGCCAATACACAGAACGAATTCTATCGTTAAACCTGGTCTGTGGGACAATATCATTTTAACGATAGAACGTTCTATCTAAAATATTTCAAATTCAAAAAATTTAAACTATTCCCAGTTTTTAGGATTAAAAGATCTGACATGGAGAGGGTAAAAAAAAAAAATCAAATATACTTTGCGTAATTGTGATTGCCATTTTCTTGTTTAGGGTTGGGGTCACAGATACTTGTTTCTGTGATAATTTTTATAACCCATAGTAATATGTGTTGTGGTCCCATCGTTGAGGCAAGCGTAGTTGTATACCATAAAAAAAACCCTTTACGTAGCTTACACTTTAAACTTTGATCTTCCTCTTAAAACCACATGAGACAGTCTGGAATTTGATGTCACATGACCAGGGCTCGACATTAACGCTTGTCCGGTACCAGTGAAAAAAAATTACGGACAAGTGAATATTGCTGGGCACTTGTCCGATTGGACAAGTGCATTTTAATGTAAAGAAGTCTTCAAATAATAAAATGAAAGTTCATCAGTAAAGACGGAAAGCAGTACATAAAAAATCGAACTTCGATCCCGATATGGATCGCTATGTAATTGAGTTCACACTTGATTGGGATCGAAGTTCACTAATTGCATGAAATATATGGAGATAACGAACAGTATTCAAGCTCAAAAGTCCATTATACAATACAAAATAGGAGCAGAGCAAACACGGACCTCCAAACATCAGAGGTGGGATCAGGTGCCATGGAGGAGTGAGCATCCCCTGCCGACCGGTCACACCCGCCGTGTGCTCCTTGTCATACTACTGCAAAGGCATGAAAGTTACGTCGAGTTACAAAGTTTAGATTCTGTTTGATGATTGTGAACATATATGTTGTTGTCAGGATTGAAAGTCTAGATAAAAGTTTGTTTTTATGTGTTTGTTGTATTTATCAATAATATCACAAATCAATCACATGTAATGGACTTTATTTTAGTTTTCAAGTTGACAGTATTGTATCTTTATTGAACAATTTTCGGACAAGTGAAGTTGAAGTTCGTACAAGTAAGTGTCTTGGTCACTTGTCCGATAGGACAAGTAGGGAAAAAAGTTAATGCCGAGCCCTGATGACGTGTTTGTAAGTTGCATTTCCCTTACTGAGTCTAAATAGGCCTTTTGCAATTTTGTAATGAAAGGCATATTAGATCAGAGCTGAAATGGTTGTTTGAATATTCATGAATGAATAGTAAATGGCGAATATTTGAAAGAAAATTTAGCATTCGAATATTTGGTCATGTGTCTAATATTTAAATGTTTTCTTTGTTGATTGAATTCTATTGGTACTTGACCGATTGAAATTTATAGTACAGTGTATTAAATTTAGGGGTGCAACGATACACCAACCTCACGATACGATACGTATCACGGTATTCAGTTCATGATATGATACGTATCATGAGACATGACGATGTAAAGAAGTCTTTCAAGTTTGTCATCATATTTTTTAAAACTCGACAGGGTTATATCAAATGTTCATATTTTTTGATAATTAAAATGTCAATTTGTTAACTTTATTTGGATTGATAGGTAGATTTTTGAGTTTTAACAATATTCTAAACCAATGAAGAACATTTACATGGAACTACGGTAGCCTGATATGACTTATTTATAGAAGGGGGCCTTTCCTCATAAACTTCCTTTTAAATTGGAATGAAAAAGAAAGACATTCATTCTTTTATTCCTTTTATTTACGTAGAAAACCAGTTGTCATATTTCTTGTGTTATCACATTCTAGTCCACAAGTTGGATATACACACGTGATGAGATACCGTGTATTACCATAGAATACGTTTAGATCTAAAGGGTTTATCACTTGTCTTAACATCTATAACTTTTAATCACATTAGGAATGAGATAAAGTCCTTCACCCTGTTAAATCTGAGATCTGAAAGATGCTGTAGATGAGTTTAATTGCCGTTACTGCATTATCGTAGACCTGATGTTTTGCGCAGAAGCCATTTTGAAATTGTAAACAAGGAAACAAAACGGACAATTCAGATAATTCTGGACCGATTGAACCGAACCGTGATATCAGTTTAGCGTATCGTGAATTGAACGGTGAAAAAATATACTGCGATATACCGTCAAACGGTTAATTGTTGCACTCTTAGTATTAATTAGGATTTAGCGATTTTATTGTTTGTTGTCTGTACAGTAAGGATTCATTTCTGTCTTGTAGATGTCAGGACTGATTGAAATAACCATTGTCTTTTGATTCATTTCTCTCTTGTGTATTGTAGACATCATGACTGATTGAGGTTAACTTGTCTGTTGATTCATTTCTTTCTTGTCTATTGTAGACATCATGACTGATTGAAATAACCATTGTCTGTTGATTCATTTCTGTCTTGTAGACATCATGACTGATTGAAATAACCATTGTCTGTTGATTCATTTCTGTCTTGTCTATTGTAGACATCATGACTGAGTTTAATCATTGTTTGTCTTGTCTAATGTAGACATCATGACTGAGTTTAACCATTGTCTGTCTTGTCTATAAAGATGTCATGACTGATTGAGTTTAATCATTGTCTGTCTTGTCTATATAGACATCATGTCTGAGTTTAACCATTGTCTGTCTTGTCTAATGTAGATATCATGACCAAGTTTAACCATTGTCTGTCTTTTCTATAATTTATTGTAGACATCATGACTGATTGAGTAACCATTGTCTGTCTTGTCTATTGTAGACGTCATGACGGATGGAGGTTCAGCCCTCTCTGTTGCAGTCGTCTGCTCCAGTAATCAGAATAGAAGCATGGAGGCACATAGCTTTTTAAGGTACCAGGAGGTCATAAAAGATATCTCATTGGACTTAATTGGTGAAGAAAAATGAATGTGTATATTCTTACAAGTTACAACCAAACATTTTCTATGATTTGAACAAAGTAGAGATAGAAATGATTTTATTTGATCTGAAATTCTTCCCATCAGAATTTTTTTCACATATAATTTATCTTGGGATATTCTGGCTCGATGTCCTGCTCCACTTGCTTCATTTTACAGAGATATTTTGTTTTTGTCTTTACAATGTACATGTAGTGAGAGATATAGGGAAAGATTTTCCGTTTCTTTTTCTCCAGTAAGTATTGCAAACAAGCTGATATTTTATTTTGAATGAACCAATAAGAATTTGGGTTATAAGCCCAGTTAGGATATCTCTATTTGTTATTGTCTTCAAAGAATAAATTGTATCAACATGTCTCTATCTCCATAGTAAGCGGGGATACAATGTCCGATCTCTTGGAACTGGTAGTCAAGTGAAGTTACCAGGAGCCACTTTGGACAAGCCCAATATTTATGATTTCAACACGACCTACGATGAAATGTACAGAGACTTAATGAGAAAGGACCCAGAATTGTATCCTCCTCATCAAAACAACTCAAAAATATTAAATTACTTTTCAGTAATTATGTTCCTCCCAAAATGTTTGGAAATATATTGATCTAAATTTGTTTCTGTTTTGTTTTTCTTTTTTTTTAATGACAATGTCAAGTTATTGATTCCATACTGATATAACCATCAAACAAGCTCTCATAGACTTCATGGTTGTTAATGATAACAAAGTTTTGAATTAACTGAAATTTGCCTCTTTCAATTTCGTATTGGTTTTGTAATCAGAAAAATACAAAAGATGAAGTTAATTACACATTTTGCAATCATCATGACATATCTTGTGTGATAACTCCTGAACAACACAGATATACACAGAATGGAATTCTTCATATGCTGGACAGAAACAGAAGAATTAAACCAATGCCAGAGAGATTTCAGGCCTGCAAGGAGAAATTCAATGTCATCATCACATGTGAAGAAAGAGTGTATGATCAAGTTATAGAAGGTCAGAAACTTATTTTTGTTGAATCAGAGTTTCTACAGCTCATCTTATTTTACATTCCTCAACTCACATTTGAGCTTTGCTGAGATTATAGTTATATTACTTTCAATCAAATTGAGTATCTTTTTTAAAATAAAGGTAAATATATGTATATTTTTTTGTTTTATTGTTTTTAGTTTTTAAGAGTCTGAGGCTTTTTTAGCTTACCTGAACCAAAGACACAAGTGAATTTTTCTGATCAAAATGTTTCCTTTGTTGTCGTTATCCTTTTAAAATTGCACATTTTCTTTTTTTTCTCCATAATCTCTGGGCAGTAAACAATCAAACTGCATCAAACTTGGCACTGAATAATTTTAATTTTAAAAACCCTCAGAAATGGCAGGATCCAAATGAGGTTTTTTTTTGCAGATAAAGACAAGCATCCCAAGATAAAGTAGATACATGTTTTGTCAAATAATAACTCTCTGTCAGAGGTTAATCTGGTCTGGTACTCCTGTAGGGTATCAACGTTTTGAAAATCAGTAATATAGATACATGTAGGGAAATCTTTATTTTAAAAACTTCAAAAGAGTTTGTATTGATAAGCATGTATCCTTATGTACATTAGATACGAATGGCTTCTGAGGCTTAGATCGGTCTGTCTTTGAAGTTTAAGCTTTATTCACGAATTTATAAACAAATCTACTACAGAATGACAAAGCTGTAAGTATACAAACATGCTTAGAAGCATTCTTATGCTGTATGTACCAGTGTTTAATTTATCAAGGTCTTGGCAGTCAAAGTGAGACTACTATTCAGGTACAGATTTCTTTTACAGGAACAAATATGTTTTTTAAAATTTCTCGTATTACTTTACAAGTTTACAAGTACTTCTGGGGCAGAGTCTCAGGGTTAAAGAACAGAGGTTTACATTAGAAGAGTAGGACAAAGCCAGTACAAAGCTACAGTTAGTCAACTTGAAATTAGGTGACAGTTAATAGCATTTAGAATATAGAAAATATGGTTTAAAGGGGGAGTTTCGATAAGGCCGCTTATCGGCCCACTTATTTTCATAAAAATAAATTTCGTTTTATTTTTTCAAAATTGGTTTAGAATTCAAGATATATATGTTAATTTTTGTTATTTACATTTCAAGAGTTTATATGAGATGAATTCACGCCGTAGTTGGGACATTCTTAGATGTACCCTCAAATGCTTTAACATTAGGCTAATGGGAAAATATAAGAGGGTGGCATATATTAATCGATGGTTAGAAAATGAAGTGCATGAGGGACACTCACCTAGTTTTGTTCAGTAATTGGATATACTCTGCACACTAATATCTTAAAATATGATGAGTGTCGCGTGTGCACTTCATATGCAAAAACTGAAAATTGTCTAAAATTTGCATATCTAAAATTAGAAGCTCCTGGTTACTTGATCTTACGCCGTGTAAAAATACAAAGCCAAAAGTAGCATATTTTTTTCTAAACCAAAGAGAACTCTCGAAAATATAAACATTAGAAAACATAATCGTATCCCAGAGTTATGTCCATACTTATTTCGTCGCCCGCGTATAACGTTAACGTCACATATTTAGCTCACCTACACGAAGTCGGGGAGCTTTTGTAATACCATCGTTATAGGCGTTCCAGGTTATTAAAAGTTTTTAATCATTTTTTTCATATCATCAGAGTCGCCTGATCTAGTGTGTTTTCTTGTCATCTGTCGGGTTTCAGATGCTGCATTTTCAGTTAAAGAACGTCCAGGTTAATGTTTTTAAAGCATGCAGATTAATGTTTATGGAGCAGTGCAGCTATAAGCACTTGTTGAGAAGACGTGCTTCATGATGCATCTTCGGATGCACACTGTCAGACTTGCTTTAGATTCTAGATCTGACTTACATTTTCTTGATGAATGCTCAGGGTATATATTTTGGAGCATGTCTTATTTTCATGTAACTATAATCCTTATCTTGAAGAAATATGCACCGATGATGCATTTAGAGTTACACATTACCAGAACTTTTACAGATGCCGAATCTTACATTTTCAGAATGACTGACTGAACTAAAGAGAAGTTTAAGAATCTGTCCATTCATTAACGTTCTTTATCAAGGATATGGTTATAGCCATTCCTTTGAATAGAAACTCTCCTCGCTTCAATCTGCTAGAGAAGGTTCACATATATTTCCGTGTGGTCTACATATAGGGAATGTAGATTACTTTTAAGACTGGATGTTGATTTGTACGTTTCTGCAGGATATGATTTTACACATACATTTGGTATTTACAAATGTATTTTAAATTGCGGCTATGGTCTAGCAAATCAAATAGTGACTAAAGTTGGTGAAACAACATAAGCATCTAAAGGAAGTTGGGAAGCACGAGGAATTACATGTAGGTCCTCGCTTGTCTGAATTGTCTCATTTTTGCTGAAAACATAATGTACCTCTTTATGTGCGTAAATATTTTTAAGTTTAAGAATGAATAGAAGACATGCACTCAATGTATTTTAGTTTTTTTTTATCATTTGGCTATTTATTCACGCATTCTGTAAGCACTGCATTAGCAATAATAGTCCACTATCAGCACACCAAGTATAACCTGGTTTCCATTAAAAATTGAAAATGCCCTATTTGAAAAATCATTGAAGCGGAAGAAAATGCCAACTTGATATATAACTCATACACCAAAACAAAAATCAGCTCAATATATGCGATTTTTATTTTTTAGAAAAAACAAAACAAAACAAAAAACACCGAAAACCCCCCCCCCCTTTTTTTGAAATTTGAAATATTCCGTCAAAAATCAATAAAGCAGAATTTAACGAAATTCAAACTTGAATATCAAACTCTGTTTCTCATCAGGATACACTATAAATACCAAAGCCAGCTCAATATCTGCAAGCGTTTAGAGAAAAGTGCGAAAAACCAAGTGGAACAGACTGACAGATAGACAGAGGGACGGACGGACAACGGACAGACTATGAGGAAACCTATTGACCCCTCCGGCTTCATCGGTATGGGTCTAATAATTACTATCTTGATAAAATATTTTGACTGGTAGTAATACGCTTTGTATTATTAAATACAATGTACATTGCAGTATGATTCTTTTAAATATACTTTTAAAATATAAATATCTGCATTTTTAATCGTACCGAATTCCGAAATCTGTTAATTTCAAGATTTTTTTTAAAATTCAATTTAATGATATTACGGTACATTTTATTAATACTATAATTAGCACAATGACTTTAGTTGATAAAGATGTGTTGCAAACAGTGTCAAACACCTGTCAATGGCAGTTTACGTTTATCTATCTCTTGTCTATATATCTTTAAATTTGCTTTTCTACGTACGGGAAAATGTTATTTATTGATTATTAAGTCTAAGTATAAACTGTCGATTAATTCATTTTTTTGAAAATTCCTGTCTTTATTATTCATATACGTTTTATATGTTACATTCATCCTCTTTGAAAGAAAAGTTACAATTAAAACGCATTCAAATAAAATAAATATCATTAATTTTCTGTAAAGAAAAATATTGAAATTGGTTATTTGATGCCTTTATTCACATTTGTAATATTTCATTTATGATTTTGACGTTAAATAAACTCCATTACTCCCTTTAAATATGACCCCTCCAAAAATATAGGGAAGAGGGTATACTTAAATTTTTAATTATCACTTGACCAAGAAATGTGCAGTATAAATTTTTTTCATATTTTTAGGAAGATAACACTTTTATCTACAACATATCACAATTTCATTATATTTCTTGAGGGGCCGAAAAACAGCCTTATCGAAACTCCCCCTTTAGGAACACAAAAAGGGATTTCATTTGTATGCATTCATCTAGCTGGAAAAAAAATGCAAATCAGATGAGCATCTGTGGCCTATGGACCTCTTGTATTCTTGAGGAAGATTTAGTATATTTAGGCTTAATAGTTTTAGAGACATTTAGCTTACAACAGGGTCAAACACAGTTTAGTCCAGGTAGATTTGTTGAAATATATTAATCTTCTATTTCATACTTAGACTTTGAAACGAGAGAAAAAGAAGACATGCAGCCAGCTCACATCATAAACATTGACATTCAGGACAATCACGAGGAAGCTACAATAGGAGCCTTTCTGATTGGAGATCTGGTTACCATGGTAAGAGAGCTTATATCTGAGTGGAGATCTGGTTACCATGGTAAGAGAGCTTATATCTGATTGGAGATCTGGTTACCATGGCAAGAGAACGAGTTTATATCTGATTGGAGATCTGGTTACCATGGTAAGGGAGTTTATTTGTGATTGAAGATCTAGTTACCATGGTAAGAGAACTTATTTCTGATTGGAGATCTTGTTGCCATGGCAAAGAGTTTCTTTTTGATTTGATATCTGGAACCATGGTAAGATCTTGTTTCTTATTTAAGAATGATAAAGGAGTTTATTTCTGATTTAAGCTCTGGTAACCATAGTAAGAAAGTTTATATCTGATTAGAGATTGGTTACCATGGTAAGGAAGTTTATTTCTGATTGGAAGTCTTGTTCTTATGGTATTAGATTACTCCTGGAGATCTGGTTACCAGGTTAAGAGAAGCTATTTCTGATTGGAGATTTGGTTACCATGGCTAACCGTTTCTTTTTGATTGGAGATATGGTAACCATGGTAGGAATTCATTTCTTATTTAAGATCTTGTAATGATGATAGGAAAGTTTATTTCTGATTTAAGATCTGGTAACTATAGTAAGAGAGTTATATCTGATTAGAGATCTGGTTACCATGGTAAGAGCGCTTATTTTTCTTTGGAGATCTGGTTACCATGGTAAGGGAGTTTATATCTGATTGGAAATCTGGTTACCGTGGTAAGAGAGCTTATTTTTCTTTGAAGATCTGGTTACCATGGTAAGGGATTTTATATCTGATTGGAAATCTGGTTACCGTGGTAAGAGAGCTTATTTTTCTTTGAAGATCTGGTTACCATGGTCAAACAACTTAATTCTTATAAGAGTGCATTCATGATCCTAGTAGCAAATTAGCTCTACATAGAGCTATGATCCAATCTGATTGAAATTAGATCTTCCATCCACTCCCCATTTTTTTATACGCCTCGTGACATATAAAAAAAACAGGGAGCAGATGGAAGATTTAATTTTAATTAGATTGAGCTGTGATCTTAAATGATATGCTAGCTAAATCCCTTGTTGGGAAAACTAGCTAAAAGATTTAATGCTAGATACTAAATCAAAGATGGCCACTTTGGCTACTGCTTCACATCAGATGACATATTTTTATAAGTGAAGTTTTCTTCTTCAGCAATTTGCTCTAAAAAATTAACTACTGCTAGGTTAGCAGCCATTAACAGAGCTTGATATCTTAAATGTAGCAGTTAGTTTAGCTTCTACAATCTTGAATGCAGCCCTGGTTACATAGTAAGAGCATTTATTTCTGATTGGAGATCTGGTTACCATGGTGAGATAGCTTATTTCTGATTGGAATCTGGTTACCATGGTGAGATAGCTTATTTCTGAGTGGAGGTCTGGTTACCAAGGTGAGATAGCTTATTTCTGAGTGGAGGTCTGGTTACCATGGTGAGATAACTTATTTCTGAATGAAGGTCTGGTTACCATGGTGAGATAGCTTATTTCTGATTGGAATCTGGTTACCATGGTGAGATAGCTTATTTCTGAATGGAGGTCTGGTTACCATAGTGAGATAGCTTATTTCTGAGTGGAGGTCTGGTTACCATAGTGAGATAACTTATTTCTGAGTGAAGGTCTGGTTACCATAGTGAGATAGCTTATTTCTGAGTGGAGGTCTGGTTACCATGGTGAGATAACTTATTTCTGAGTGAAGGTCTGGTTACCATAGTGAGATAACTTATTTCTGAGTGAAGGTCTGGTTACCATGGTGAGATAACTTATTTCTGAGTGGAGGTCAGGTTACCATAGTGAGATAGCTTATTTCTGAGTGGAGGTCTGGTTACCATAGTGAGATAACTTATTTCTGATTGGAATCTGGTTACTATGGTGAGAAAGCTTAATTCTGATTGGAATCTGGTTACCATGGTGAAATAGCTTATTTCTAATTGGAATCTGGTTACCATGGTGAGATAACTTATTTCTGAGTGGAGGTGTTTATCATGGTGAGATAGCTTATTTCTGAGTGGAGGTCTGGTTACCATGGTGAGATAGCTTATTTCTGAGTGGAGGTCTGGTTACCATGGTGAGATAGCTTATTTCTGAGTGGAGGTTTGATTACCATGGTGAGATAGCTTATTTCTGAGTGGAGGTCTGGTTACCATAGTGAGATAGCTTATTTCTGAGTGGAGGTCTGGTTACCATAGTGAGATAGCTTATTTCTGAGTGGAGGTCTGGTTACCATGGTGAGATAGCTTATTTCTGAGTGGAGGTTTGATTACCATGGTGAGATAGCTTATTTCTGAGTGGAGGTCTGGTTACCATAGTGAGATAGCTTATTTCTGAGTGGAGGTTTGGTTACCATAGTGAGATAGCTTATTTCTGAGTGGAGGTCTGGTTACCATGGTGAGATAGCTTATTTCTGAGTGGAGGTCTGGTTACCATGGTGAGATAGCTTATTTCTGAGTGAAGGTCTGGTTACCATGGTGAGATAGCTTATTTCTGAGTGGAGGTCTGGTTACCATGGTAAAATAGCTTATTTCTGAGTGGAGGTCTGGTTACCATGGTGAGATAGCTTATTTCTGAGTGGAGGTCTGGTTACCATGGTGAGATAGCTTATTTCTGAGTGGAGGTCTGGTTACCATGGTGAGATAGCTTATTTCTGAGTGGAGGTTTGGTTACCATGGTGAGATAGCTTATTTCTGAGTGAAGGTCTGGTTACCATAGTAAAATAGCTTATTTCCGAGTGAAGGTCTGGTTACCATGGTGAGATAGCTTATTTCTGAGTGGAGGTCTGGTTACCATAGTAAGATAGCTTATTTCTGAGTGAAGGTTTGGTTACCATGGTGAGATAGCTTATTTCTGAGTGGAGGTCTGGTTACCATAGTGAGATAGCTTATTTCTGAGTGGAGGTCTGGTTACCATGGTGAGATAGCTTATTTCTGAGTGGAGGTTTGATTACCATGGTGAGATAGCTTATTTCTGAGTGAAGGTCTGGTTACCATAGTGAGATAACTTATTTCTGAGTGAAGGTTTGGTTACCATGGTGAGATAGCTTATTTCTGAGTGGAGGTCTGGTTACCATAGTGAGATAGCTTATTTCTGAGTGAAGGTCTGGTTACCATGTTGAGATAGCTTATTTCTGAGTGGAGGTCTGGTTACCATGGTAAACACATCTTAAACTTCTCAGAGACTTGGGTACTTTAAATGTAAAAAAAATTGATACGCTACATTGTTTTTTGTTGCTCTATAACATTTGTCGACAAAAACATGCTTCATTCTTTACTTGTGTTCAAATTTTTCTGATTAAGGTTAATGTTTTATAGCTGTTTGAATCAGAAGATCTAGACAATGATATAGATGAGATTTTACAAGACTTTGAGCCGCGAGCTGGCAGGCCCATCCTCCACACTGTTTGTTTTTACTGATGTGTGGTCTACAGTGAAGGTAATGATTACTGTTTACATAGTTTTTATATCAGTTCAGTTTGTATTCAAATTTAATTAATGATTTCTGTGTCCTTTATTTAAGCATTGAATTATTATTTGAAAGATGTAGTCACATAACTGTAACAGTGTGTGCAAACAAAGTTAGTAACGCGCATTAATATGTTACTTGTTTGTACCTTTTTTTACATTATTTGTTCATATTGTCTTCTTTCAGATGCTGGACAGATTAAAATGCAGGAAAAATAATGTTGAACTGTGATTTGAAAAAAAAAATATATCCTCATCACTTTCCAAGTCATTGTTACTGAACTTTTATGACAAACTACTTGTATATGTCAGTGTTATTATTGTTGTTTGTCCAAGTCATAATGTTTATTTGAGCCACAGAATAATGCAAAAATTGGTTTTATAACAAAAATTATTCATATATTTTATTGTTTTAAAAGATAGCAAATGAAATGCTGATGCTAATGAAATATGTTATTCCTTGTTTGTATCAAGAAAAATTTTCAATTTTAATTAATGGTTATTTTCTTTAAAGAACTTGACAACTTCACAAAATTTGTGTAAATTTGTATGGCTAAGCTGGAAATTTCCATTGCCATGAAGACTAAATGTGTTGTTAAGTTATCTAAATATACTGAGCTCTGTCTATTTTCATTTAACTGTGTGTTTCATGTTTAGACTTGAATTGTGACATTAAGCATTGAAAACATCCCAATTCTGTTACAATTTTATTGTAAAACAGAAATAAAGCTTATTTTGTTTTAATGTCTCGTATTATTAATAATTTTTCTTTTAGCTCACCTGAGCTGAAAGTTCAAGTGAGATTTTTTCTAATCACATTTTGCCTGTCATCTGTCAGTAAACTTTTCACATTTTCGATTTCTTCTCCAGAACCACCAGGCCAATTCCGTCCAAACTTGCCACAAAGCATCCTTGGGTAAAGGAGGTTCAATTTTATTCAAATAAAGGGTCATGCCATCTTTCATGGGGGATGATTAAGAATTAGTGAAAGTTTGGTGGCATCTTTCAAAATCTTCTTCTCAAGAAACATTGGGCTAAAAAAGTTGAAACTTATGTGAAACATTCATTATGTAGTGTAGATTCAAATCATGGCCCTTGGTTGAGGATCAAAAGTTTACATAGTTTACATACTGATATAGGGAAATTTTTTTTAGAATATTCTCAAGAACAGCAAAGCCATGATTTTTATTGTATTTTTATTGATTTGGAAGCATCCTTAGGTAGTGTAGATTCAAATTTGTTCAAATCATGACCCCCAGTTGCAGGATGTACCACAACGGGGAATCAAAATTTTACATAGGAATATAAAAGAAAAAATCTTTTAAATTCTTCTTTTCAAGAACAGCAAAACCATGATTAGTCTTATTGATATGGAAGCATCCTGGGGCAGGTTTGGGCCACAATGGGGGATTAAAATTTTTACAGAGGAATATATATATATAGCTGAAAAATCTTCTTTTCAAGAACAGCAAAGCCATGATTAGTGAGCATTGTGGCCTTTAAGGGCCTCATAAAAAAAGGGGGGGTAATAAAATGAGTACACCATTGCGCTAACACACAACATGCCGTCACGCTAACGCTACTTTACGCAACACGCCGTCGCACTAACACCAATACATTGTGTAAAGTTGTGTTAGCTTGACGGCGTGTTGTGTGTTAGCACGATGGCGTGTTGTTTAAAGTTGCGTTAGCGTGACGGCATGTTGTGTGTCAGCGCAACGGCGTGTTGTGAGAAGTTGGGTTAGCGTGATGGCGTGCGTGACGTGCGTGCTTTGTCACTTTATGCTAGCGCGTTGTTACTTGCAAAAGTGCAACAATGTGTTAGTAACAACGACCCGGCGTGTTGTTAACAAGGCGCTAGCGCGTGGTAACTTTGCGCTAGCATGTTATTACTATCGTATTGTTGCTCTTTTGCAAGTGATAACGCGCTAGCGGAAAGTGACAACGCACCATAGCTTTTGTTACTAACGCGCTGTTACACTTTTGCAAATGGCCCTGTCGGGACACCATAGGTTATAAATTCGATGTTGAGTTATTGATTTGCCTGCTGTCTGTATTCTGTCCATCGGTCCATATTATTGTTAAATTAGTCCGTCTTTTTTATTATTTAAAAAAATTATTAGGTTATTTTTGGAAAGGGGGGGGGGGTAACTGAAGTCATGTAAATATAACAATTAAAAGTAATTGGCTTGAGACTTACTGCATGATTACAACATTTCAATGTGTACAAGTATAGGGGAAAAAATTTATAAGTGTACGAAAAATCTTCAAAAATCTTTTTTGTCTAGTTGCCCTTCTCTTTTGTGTCAAGATTGGGACATATCATTAACAGGTTAAGTGATCATGGGTAACAATATACTAGAGTTTTTGAGTTTGAATCCATTCCACTCAAGGGTTCTAGAATAATAAGCAGACTGTTTCAGTATTATACTCCTTGCGTGTGACATGTAGACTTCGATCAAATTAAGATCAAGGCTCATTTACAGGCACAAGAGCCTGGGCACGTTTAAGTGACAACCAAACCCTTCAGGAGAGACTAACAACAATTGTGAAAGCCCACATACATTATGCTTCTTTGCAGAGTTTGAAGAATGTTGAATTTTCCGTTGCCTTCTTTATATGGACGTCCTTGAAATATTGATTTCTTAAAATCGGTCATATAAAATAGGAGTTACATAGTATAAGTGAGCCCAGAAAAGATGGTTTCGTCTTCACCTCACACAGGCCCGTTGCAACAGTTTCAAAAGTAGGGGGCAACGTCCCCAAAAAAATTTACAAACAAAAAAAAAAAACTGTCCAAAAGGGGAGAGCGGTGGGAGGCAACTTCCCAATATAATATGATAAGCAAAAAAAATTATAACTGCCCCCCCCCCCCCCCAAAAAAATCAAAATTTGCCAGTTCTCAACTTTCAGTAACAAAGATGGGGGGGGGGGGGGCGGAGGGTTCAGCATCTAAATGAAAATTTACTACAGTAAAATACTATACTCGGAAAAAAGCGGGGGCGCCCCTCCTGCACCCCCCTTCCGTGTCCGCGATCTATACTCCACCAGCCTGTCACAGGTTATACTGGCCTGCTTGAGGACATCGGATTGGGGGAGGGGGGCGATCTATCCTCAAGCACCTGTGCTTCACCTCAGTGTGCATGGTAGAGAGGTCCGTGTAATCAAAGAATTACGCACGCTAACTCTAGATTCCCGCCTACATTTTACACCCATTTAATTCAATACTAATAGCAATTTGGCGATAAAATCTTTGTTGAATGCAAAGAAGAGTTCAATGATAATTGATTAATATTTTTTATACCAGTGTTAAATAGTTAATTACTCTTAATTCCAGCTCTTTTTATAAGGGGGGATGGGGGTAGACAATGTTTTCCATTGAAAGCATCATCATATTTTAAAATATTCTTGGGTATGGATAAATATTCTTTAAATCTTTTCTTATGTTTTACACATATAAAATTACACATATGTAATTGATTAAATACAACGTTTAAGTTGTAAACCTCTTCGAAATTGTGAAAAAATTAGCATTTTGTCGTTTTTTGTCTGTAAACATATACTTCAGCCCCCCCCTCCCCCCCCCCCGAAACAAAAAAGCTTTGGTATGACTCTGTAAATTAACAATCCATATTACCTATAAAAAGAAATTTATGTTTCACAGGGTGGGGGGGAGATGTTTTAAAAATATTATCCGTTTTCCTTTGATTTCTATAGTGAAAAACACAAGTTTTACCAAAATTATAGCGTTATCTCTTTTTGTTTTCCCAAATAAGTAATGTTTTATGAAAATTCATATAAATATATATATTAATATGAAAAACTATTCAAATATGTTAACTTTTGAAAATTGACTTGGAGGTAGGTGGGAGAACAATACTATCGTTCGCAGTTCTTTCTAAAATGTAAAGTTTTGAAATGTTTTTATTTTACAGAGCCATAGGAAGCAATTTCAGTTGGGGGCGGGGGCAACCAAATGCTTTCAGGGGGGGGGGGGCACTATCAAGCAAAAATTCCTTGAAAAGCAAAATGATATTACGTATCGACAAAATTCCGGGTTCCTATGGCCATGCTGTAGATACAAGATATACTTTGTAGAATTTTATAAATTGAAATTTGAAATCTAAAATTTCAAAATTCCCTAGTAAGTTTTAAAATTGTTAATATTTAGATCCCCCCCCCCCCCAAAAAAAAGTATCTGAGTTTATATATATGTTCTTGCCATGTATTTAATGGGAATACATGTATTACACTTAAGGACCCTCTCTACACCAGTGCAAACTGTTTTTTGGACATTGAGAAAAATATATTGTATAAAGATGTTAATATTGAGCTTATCTATTTAATTTTCACTATATGGTACGTGGCATTTACCCCCAGGAAAAATGTTCAAACACAACACAGTATCAGTGAGTAGAAATCACTGCTGTTTACTTCCATAGAGACAATACATGTAAATAACATGTTCAATTTATTTATTTTGGCCTTTTAAAATGTTAAGAATACTTGAATTAATTACAAATTGAGTAACATACTGTAAATTTCTTTCTTTTTTTTTTTTTAGAATTTAGATCTAAGGGCAGATCACTCTAAATGCAGAAAAATACCATAGAATCAGAACTCTTTAGCGGGCAGTGTAGAGAGGGTTCTTAAATGAAATCTCTACCTCAAGAGCAATTTTAAAATTTACTTCAAGCAGAGACGTAACTGATAAAAGATATGGCATGCCAAATTCACAGAAATTAAATATTTATATTTTTTTTCAATTAATGAATTGACTTTTTTCCAGTTTTAATCTTTATCAAAGACGTAGTTGATTTAATTATTGTTAATTTTAATAATGTAAATTAGGGAACACCTCAGTTCTTTTTTATATGTTTTGAAAATAATGAAGGAAATTGAGAATTGAGACGATAATAGGCCGTTTTGGGGATGAGCAGCTATTTATATATGCTTGATTATTAAAAACTGAACCATCTGAAATTAAAAAAATCTATAAAACAGAGGAGGTTCGTAGAAACATGAGAAATGCATTTTAGCCCCCCCCCCCCCTTTCCTCGCCACCACCGTGAAAAGATTTTTTTGAGATTTTTTGATAAATTTCTGGGTTTTTTTAATTTCATTTGGGAAAGAAGGGTGTATTTCAGCTTTGATATTGTATTTGGTCAGTATCTAAAATTATGCAGCAGTAGGCAATATTTCGGAAAATTTTATGTCGTTCAAGTTTTTTTACGATGGGAAGTTTGCTCCATTTCCGTTACAACAAGCGCCATTTTGTGCTTTGGTTGTTCTGAAATTAAACATGTTGAGAAATGTGCAAAGACATTACTTTAGGTTTCATGCAGTATAAATCGAATAAAAGATGTTTCTTTGGAAGTATCTGAAATGATGAAATCAGATTAAACTGAGATCAGTATTGGTAAGCCATGTCTTAAAATTCAGAGGCGTTGAACATTTGAACCAGGCCAGCGCAAGCTGGAATAATAGAGTTCTGTACTTTGGATCCCTTATCACCAGTTACCCATTTCTTAGTACATCAAAGTCTTGTACTTATTTTTTGGGTGTATTTTTTTCAATAATATAGGCGTTCAGATGTTTTGAATGGGAATGCTAGGAACATGGTTAAAGGGAGATAATCCCACTACTCCAACGTTTTGAAACCTTTGTAGAGTCTCCCACAAAGAATTCTTGGTGTTTTAAGCAATTAAAAACACAGAGTATAACTTGAAGAGGCTAAAACCATAATCATTCTCAAGCCTTGGTAAATGTTATACTAGTTTTAGTCTATTTTACCCCCAAATGCTGAGGGTATGAGTTGCCCTGAACTTTGGTATTTATATAATAAGGCCTTTTTAACTAAGTTCAAAATTTCAGAGTACATTTTTTTCTAGAGATGGCACTTTGAAGCATTTGTTTAAATTTTTTTTCTGTGGATTATAAAGCAAAATATGTTCCATAGCCTGATGGTATCAGACTGTCTGCATAAAGAATTTTGCCTAGCTGAAGCTCTTTTTTTTAAACACTTATTCATGGTGAAGTCTTTTAACTTCCTACATGGAAATCAGGCTAATATGTTTAAGTTAATTCCATCGGAATGATTGCCCTTGACATTTAGTCTGACAGTAGTATAAAATGAAAGAAAAGCTCTACAAATATGATTTGTTCATTATAGCCATCAGCATCACTCCTAGGTAAAATGAAGAATTTTAATACACCCATCAGTGCCAGTCATGTTGTTTACATATGAACTTGAAGTTGGTAAATGAAATTTTTCTGATCTTTATTTTCTAAGTACATTTTCAAGCCAAAATTCACTATTAGATTTGACCTTGACTTTTGACCTTGTAATTATATGAAACATTTTCTCCATTGAACAATATACATATATATTTTTCTCAGTTGAATACAGCTTGTTTATAACATCATCTACCTTCATTCACAGGGAAATCATGAGGTTACAATACTGCAATCAGAATTGACCTTGATAATTATAATTTTGAAAAAAAAAGTTTTATCTTTTTGGAATGATGAAACATAAAAAAAAAAAATAACCCAACTTCACTCATATGTAAAGCTGAATGAGATGATTTGTGGGCATAATTTATGTTGACCTTGACATTTGATATCATGATAGGATAAATCAGTCACATTTATCTTGGCTGTGGATGAGTTTTTCTGATTTTCTGAATTTCATCATTTAATAATGTATGCTTGAGTTAGCAAAAATGAGATTGGAGTGGATTTGACTTGGAAATTTAAATGTTCATTTGTAACTTTGTTGGGGACATTTTTCATTTGATCTTTTCTTAACTTCATGGAAAGACAAATTTATTTGAAATTTAAGGGAAACCAAATTGTGTAATGATCAACTGACAATTACCCATAAATGTCTGGGACATGCTTTTGTTGAATTCTTTGTTGATAAGAATGATATAAAAATCTAGAATTCATTGTGGAAAAAGTTGAAAATAATTTGACTTAAAAAGAAACCTCAAATTATATATAGGTTACACAAATTGCATCACTGAAATAACTACTAATTGAAATATATATGCAAATATTAAGTATAAGTGGGGAATAATTCCAAGTGTCTCACGGTTTGTAGATTAATAAAAATTTTGAATAAAATGCTGAGTCTAAGGTTAATTGAAACATTGTAAAAACTGTCGGTAAAATAAATGAAATCTTATCATAAATTTTTTTGTAGTAAAATACAAATGATGAAATGCCTTTGTCATTTCTTCATTTCTGTGTAAGACAAAAATTACTTATCTGACCTTGCTCAGCATAACATGCTTAAATTCCGGTATTTTTAAAAACTGGATCTTTCTCTTATCTGATGGGAGTTTGAGAGCAGTTTTGTGGAACAATAATTAGTCTTTTTCTAAAAATATAGGACCCTTGGTAAAACTCAGAGTTATGAAAAAAAATTATTTTGATATGTTCATGTTCTTTTATTATTAATATAACAGAGAGAAAAACACTAATGCATATCACAGACATATTTACTGATTACTTTGCTGATGTATTTATGGATGTGCCTTTTAAAGGAGAGTTGGATTTTGCAGGAGAGAAAACAAAATGGGTGACTCGGGAGGTGTGGTCACTATTCCCATGCAGCCAATGCCAACACCTGGATTCCAGGCTTTCCAGAGGCCCAATGCCCGCACATTTCAGAGAAGAGGTCCACAACTGGACCCAAAGGGAGGAGCCCAAGATGGGGATAATTCAGCGGGCCCTGTCATGTTTGACGGAAAACGTATGCGGAAAGCAGTACATCGAAAAACAGTGGACTACAATTCGGCTGTTGTTCAGTATCTAGAGGTCTGTATTTAATAGTAATCTGAGTCATCATTCCCCCCAAAATTAAGTATATCTGACTCAAATGTTCAAAAAGAAATATAGTATGGCAAAGAACTATATTTGTATAACTGAACATTGTCAAGTACTTGGTGAATTTAGGTAGTAAACTTCATCATAAAATTTACCAAGGAAAAAATTTGTTTTAATCAGTTAATATTTAGAATATTAATTGTTTCAATTTAAACATGCATTAATTCTTTGAGTGAAAGTTGAAATGTGATTAATTTTTTTGTTTGCTTAAGCGAGTTCAAATTGTTCTTTTATATCATCTTTTCAATGTTACATGACTTTGTTTTACAGAACCGAGTTTGGCAGAGAGATTACAGAGACATGAGGGCCATCCAGGCAGATTCTTTATATCAGATTGATGTAAGTCACATGAATGAAAATTCTACACTGTCAGTTATATTGTTTCCATCATAATTATGTCAGGGTTGGCCAGGAAATACCAGTGGTAAATACCGGTATTTCCCATCCTGGGAAATACTACAAATTTTCTCTAAACTGGGAAATACTGGGAAATACAAAGTTAAAGATTTTTATTTCTTTAATTCATTCAATCTTATACAAAATTCAAAAATAAAATTAACATAAAAACAGAATATGAATAATATTGAATATGTCTCAATTTGCAATTTAACATATTCAGAATGTATCATTACTCCAGGTCCCCTACCCATAAGTATTCTGAAACATTTCCCTGCCTGTATGAAACTGAAGTTTTCCAATTCAAGTCTCTTTTCGGTTTTGAAAAATTATTAAGTTTAATATTAATTATAAATCCAAAAACAAAACAAACTCATTATAATCCTTCTATAAACACTGGAGTTATTACAATCAATCATGTTGTTTTAACAAATTGCTCTGGACAGTTTTGTACTCCTGTTTTGAGAGATGATTACCTTGAGTAGAACTGAAAGGCTTCTTCTTAGGTTTAATATTATTATCAATTTCTGTACTGTATCTGTTTGTATCATATTGTATATGTTACAGTAAATATGTGTAATCAGGAATTTCATGTATTTCCTAAACCATTCAGTAAATACATGTATTTAATGGCTGTTTTAGGAAATACATGTAATTACTGCATACACTAGGAAATTCATGTATTAACTGAAATTTTTAGCCAATTTTACACGTTTTTACTGAACTAAGCTGTATGACTATACATACAATGTATGTTTTAAAATATTCAATGAGTGTTCAAATACTAGTATGCATGTTTTTAAATTAGCACTATATAATATTTTTTATAAAGCTGAAAGGGGGAGTTTCGATAAGGCCGTTTTTCGGCCCCTCAAGAAATTTCATGAAATTTTGATATTTTGTAGAAAAACTTCTTATCTTCCTAAAAGTATGAAAATAATTTATGTTGCACATTTTCCGGTCACGTGATAATTGAGAATTTAAGTATACCCCCTTTCGTATATTTTTGGAGTAGACATTTTTATAGGGGGAAAGTGGATTTTTTTAACCGTCAAAATCGTAAATGAAATAGAATAAATATGAATAAAGACATAAATTAACCAATTTCAAAAATTTTTTTAACGGAAAATGGTATTGATTTTATGCGAATGTTTTTTTAAGGTGCGATATTTTTCTGGTGTGTTAAATGTTACTTTTCTTTAAAAGAGAATGAATTTAACTTATAAAACGTAAACATATACAGAAAGTTTTAACATCATAATTAATCTACAGTTCATACATAAACTTTATAATCAATATTTAACATTTTCACATACGAAAAATGCAAATGAAAAAGATATGTAGACATGAGATAGGTAAACGTAAAAACGTCATATACAGATATATGCAATACATTTTCATCAGTGAGGTTATACAACTACATATGTACATGTTTTATAAAAATATACCTTAATATCATCAAATTGAAATAAAAAAAATGTTTTGAAATAAAAAGAAAAAATCGGCACGATTAAAAAATAAATGCAACTTTACATATATACATAAATAAAAGGTTTATTTAAAACCATCATATTGCTACGTAAGCTGGCACATGTACATTGTAGGTGCAAGGAAAGAAAAACAAAAAATATTTTATCTGCATGGCGGCCGCCACATAATTATTCGGCTAGAAAAATATATCTGGCGGCTGCAAAATAGTTTTCCTGCGGCCACCACATAATAACTGGCGGCGGCCAGAAACTTATCTGGCGGCCGCCACATAAATAACTAGAAGCCGCCAAATAATTCTTGCGGTGTAGACATGTAATTTAATAAAGCATAAATTTTAAGTTATGAAGTGAAGACTTTATGAATTGAATTTTTGTATAAAGTGTAGATTTGATCTTTGCTAATAAGGCATGAATCTCCCAGATTTGACTACAAACAGAAGTTGTAGATGTCGTTAAAGCAAAAACACCACAGTTTTATCTGGCGGTCGCCAGATATTTCAATGGCAGGCGCTAGAAACTTGACTTTTCTTTTACCTAGCACCTAACGGCTTCAGTAAATTGCAATGTATTTGATAATATGGATAATATTAATTACAGTTAAAAATATTTTATCATTATAAGTAATTATGTGAATAGCCAAATGATGGAAAAATCTATAATACATTGAGTGTTTCCTTTTCATTATGAAACTTAGAAGTATTTGTTCACATAGATCTGCATTATTTTTTCAGCATAACTGAGAGAATCCCAGCCAGGACTTATATCCTTTCACTTCCCAACTCTCCATAGATATTTAAGTTGCTTCACCAACTCTAGTCATTTCTCATTTAGAGAGTTTTAGAATTCATTATGTATGATTTGCTAGACCAGAGCGCAGTTCGAAATACATGTGTAAACGCCAAAGATATGTGTTTAATCCTTAATCATATGCAGACACATACACCTAGACATCCAGACTTAATTAAAACAATCCATGTTCTCTATATCAACCACACGGAAATATAAGGGCGCTTCTCTAGCATGTTGGAGCGTGGATTTCTATTTACAAGAAAGTCAAAAATATAACTATGCATGATAAATAACGTTAAGGAATGGACTTGCTCTAAACCTTATTTTTTGTACAGTCAGTCGGAAAATGTAAGAAAGATCCAGCATCTGAACGATGATCCTAGATGCATCATCAGTGCAAGTTTGTTCACGATAGGGCTTATAGTTACATAAGAATGAGACCTGCTTCAAAATTTTTAACCTGCTCACTCATTAAGGAAATGTAGGTCAGATCCAGCATCTGAAGCAAGTCTGGTAGTGTGCATCCGTAGATGCATCATGAAGCAAATCTGGTCAACAAGTGCTTACAGCTGCTCTTCTCTAAAAACTTAAATCTGCTTTTAAAACATTTACCTGGACATTCTTTGGCTAAAAATGCAGCATCTGAAACCTGACTGGTGACAAGGAAACATGCTAGATCATGTGACTCTGATTAATGAAGGGCATATATATACTTGAAAAAAAAATCTGCTTCAAAAACTTTTACCGGGAACACCGATCCCGACGGTATTACAAAAGCTCCCCAAACCTTCGTGGAGGTGAGCTAAAAATGTGACGTTAACGTTATACGTTGGCGACATAAAAATATCGAAAGGAAGATAGGATATGATAATATTTTCTACTGTTAATATAATCGAGAATCTTCTTTGATTAAAAAAAAAAGAAGAAGCTACTTTTGGCTTAGTATTTTAACACAGAGTCAGATGAAGAAACCAGGGTTTCTAATTTTAGATATGCAAATTTTATGCTATTTTCAATTTTTGGATATGAAGTGCACATGCGACACTCATCATATTTCAAGAAATTAGTGTGCAGAGTATATCTAATTACTGAACAAATTTAGGTGAGTGTCCCTCATGCACTTCATATTCTAAACATCGATTTATAAATGCCACCCTCTTATATTTTCCCATAAGCCTAATGTTAACGGATCTGAGGGTACATCTTAGTATGTATCAGCTACGGCGTGATTTCATCTCATATTAACTTTTGAAATATAAATAACAAAAGTTAACATATTTATCTTGAATTCTAAACTAGTTTTGAAAAAATAAAATGAAATTTATTTTTATGAAAAAAAGTGGGCCGCTGAGCGGCCTTATCGAAACTCCCCCTTTGTCATAGATTAATTTCTGGTTCTGGGATCTTTGGGTTCATTTCATCATTACATCTGACTCAAGCATGAAACAAATGACACTCATGACTGGTATATGAATATACTGTTTTATAATTTTATAAGTGAATTACTTGGAAACCAGAATTTTTTAAATCAAGGACAGTGATACCAGTTAGATATCTAGCCAATAAAAGGGTACTACATGTCAATGAAATGTTTAGCTATTTCTTATTTCCCAGTATTTCCCGGGAAATACCAGTAATTCCCGGTAATTACCAGTATTTCCCACCGTCCTGGGAAATATGAGTATTTCCCAGTTTTTTGGCAACCCTGAATTATGTAATACTTTGCCTACCTACCCAAAGAAATACATAATTTTTGAATTATACATTGTTGCCTAAGATAGGTTAAAGACTCATTTTTAGCCAAAATTTTCCAAAAATCTTGAGATAGGGCAATTCAGAAGAGAGGACAATGCATTTTTTACTGATCTCTTCAAGTTCATCCTCAGTGTATAACCCTCTATTGGACAGACAAATAAAATTCTCATTGCAGCCATTGTTGTATGTTTCAATTTACTTCAAGGGCACAAGGAATACTTCAAAAAGTTGTGAAAATGCAGAATTCTGTGTAATTTTTATCATTTTGGGGGCTTTTTTTCATAATTTCAAGCCTTAGAAAGGTTGATTCATTAAATTGGGTTACTCCAAAGGTTCTGTGAAAAAAAAGTATCTTCCTTGCCTCTCTTCCTTAAATTACAGTACCTTTCCTAACTTATTTAATGATTTTATGTTTGAATTTCTTCTTCAGATATTGGTTAAAAATGAGGGGCTTTAATGAAATAATAAACATTTATTGATAGATTTGAATTGGTTTACCCCAGTTTGTAGCCTTGTTAAGTATGTGTTTAAATCTCTTGCAGATCCCACCACCAATAGCCATGATAAATAACTCTATGAATTGTGTGACAACAAAATTCATCAGAGCATCTACCAATAAATTTAGATGTCCAATATTTTGTCTTGCTGTAAGTAATAAAAACTCAATTATTATCAGTTTGAGTGAAATAGTAAATAAGTTATAAGTATGCACATGTATTGTTGAATAAATGCAAAAAAGAGATATGCATCTGAATGTTGTATTGCTGATGTACAGGTTTAGTAGAGAGATGTAATGAAGCTTTATTTTGAAGTATATGACTATTTTAATAGCTGTTTTTCTTATTTTACAGTGGACACCAGAGGGGAGGCGATTAGTCACTGGCGCTTCTAGTGGAGAGTTCACGCTCTGGAATGGCCTCACTTTCAATTTTGAAACAATTTTACAGGTATTTTATCAATCTTGAACATAGGTGAACACATTGATATAGACTGTCATATATGATATTTAGTATATGTGAAGATATTTAAGGAATGAATTTAATAGCTATCCAATTTATACGGTATAAAATGGGTTGGGGTAGATTACGCTTTTATAAACTGTGAAGCGTAAACTGTTCCAACCCACTTTATACCATATAAATTGGGTAGCTATTAATTTCATTACTTATAATTTAATTTTCATTCATTTAGTGTAAGAAAAAAGATGATTGCTCTTAAAAAATGACTTCAAATTGTACAAAATTTAAATGTAACGTCAGGCGGATCGATACATTTTTGACGAAGTCATTGTGGCATAGGCAACCCAATTTATATGATTTTAAGTATTTTTTTTATCCAGTCAAATGGTGTGTTACAATCAGAATTAAATTATTAGAAAATAAAGATATTGACGTTGAACGGTTGTTACATTAAGGGTGAATGATGTCGTTTTAGGCTCATGATACATCCTGCCGAGCCATGCAGTGGAGCCACAATGATAACTGGATGGTGACCGCTGACCATTTTGGATACATCAAGTACTGGCAGTCCAACATGAACAATGTGAAAATGTACCAGGGTCACAAGGAGCCGATTCGAGGGTTAAGGTATCACCATGTTCCCATGGATACAAGGATCCATGACCAATCAGATCACTTGTTTGTATGGGGGTTTGTCTCAGTTTGTGCTGCAGCTTTAAGCAGTAGCAATGAACTTCACCAGCCTGGATGTAGCCCATGTGAAGTGATTAGGACTCGACAACTGTGGATTTTTCCTGTTACTTGGAACCTTTATGTTCAAGTTTCTCTTCTAAGATATAGTCTGAAATGCATTGTTTCAGTTTTGTTGAGTATTTTACTTGTTCTCTATTTGATGAATCAGACAGGCCCTCCAGAAAGTGCAGGAAAAGTCCACATGTTTGGTGATAAGATATTTGATATCAGTGTGTTAGATGTGATCAGTGCAGGAAAAGTCCACATGTTTGGTGATAAGATATTTGATATCAGTGTATTAGATGTGATCAGTACAGGTTGTGTCTCTAGGGTTTTAATAAAGGCTATTGCCCATTTGATATGGCATGATATACATAAGGATTTGTGCAATAAATTTTACATTTATTAATTTAAAATCTAATAAAGGCTTTTATGCCCAGATTTGTTTTATTTGAAATAAAGGCTTTGTGCCCAGCTTTGATGCAAATTCAATAAAGGCTTTAGCCCTCTACACAATTAAAATAAAGGCCAATGTGCCCCATTAGAATGAATGAATTAAGTTTGCAAGGAAGATTAGTCATTGTCACCATTATGTGAAATGGACTGTTGAATCAAGTCCTCCTGAAAAGGAGGTGTTTCAAGAAAATGTACATGTATTTCATCTATCATACTCCTCATTTACAGTAAAAGTCCTCATTTAAGCTCTCATTATATCATTATATATTCCATTGCTCACTGCTACATAGGTATCTGATAATACATATGTTGAGTATAGGATATAAAAATATTAAGGAATAATTTCCAAAGCATCCTGGTAATTTGAATTTTCTTTATGAAAAAGCATCAATATAAAGTAGAAACCATCTTTTACAGAATTGCTTCAAAATTACTAAACTTCAACATCCCTTAATTTATCTTTTTTTTTTAAGATATGTGATTTTCTCCAGTATTAATTCATACCAAATTTAACTGTTTTCAAATTTTTTTTTTAATAAGTAGCATGGTTAAAAGCATTTTCTTCTAAGAGATCATATTATACAACCCCCCAAATTACCGCATCTTCTAGGAAAGGACAGTCTTAGAAAATGGTGACAAAGACAAAATTCTAAATATTGAGCTGAAATATTTATACATTCATCTGTCTCATTTAATTTACTTAATAAATTTGTATGGAGATATTTTGTTTCCTTTGTTTTTCTGATATAGTTTTTGCCCATCGGATAGTAAATTTGCCACATGTTCTGATGATGGAACAGTTCGAATCTGGGACTTCATGAAATGTCACGAAGAAAAAATTCTCAGAGGTATGTTGGGATTTTAAAGGACAATCGTGGATATTGCTGTAAAATTGACAAACCTGTGTGTGACCATGTGACACACTTATGAATTCATGTAAAACATTCCACATCTGAGCTATTTGGCCAGCATTTATCGCTGACTTTTAAGAGTCAGGGAAACTCATGCTTTTGGAGTAATCTTTTTTAACAATGAAAAGTGAAATGGTCCATAGACATACAAGTAATTAAACCAGCCACAAACTTGAATATTGTAATGGAATTTGGTGTGAAAGAATGAAATAAGCTTGCAGGTCATGCATTACCATTTGATTGAAGATGCAAATATTATTATAATTTAAAAAAAAAAGTGATTTACTCCCATTAAAGAATTTAGGGTGGAATGAAAAAAAAAATGACCGAGAGCAGTTTTAAAACTCAGGTTTTCATCCTAATCATTTTGATGGTACTGCATGTTTCCAGTAAACAAGCCTTTGGATTACAATTCTTGTGGATTAAACATAAAATAGTGCTATGTGTTTCTTTCCTCGTTTCTAACTATAGGTCATGGATCTGATGTTAAATGTGTAGACTGGCACCCACAAAAAGCTCTTTTAGCGTCGGGAAGCAAAGACAACCAACAGCCAATTAAATTATGGGACCCGCGAGCTGGAACAAGTCTGGCCACCATGTAATCATTTACTGTTGTTTTATTTCTGAAATCTCTGGTCAGTCAGTGTCCCCCCAGAAGCTAGGTGTACTTACACGTATACAAGATACACATGTACATATGCCTTTTAGCACGTTTTGATATATTGACACAAAACCACTCTAGTTTTATATACATGTACATGTATCGCCCTGTATGACATACAATTTCGGCATTTTCATCGCCGTCTGGCAATTTCCAAACATTGATGTTTTCATGTAATTTAAAGTAAAACCAAATAAAAACTTAATCAACAACTGTTAAATTAAAAACAGTAGTATTAAATACTTTTAACAAAACGTTTATTTCTTGCAACATTGTAAGTATATAGATTTGAAAAAATATTAGATGAACGCATGCTTTTTTGATTTCATCTAATCACCAGCCCTTGGACACTTTATAATAGTGCTCATGTCTGATGGCTTTCAGGCTGATATAAAGTGGCCTTACACTAATATAAGATGTGATATAAACTTTTGTATGTGTCAGTCTGTATATCATTAAGTAGATATAATAGGTTGACACACCAGCCATTGTAAGGGATGTAATGTACTGTTGGAGTCACAAGCTCCCTTACTGTATATGATGATGTCTCCAGAGGCAAATGCATAATGATTTTGTTGCATAAATTTGTAAAGATGATCAGTATCAAAGTCAGATCTTGTATTTCTTATGTTCTAATTTGGTTTTAAACCAAAATATTGAAATTTCATAGTTCAACTAGATTTAAAAAAAAAACATATGAAAATAGTTATGATATTTGGTCAGAATTATAACTTTAGTTAAATATGCAACCCTTCATATTTCAAACATGCCAGTTGGAAAATTTAAAAACTATTATTAAATGCATGTTAGCTTAAGAATAGTCAAACATTAAAAGTGAAATTACCTGGAGTCTTAGATGGTGGAAAATCTTAACAAGATCCCAATAATTTTGCTGCCATTCTTAAACACATTTTTTTGCCCTCGAAGACATGCACACAAAGCAACGGTTATGGAGCTTAAGTGGAATAAGAATGGGAACTGGTTGCTGACAGCTTCAAGAGACCATCTGCTGAAAGTCTTCGACATCCGTAACATGAAGGAGGAAATTCAGACATTTAAAGGTCACAAGAAAGAAGCCACAGGTAAGGCAGTTCATCACCTGTACACAGGGTCAAGGTCGTATTGAAGGTTTTTTTTATGTTAAATGACCCTGACCAGTGTACACTGAATATTTGTTTATAGCAACACAAGCACAGTTAGTTATTATTATAGTATGGGGATATTTTTATCAATAAAGAGAAAGGTTTAAAACGTCAAATGCCTGTGAACACAAGCTAATAACAAAGATCGATCATCTCATAGTGGTGCAAATTATTCACAGAAGTGAGATGTTTAATTCATAAACTATCAAACAACTGCTTAAAAGACGGTGGGTTTGAAAAATATCCACTTGAATGGAAAATGTAGGAAGTTTTTGAAAGTACAAGGTATTTCAGGGAATTGTGTTTCCATGCTTTTGGGATCTTACTGGTTGGGGTGCAGTTAACTATGGCATATTGTAGCTGTCTTATCTGAAAAAAAGTTTTATAGTTTTGAAATAAGATGTTTTGGTGCAGATTCTACAAAATTTATAACCAGGTTAAAGTTTTGAAAGTCAAACTTTGAGGTCAAAGTTGTGAGGTCAAGATTCTGAACATTTGGAAAGGTCACATTTCATGCATGTATAAGGATATTAAAGCCCCAACTCTTCTGGTGCAAAAGTAAAAGCAAAGGTTAAAATTTTTTAAAAGTAGTTCAAGGTCATGTGGTCAAAATCAAAGTAAATTCAGAAAGATCTTAGCGCAGATAATGCACATGTAAAATATGAAAGCCCTGTTTTTTCAGGTGCAAGGTTAAATTTTTGAATAGAAAGTCAAACTTCCAGGTCTTTGTCATAAATCATAGTACATCTTGTCACAGTCATGCACATGTGAAATATGAAAACGCCATCTTGTTTCAATCAAAAGTATAACCAAGATTAGTTTTTATGGCAAACGACTGAATGACATTTATTGCCTGTCTTTTTGCAAAAGCTGGGGACAGAAATTCCAAAATGAGGAAATAATGTTAGAAGAGCATATTATTTTTTTTTTAGGTTAATATCCCAGAAAACCAATTATCTGTGCAAAGTAGATTTAATAAAAAATAGAGATACTCAACATTAAAACTAAATTTGGTCAAAAGGAAACTGATGTGTTTCAAGCATACCAAATAATTTTTTTTCTACATGCATACATGTACATGCATACATGTACATGTCAAGAATTGAAAATTGCACTTAAATTGAAAAGCTTAAGGCCTTCAAATAGTTAAGTTCCAAACATTGCTCAAACTTTTCAGTGCAATGATGTTCATACAAATGTAAATTATAAACATCAGAAATATAGGGTAAAGTTCTGCCTCTGTTTACAGCTGTAGCCTGGCACCCGATACATGAAGGCTTATTTGTGAGTGGTGGATCTGATGGAGCGGTTATGTTCTGGAATATGGGGTTGGTGTATTTTTATATATATATATTTTTTTTACACACTGAGTAAACTGCTCTATTTCTGGCAGACTTTAACTTTCCTATATGCTTAAAAATGACAGCTTTTCTGATGTTAGAGTTCTTATTTAGATTAGACAGAGAGGTGGGTTCAATGGAGGAAGCACATGAAGGAATGGTGTGGAGTTTAGCATGGCATCCCATGGGACATATTCTGGCCACTGGTTCAAATGACCATTCAACGTATGTACAGACACCATGTACCATTCAGACTAATAATTTTTTGCAGTTATTAACTATGTCTATTTTAAAGCTAAATCTAGACACATGTTAAACTTTTATTGACAAATCTAATGCAGACCTGTTGTATTGATATCTACATATTTTAAATACAGTAATTCAATTTTTATGCCCCCCTTCGAAGAAGGGAGGGCATATTGCTTTGCTGCTGTCTATCGGTTGGTCAGTCGGTCTGTCTGTCTGTCGATCCACCAACAGTTTCCGTTCATTTTCTTCGCAGCGGTTGCACATACTGAAATGAAATTTGGTATACAGATTTATTGTAAGAATATATAGGTCAAGTTCGGTTTTGGGTACAGTTGAGCAATTTTTGACAGAGTTATGCCCCTTGGACTTAGAAAATTTCCAATTATTGGGGGGGGGGGGGGGGGCATAAGTGTTTCATAAACATCTCTTGTTTTTTTTAAACTTACTTCAAATAAAAGTCTATAGATAATTATAACAATAGTGTGGGCTTTTTTTGTAGGAAATTTTGGACACGAAACAGACCAGGGGATAGAATGAGAGACCGATACAACCTAAACACACTACCTGGAGGCTCTGAGCATGAACTGGCTGAATTTGGTAAGTGAGAGATGGATACAACTTAAATACATTACCTGAGGCTCTGAGCATGAACTTGCAGAGTTTGGTAAGTGAGAGACAGATACAACTGAAACACATTACCTAGAGGCTCCGAGCATGAACTTGCAAAGTTTGGTAAGCAAGAGACAGATACAACTTAAATACATTATCTCACAACAGGCTCTGAGCATGAAGTGGCTGAATTTGGTAAGTGAGAGACAGATACAACTTAAATACATTATCTCACGACAGGTTCTGAGCATGAACTGGCTGAATTTGGTAAGTTAGAGACAGATACAACTTAAATACATTATCTCACGACAGGCTCCAAGCATGAACTGGCAGAATTTGGTAAGTGAGAGACAGATACAACTTAAATACATTATCTCACGACAGGCTCCGAGCATGAACTGGCTGAATTTGGTAAGTGAACACACCATCTGAAGGACTTAAGTAGACTGAATGAGTTCAGTAAGTGAACACTGTATGTTAAATTTCTGTGTACTGACTCTCAGAAGAAAAAAATCGACCCAAGGTTTCAGTGCATAATCTCTGAAAACAGCACGTTCCATATAATCCAAGCAATTAAGTGAACAATCTGTGTAAGGACTCAATGGGCAAATTGGCCAAAATATGCCAGTTTCCCCAAGGTTTCAGAGTGTTAACTTGACTGAGTTAGGTAAGTATCTGAGGGTGAGTTCGTGAACTGAACAGGGTACCTGGAGGCTAGAAGTGTCAACTGCCTGAATTTGCAAAGAATCTTGGTGAAAAAGAGGCTCAAGGTTTCAGTGTCATTGAAAGAATAACTGTTTTAATTCACAGACACTGCACTTGTCAATCTCTGTTGATGTAAACAAAATCATATGATCAGTCTTCAGTCTCTTTGTCACACTTGCTAGAATTTCTTCAGCAGTGATGACAGGTAATACATTGAAACTCGGATATACAGAAACAAGTTTATAACCAATACCTGCTTACAACAGAATTTTATTCTATCATGAGGAGTTCAAAGTAATGACATAACGACTAGATATCAACTACCGATAGATAGAGCAAATCAAGCATATAATAAAGTGGTTATGGCTGTCTGTGGCAGTGTGCTATATTTGTTTTATTTACTGTACAGGTGTAGTTAAATGTGTATGCTCTGTTTTAGATCCTGATGCCACAGCTGGACCTCTGATACCTGGGATGGGACAGATTCCCAGTGGACAAATGTTGGTCAGCAAAGAAGAAGGTGAAAAACTTTTCAAAAGTAAAATGAGTTGAAAACCTACATGTATACTAACATTATATACCTTGGTCAACTTGGGGAAGTCGAGTGGGTTTCTTATTTATGTTCCCAAAATGAAGTTTGGGAACATATTGTTTTTACTTTCTTTTTTCAAAATTTCTTCTCTGGTATTTTTAGCTCACCTGAGCTGAAAGCTCAAGTGAGCTTTTCTGATCACCCGTTGTCCGTCGTCCGTCCTTCTGTCGATCCGTCTGTAAACTTTTCATATTTTCTACTTCTTCTCAAGAACCACTGGGCCAATTTTAACCAAACTTAGTACAAAGCATCCTTGGGTGAAGGGGAGTTAAAATTTTTAAACTGAAGGGCCAAGTCCCCTTCAAAGGGGAGATAATCAAGAAAAGACAAAAATTGGGTGGGGTCATTAAAAAACCTTCTTCTCAAGAACCACTAGGCCAGAAAAGCTGAAACTTATGTGGAAGCATCTTGGGGTAGTGTAGATTTTAAATTATTCAAATCATGATCCCCGGGGGTAGGGTGGGGCCACAATAGGGAATCCAAGTTTTACATTGAAATATGTAGTAAAAATCTTTAAAAATCTTCTTCTCTAGAACCACTGGGCCAGAAAAGCTTAAACTTATGTGGAAGCATCCTGGGGTTGTGTAGATTCTACATTATTCAAATCATGACCCCGGGGGGTAGGGCGGGGCCACAATAGGGAATCCAAGTTTTACATTGAAATATGCAGAAAAAAATCTTTAAAAATCTTCTTCTCAAGAACCACTGGGCCAGAAAAGCTGAAACTTATGTGAAAGCATCCTGGGGTAGTGTAGATTCTAATTTTTTAAATCATAAAGTACTACAAGGGGGATCAGGTGAAAAACAGCAAGGCCAAAGTTTCTCAGGTGAGCGTTGTGGCCCATGGGCCTCTAGTTTTGTCTGCGAGTGTTCTTGGATACTACTCATCCGATTGAAATGAAACCGTTTTTAGGGTTTACAGGCATGTAGTGTACTTGCATGCATGTGTGTTCATGAAGTGAAATTACAGATACAATTGAAACAGCTTTAACCTTCCTATTTTTTATATGATATGTTCAGAGCCTTAATATATAAATATATTTTAGTAGTGTAAACAAGATCACATTTGCTTCGCTCTGATTGGCTGACACAAAAAATCTCAATAACCCTTTTGTTTTTTGACGAAATACTTTGAAATTTAGAACATAGTCATACATAAGGAGGTTCTACATTATAATATATATGAAATATCGTGAAAACGTGGGCATGCGTGTGTGCTGCAATTTGATTGACTTTATTAGTTTTCTACAAAACGGGATGAAATTGAAAACATAGGTTGGTATAACGAGTTCCTACATTGTGCTACTAACAAAATTAAATGCAAGAACATGCATGCACTTTTGCTGGATTCTGATTGGCTTATATGGCTGTATCTCTCATAGTTTTCAATGAAAATGTTTGAGATTTCTAGAATAGGTATTTATCGTGAGTCTCTTTACAAGGAAGACATGTGAAATATCTAGAAAGCATGGGCATGAGGATGCTCTGAAATCTGGTTGGCTAATAATCAAAGGACTATACTGGCATTGTTTTTCAATTAAATACTTCTGAAAATAAAGTGTAGGTTTATTACACAAAAGAATTGCCTAATTTAATGGAGCTCGTAGGAAATAGGCCCATAAGGGAGTAGATGAGTGTTTGGGGAACATCTGTAACGGTTTCTGTTACAATTAGCACTTGTTTATACTATAATAAAAAGAATAATGAGAATTCTTGCCAATGGTTTCAGAGAAAGCAGAAGAAGAAGATCTACCCTCTATACCTGGGCTGGACTGGTCAGCTGATGAAAGCTTCTTCAAACAACAGGAGCAACCCAGAATGCCAATCAAAAAAATCCCCTATGCTAAACCCATTCCGTGGGACTTTGAGAGGGCGTGGATGACTAACAAGTTACCAAACGTAGAAAAAGAAGATCCTAAACGTCGCCGCGACAAAGACTGGGATAAAGATAACAATAACAGGAAAGACAGGCGTAACCGCGGCCGAGACAGGTAAACAATCTCCCTTTATATTAACCGTGGCCGAAACAGGGAAACAATTATACTCTTTATGTATTAACTGTGGCTGAGACAGGTAAACAATTACACTTTCTATGTATTAACCGCGGCCGAGACAGGTAAACAATCTCTCTTTATATTAACCGCGGCCGAGACAGGTAAACAATCTCTCTTTATATTAACCGCGGTCAAGACAGGTAAACAATCTCTCTTTATAATAACAGCGGCCGAGACAGGTAAACAATCTCCCTTTATATTACATGTAACTGTGGCCGAGACTGGTTAAAGATTATACTCTCTGTATATTAACCATGGCCGAGACAGGTAAACAATTACACTCTCTATATGTTATGTTACATTGTTAACCACGGCCGAGACAGGTAATTAATTACACTCTCTATATGTTAGATAACATTGTTAATGCTTTTCACAGATTATGTCTTTAATATTGAGATGTAATTTCATGTAAAAATGTACTCTCCATAGAACATAAAGTTTTAGCATTCTATGAAAATTTGCCCCTTAAAATCAAAATGATTTCAAAGTATTTTAGTTTTCTACCACTGTTTGTAAATTGTCTTTGAAGACCAGGAATATTGAACATAGTATAGGTATTTTACATTTCCTTGGTAAATAATGCTGCACTATTTTCGTTCAGAAGAAATAATGACGAGGACTGGCAGGATGAAGAGTACGATGATGAACAGATGAATCCTGACAGTAACCATGACAACATGTTAAATCCAGGTCAGAGACCCATGGGAGGAATGATGGGAAATATGCCTCCTGGAGATCCAAATCAAGGCAGAGGGCCGTTCAACCAAGGACCTGGAGATATGAATCAAGGCAGAGGGCCATTCAACCAAGGACCTGGAGATCTGAGTCAAGGTAGAGGGCCTTTCAACCAAGGCCCGATGCAGCCAAGAGATGGCATGGGTAATAGTGGTCCTCCAGGGAATATGAACATGCCTCCTGATAACATGGGTCCTGGTGGCATGATGCAAGGAAACATGGGCCCAGGTGTAAGGAACATGAATCCTGGGAATTTTGGCAACAGGAACCCTGGGAACTTTGGTGGGATGAATAACATGCCATTTCAAAATCCAGACCAAAGGAAAATGGGACCCAATCAGGGTCCTGGTCCTATGAACAATCCACCAAGATTTCAAGGGAATCAAGGTATCAGAAAGAATTGTCAAACCATTGAAAAAAATATGATCTTGTAAAGTGAAAGTTTATTGCAAAAGTTGTCTTTTTGATCAACAATTAAGTCATTTTCTAAGGTCAAACCAAATTTCTTTCCACAGGTGGACAGTTTGGCCAAGATTCTTTCCAAGGCATGAATAACATGCAGGGAAATTCATGGCGACAAAACAGAAATCAGTCAGACAACTTTTCTGGTCAGGACAGCTTCCAAGGTGACAATGACTACCGTACTGATGTGGACTTTCGACAGGACAACAAAAATCAGCAAGGTTTCCGAGGTGGAAGAGGTGGGAGATTCCAGAACCGAGGGGATCAGGATGAACGGTGGAACGATGGATCAGGTGGACAGCAGTGGAGAAACGACCTCAACATGCAGGAAAACTGGGGGTCTGATGGTGGAAACTTTAATGATCAGAACTTTGGGGGAAATATGGGGGGTGGAGGTGGCAGGGGTGGGAGAGGGAGAGGAGGTGGGGGAGGATGGAATGAAAGACGAGGTGGTGGATCTAGAGGAAACAGAAATGACGGGAACTTTAATCAGTCAGATCAGTTCAATCGTAAAAGAAATTGGAACCAGGGACCAGGTGATAGTGACTTTAATAGTGGACCTCGTAACAGTGGGTTTAAAGGAGGCAGTGGGCCTCAAGGAGGCTGGTCAGAAGACCACAACTCAGGGGGGCGAGGGAGGGGGAGGGGCAATAGGGGAAATCGGGGGTTCAGAGGAGGAAGAAGAGGAATGTCATAGCATTGTGATCTCAGTATTTTCATTTCATCATTACATCGTTTGAAAGATTTTTAGTTCCTTGCATGTTAAAGACAAGTCAGAATACTTCATTCGATTGGAAATTCATTTTTTGTATGTAAATAAGATACATGTTTCAATGTTTATGGAGCTCTCTTAAACATTTTTCTAAGCATGTTTTGTATGTAATTTGATGCAGACTTAGTACAAACATTCCTTAAGACTTGGGCAAACATAATTTAAGCTGAGTGCCTTGGAATTCAAGTTTTCTTCGAATTAATGTATATACATATACTGTTATTTTACAAGATTTTTTTGCTGCATCAATCAGTTAAACTGAATTCTGTTTTCCTATGTTAGTCATTTTGCAAAGAGTCAAAGCAGTGCTAGAGTGGATGATCTCTCTGTTTTTAATTGTAAAAAATGAAACAAACATTAAGAGACTCAAAAGTTGATTAAAAGAATACAATACAATGTACATGTATTAAGTTATTAATATTGATAAAACATACATGTATATAAATATGGGGGGAGTTTTTAATTGGTTTTGATACAACGGAATCCTGTGGAATCGTCATTGTTAGGGACCAGTATTCATGCATTTTGTGGGTCACCCTTACCCACGCATTTACTCCCCGGGAATAATAATGGTGTCTTCATAGTTCTTTGAATCTCCCTTATACAAAATATATTAGAAATTTTGTTCTGATGAACCAGTAATATTTTGATTGCCCACAAACATTGACCCCCACAAATTAATATGATTCCACAGTATCTTCCATAAGAAAATCCCCGAGTCTAAATGTCAGTTTGAGGTCTATGGGCCACAACACTCACCTAAGTCACTTAAGCTTTCAGACAAATATGCATAGAAATGAAACCCCTAATTGTAGCCATTTCTGTTTAAATTCAATGATTTTAGGATGTTAATAACAGAATATTGAGGCTTGGTCTTAAGCTTAGGAATACAAGTCTTGTTTTTCTTGTAGGAGTTATTTACCGGTAGTCCTGATTAATAGTTTAACTTTATATTGTGGCCATAGGAAGTTTGAACAAATTTGAATCTTGCATAATAATATGTCGAAGTGTGGAGTTGAGGTTCATGAAAGAGAAATGTTTTTCTCTGTGTATTCCTGTGGAAAGTTTCCATTCCCTGCCATGGCCAAAGCCTAGTTCCAAGGGAACAATTGTGAACTTTGGATCTGTGTATCAATATGGCTAACCGAGGACATTCTTTCTTTAGAAACTATTTTAATTAATTTCAGTGGCTTCCTGTACATTAGTGTGGGTTAATTCCTGAACATTTTCATTTTTTCTCTGAAATGGTAGTATAGATGTTAATTGAAGTATTTTTGCCCTGTAGCATTTTTGGATGAATGGAATCAAAAATTGTGAATTACAGTGAAAACTGTCTAATCCCATACCTGTGCAATCCATTTCACTGCCAATTCTGACCCTTATTTAAATTCTCATTTTAAGGTTCTCTATGTTCTTGACACTGTGAAATCTGATACCCCTTATACGCCGAGACAGAATTTGTCTCCCAGTGCAAGTCGAATTCAACAGGTTTCAGTGTACATAATCTCAAGGGGGTGGAGGACTCAGGACCAAAACCATCAAAATTCATAAACATGCTGCTGGCGTGATTAACACTACCAAAACTGTTAAATTCGTAAAAATGCTGCTGGTGCAACAACTCTCTATCAAAACTGTCAAATCCATCAACATGCTTCTGGCATGATTATGACCCTCTACCAAACCTGTCAAATTCAGCAACATACTGCTGGTATGATTAACCCTCTACCAAAACTCTCAAATTCGTGGCCCTGGATGCTCAGTTTAGGCCCAAGGTTGAGAAAAGTTGGTTGTAAATTGAAAATGCATTACATCTTTCAGGGATGGGGTAATCGTAATCGAGTAATCGTAATCGATTGTAATGATTACTGTTTTTCAAGTAATCGACAGTAATCTGTAATCGAAGAGATTTTCGATTACTTGTAATCGTAATTTAATCGATTACAGCTAAAATTTTCAATGTAATTATAATTACTTTTTCGATTACTTTCGATTATTTTATACATAAATGGATGTTATTTTGGAGAATTAATTCCAGTCAATCACACATAAATATCAAATATAAACCACCTAGTGTAATGTTTGGATTTCCTAACTTTTCTTATCATAAGTTTAATAATGTTCTCAATGAAATTTGCATTATAGACCTACTGGTCTAGTTTTAAATAATTCAGAAGTATATTTCAACCAATTATTAATAAAATATACAGATTTTTCGTGTGCATTTTACATTTGACCCACTGTCCTCTTGCTGCATGTCCTTTTTCATATTTCAGAAGTTGAAAAACTTTGTCTTGTAATAGAAAATTATAAATAGCAAAAACAGATTTAAGTGCTGTATTAAATATAAATAATTTGGTAAATAAACTACATAGTACTCAAAAAAAAGATGGAAATACTTATTCATATCTGAAAATGTTTAAACAACTTCAAACCTGTGTTTTAGTAACTTTAAAATTTGCAAAATCATTCTCATGTTTTCATTCAAAATTGTAAGGTTGCTTTTATATCATTTAGGGGTTATAAGTGCCTGTAACCCAAGAGAGGGAGTAAGTGTCACTGTGTTTGCTTATCTTAATTGGCTGATTAATTGACTGAGACATATCCCTGATTGCAGATAATGAGGTGTAAACTGTGAACTACCTTGTGTTTAACTATCATTCCATTGAAGACAAACAATATTATTAAAAGAATTAATACCTCTCGAAACACTTATTTCAATACAGAATGAAACTGTGTTACATGTATTAGTTAAATTACTTAAAGACACATTTAATTTACATGTTAATTACTAAGAGTTCGTTCTAATTTACTTATTTTTTTGAAAAAGACACGTACAGGAATGTTTAATGTGTACTGTCAACATACGGACAGCCCAAATACTTCTAATGAAGTAATTCACAATAAAATATTAAATAATCTTTTCAACAAGTCAATAAATATGGAGGTACAGATCTAAGGTTGAAAGGAATAATTAATTCCTTGGCATATTTTATTGTGGGAATCATGTCTCCACTTTCCATGGTAGAAAATCCCTCATTTGGGCATTTAGTGAGAATGTTAGCCAGAATAAAACCTTAAAAGAATCTGCACTGAAACTGCAGGAACACATTCAAACTTCAGTGGATAACATCAACATTTACCATTTAAATATTGCTTTGATATTTGAAGGGATAAAAACTTGGAAGTAATCGATTATTAATCGATTACATCTTCCAAAGTAATCGATTACAATCGATTACAGGACAAAAATGAGTGTAATCGATTAATAATCGATTACACAAAATTCCTCTAAGTAATCGATTATTAATCGATTACATTTTTCAGTAATCGTGCCCATCCCTGACATCTTTTAAATTCTTTACTCCTGGACACTGGGTTGCAAACTGTTAATTTGCTTTATTATAATGAGTATCTAGCCTCTAACAATTATCTGTCACACTTTGTGGATAAAGATTAAATGGATCAATTTCATACTTGATTAAAAAAAGTAAAAAGGAAGAAACCTAATGAATTACACAAAATTATGGAAGGGGGGGGGGATGTTAGCCTGTAGGTATCCTTCTAAATCATATTTCCTGACAAAATATAAACTTTTTTTTATTCTTTAATATAAAACTTGTGTTACAATTCCAACATATCACAGACAAATACATGCAAGGTGTAAATTGTGTTCAATTTAATAACAGGTCAGAAATATTGTAGATTGAAAAAAAAAATACATACAATTGAAATACAACAGCATAGACTTATTTCAATACTACAAGAGAAACGGTCATACTTGTCCCGAGGTAGTGTAGATGCCCGAGCTCGAAAGCTAAATTACAACACTTTCCCAAGTCTTCTTAAGGATCAACAGTATGGCTGTTCCATGAGTTGTCATAAAATAATTGTTTTATTACTAAACCTTATATATGTTAATATAAGAATGTGAAGCTAATAATTTAACTTTAATTTATCTTCCGTTACAATATAAACAACAATTTGTATTACCCCCCTACTTCAGGTAAACTTCTAAAAAATATAACAAATTAAAATAATTTAATAACAAAACCTTATCTTATGGTGTTATATCTGAAATATTACTGAGGTAATTACAGTGAACTTGTGTAATCCAATGTTGTGTATTCCAAAATCTTGCCCAATAGGATGTAAACTTAAGTCCCTTTCAGACGTACATTCCATTGTATAAAATGTTCTCTGATCTGGAGTGTTGACTGATCTGGCCAATTTCTGTCTGGATTAGACAATATTTTTGTATCACTTATAATGATATATGTAAATTTTTAAGTACTGTCTTAAATTAAGACTCTTAACGACGTCAGACCTAATTCATTTCTGCAATAGATTTTTTATTCAAATTTTAATATGAGGTAAAGTAACTTTTGGTGAGTTAAAATCAATAAAAAAAATAATATGGTCATCGATGTAGATTTTTAATGGGGAGCCTTTCAAAAGTTGACGATGGAAATCGATAATTACTATAGGAAGTAATGGGAAATTGCCAGTGTAGAGTATAAGAGTGATCATTGAAAAAATTCTACAAAAGAGTTTTTATTCATATTAAAGGACAATGTTAACTAGACAATTTACCAGCAAATTATGCCAAAAAATAAATGGGTCATCGGCTTAATTTTTTCAGAGGGGCATGTCAAACACAGGTGTAGGGCACATTTTGGAGGAAATTTTCAATGAAAATACCTTGGCCAAATAAATCATTTATTTATAAAATTAACAAATGGATATAAATCGAAATATTTACAATATTTTTGAATTGAAAGGAAACGTTTGAATATCTTTAAAAGAATTTAAAATGTATATTCTTTATCTTTTGCAATACTTAAGTCAATTTGATTCAAGGCATATGCACAATTTTCTGTGATGTGGCTCGAAATTTCGAATTAGGTCCGTCATCCTTAATGACACAATTTTTTGACTGGGATATAATTTGACTGTTTGAAGATATGCAAAAACATTTAAAAAATCAGAAAATAGTTAAAAAGGCTTAATATGAATTTATAAAGGTTAAGTAATAAAATGAACTATTGAATCTCTGGAATAAAATCAACATTAGAGAAACCATTTCTGTTCACAATGAATATTTAATGCATAAAAAGACTTAGAAAAAGAAATCAATGGAATTCCTGATATTTTTCCTTTCACCAAAACTTATTATCTTCATTACATGTTGATAAACATGTAAATTGAATAAAAAATATCTTGTAAATGGATACTAGTACATGTATACAGAAATATGCAATACTTTAAATTTGGAGTAGCTCTCTTACAAACATGAACTCATTTTTGCAATTTGAACAAAATATTTAATAAAATTTACATGTAACAAGAGGCCCAGGGGCCACATCGCTCACCTGAGCACTATGGCTAGGAAAAAGCAGAAATCAGTTCAGTCTTGAAAGGTTGAAAAGTTTAAATAAAAAAGTGGTTGGGGGGGGGGGGGGGGGGGTCATGAATTGAACAAATTTGAATCTACATTGTCTGAGGATGCTTCCATTTTAATATGACCAATCATGGCTTTACTGTTCTTGAGTAGAAGATTTATTCCTATGTAAAACTTTGATCGCCCATTGTGGCCCCATCCGACCCCTGGGGGTCATGATTTGAACAAACTTAAATCTACACTATCTGAGGATGCTACCATATAAATATGACCAATCATGGCTTTGCTGTTCTTGAGAAGAAGATTTTTAAAGATTATACCTATATATTCCTATGTAAAACTTTGATCGCCCATTGTGGCCCCACCCGACCCCCGGGGGTCATGATTTGAACAAACTTGAATCTACACTATCTGAGGATGCTACCATATAAATATGACCAATCATGGCTTTGCTGTTCTTGAGAAGAAGATTTTTAAAGATTTTTCCTATATATTCCTATGTAAAACTTTGATCGCCCATTGTGGCCCCACCCGACCCCCAGGGGTCATGATTTGAACAAACTTGAATCTACACTACCTGAGGATGCTTCCACATAAGTTTCATATTTTCAAGCACAGTGGTTCTTGAGAAGAAGATTTTTTAATGATGCCATTAATTTTTCACGAATTCTTAATTACCTCCCCTTGGAAGAAGGCTTGACCCTTCATTTGAATAAACTTGAATCCCCTTTACCCAAGGATACTTTGTGGCAAGTTTGGTTGAAATTGTCCCAGTGGTTCTTGAGAAGAAGATGAAAATGTGAAAAGTTTACAACAACAACGACGACAACGACGACAGACAACGGACAAATTTTGATCAGAAAAGCTCACTTGAGCCTTTGGCTCAGGTGAGCTAAAAAGTGATATGTATCATAATGCCAAATCACATATACTAGATGAGAAAAAAGAAAGACAGCAAATTTATGATTTTCAATTCTTTTTGTAACTGTTAAATTACTTGAATAATGTAATGCTTACTTCAAGCTCTGCTGAGCACAGCATTCAAGCATGATGCAACCATTTCATTTTTAGTAGGGAATTTTTGCTAGAAAAATTAACCAGATATAAATACCAGATTCAATAAGAATTATGTTTTTTATCAAATTTAACTTAAATTCTCTCTCATTCTGATTGTTAAGAAATGGTAAATTGACTTTCAGTTTCTTTAAACAATGAGCATACAACAAAATATGTCACCATCGGGCATGAGAGTAAATCAAACACTCAAGACTTCCTATCTGCACTTTTCAAGATTGATTTTCTACAAAATTCATACCATTTGGAGGTTATACAGTGCAAAAATAATCTTTAAGGAACTTTTTTTTTTACATTTGTTCTGATTATTTCATTCTTAGAAATTTGTTAAGAGATAAAACGATTTTTGTTTGTGTGTTTGTTTGTTTTTTGGAAGTACTCTTAACTTGACTTTAATTTGACAATTTAAGGTCCTAATTTTGCGGAAATCACAATTTCTGTCCAATCCGAGGGTGGTGATTTTCTGGGATTGCCAACGTATGTCACTTTAAGTATGGTATGATAAATTTCCGCAGATATTTTTGTAAATAGCACAAATTAATCTCACACAGAAAAATGTATATCTACAGATACATGCATCCTTTCTTTTGTCATTTGGTATAAATGTACAATTAATTATAAATTTTTCTTTATAAATGTGTCATGCCTTTAATGCATGTACTTGTAAAATAATACATGTAAATTGTTGTATTAGGAAAATCAAACAATACAAAACAAAAATGAAAAATGTCTCACACATTACATGCATGTTTCTGGTGCACTTGTTGATCATCTATTTGCTACATAAAATATAAGTTTAGACACCAGAAACTTCTGAAGAGTCACACATTCAAAGCACAAAAAATGTTTTAAAATAAAAAGAAAAAAGAATAATTCTGTTTAAATTTTATATTTTGAAAACTATATTAAGTTGGAACTAATATAAGAATGTATGTGTCAGCTACCCAAAAATTTCATGTGTATACAAAAGCTGATCTTCATGAAGTATGGATATCCAAATTGAATGCATATGTATTAATTTGAGTGATAAATCAACTAGAATCATGTGTCTCTTCCTCTTCACCATGTAAAGACTGGTTAAAAGAGCCGGCCGTTAATTGACGTAACACCAGCCGCTTATACACTCCATTTTTAGCTAGAAGTTCATCATGGGTCCCCATTTCTGATATTTCTCCTTTATCAATGACCACAACCTGTAATAAAAGTTTGTATTCAGCAAGCATTCTGAGAATACTGATGATGAAAAGCATGTTCCCATATACATCTGGAAAATGTGTTCCTTTTGCTACAGACATCACAGTTTGAATGTGTATAAAGCACAAAATTACATGGAAAAAATTATCCCCCTCCCCAAATATGTCAAATTTATGTCGATGAAGCATATGCAAATGTTTAAATTTCAATGAAATGGATCAAAATTCAAGCAACCTTTAAGAATTCCTATAAATAACAAGAAGCCCAAGGGTCTTACCTGAGTACAATACAAACTATAAAGGATCCATAGAAGTATAAAATAAACTGATAGATGAAGCTATGCTGCCCAAAAGCAAGAAATAAGATGACCAGGGATCAACAAAAGAATTAGTATAGTACTCATTAATAAATCTTAAAGTAGATCTATTTGCTTGCCTGTACTTGCCCCCATTTGCCATTATCACTACAGAGACTAAACGAGTGCTTGAACACTATTGTAAACCCTGTCTCATTGCCTGTCATACTGGCCTCTTGGTCTTTGAAGAACATTTAATATACAAAGATAATATATTTTTGTCCCATTCTTATAAATCTTTTATGTGCAAGTCTAGCTGACTATTACAAACCAAGTTACTCTTTGTATAATGCATCATTAAAATTCTTGTATAATTCTCTTATTTAATTGACCTTTTAAATACATTTCTTACAGTAATTAATTATAATAGGTGAATAGAAAGAGGGAATAACATCTCTCAGTAGAATACAATTTAATATAGCCCTGCATGCCGAGCACCAAATCACTTGAACAAGTAGTCCATAGAATACAAATTAATATAGCCCTGCATGCCCAGCACCAAATCACTTGAACAAGTAGTCCAGATTTTCAAAACTCTAGTAAAAATACCCTTGCTTAATGATCAATAGAGCCCCACCCTAACACGAGATCCCCTGACCAAGGGACCATGAAATTCACAGCTTTGGAAGAGACACCCTTGCTCATCATAATTATGTACTAACTTTGTTTGCTTAATTCCCAGGAGAAGAGAAGAAGATTTTCAAAAAAAAAACAATGAATTTTCACTATATAATCAACAGAGCCCCACCCCAACCCCTGACCCTGGTGCCACAAATTTCACAATTTTGGAGGAGGCACCCCCGCTCATCATAACCACCTAGTTTATCTGCTAAATATACAGGGGAGAGAAGAAGATTTTTAAAGAATTTATGCATATTCAATATATGATCATTAGAGCCCCACCCTAACTTCAGAACTCCTGACCCTGGGGCCAAGAATTTCAAAAATTTGGTAGAGGGCTCAATGTTTATTACAATCAACGGTTTGACTGCTTGATGTCTAGGAGTAAAGAAGAAGATTTTCAAAGACAGCACTAATTTTGATGGTTTTTGCCCCAACCCTAAGGCCCCATGGGGGCAGGGACCATAAAATTCACAATTTTTGTACCCCTTCACCCGTAGATGCTATATGCCAAAATTTTTTGAAATTGGCTTAGGGGTTCAAGAGAAGAAGCTGGAAATGTTCAAAAGTTTAAGAGCGACGAACTACGCACAGTGACAGACGAAAACAGATAGCAATAGGTCACCTGAGTGACTCGTGTGACCTAAAAATTCAGCTACATCTATTTTCAGTAATAGAGGGGCATCACTCAGTGATGTTCAGAATTCCTAAAAACTAAAGCAACTAACAACTCTATAACACAGTATTGAAACCAAACTTTAATCCATGTTTGAAATTGTTATCTGAATAAAAACACCTTTCAGGGAACAGAATGATTTTCAGTCAATAACAAACCTTGGTGGCATTTCTGACAGTGGAGAGACGGTGAGCTATGAATGTTTGATTTTCAGTCAATAACAAACCTTGGTGGCATTTCTGACAGTGGAGAGACGGTGAACTATAACTGTTTGATTTATAGGCAATAACAAACCTTGGTGGCATTTCTGACAGTGGAGAGACAGTGAGCTATGAATGTTTGATTTTCAGTCAATAACAAACCTTGGTGGCATTTCTGACAGTGGAGAGACGGTGAGCTATGACAATTACGGTTCTTCCTTTCATTGCTCTGTCTACTGCCTCCTGAACCAAGTGTTCACTCTCAGCATCCAGGGCACTGGTGGCCTACAAGCAGGAAGTTCACATTTAATTCAACACTCTGTTGTTTGGAAAACATTCTACTACAATCTTTTTTTTAACTACAAAATCTGAAATATTGAGAAATTGCATCAATTTTAGCCTTTAATGCTGCTGTGTAGAGATGAGTTTTTTATAGTATACATATACATGTATATCTACATGTATATCAAACAATCATAACACATTTTGTGTTAAGATTATCTCACCTCACCTAGTAACAGGAGCACTGGGTCCATAATAAGAGCTCTAGGTTTTATGCTTTATCTCACCTCATCTAGTAACAGTACTGGGTCCATAATAACAGCTCGGGGTTTTATTATTTATCTCACCTCATTTAGTAACAGGAGTACAGGGTCCACAATAAGAGCTCGGGGTTTTATTATTTATCTCACCTCATCTAGTAACAGGAGTACTGGGTCCACAATAAGAGCTCGGGGTTTTATTATTTATCTCACCTCATCTAGTAACAGGAGTACTGGGTCCATAATAAAAGCTCGGGGTTTTGTTATTTATCTCACCTCATCTAGTAACAGTACTGGGTCCATAATAAAAGCTCGGGGTTTTATTATTTATCTCACCTCATTTAGTAACAGGAGTACTGGGTCCACAATAAGAGCTCAGGGTTTTATTATTTATCTCACCTCATTTAGTAACAGGAGTACTGGGTCCATAATAACAGCTTGGGGTCATCTCACCTTATCAAGTAACAGGAGTACTGGGTCCACAATAAGAGCTTGGGGTTTTATTATTTATCTCACCTCATTTAGTAACAGGAGTACTGGGTCCACAATAAGAGCTCGGGGTTTTATTATTTATTTCACCTCATCTAGTAACAGGAGTACTGGGTCCATAATAACAGCTCGGGGTCATCTCACCTCATCAAGTAACAGGAGTACTGGGTCCATAATAACAGCTCGGGGTTTTATTATTTATCTCACCTCATTTAGTAACAGGAGTACTGGGTCCACAATAAGAGCTCGGGGTTTTATTATTTATTTCACCTCATCTAGTAACAGGAGTACTGGGTCCACAATAAGAGCTCAGGGTTTTATTATTTATCTCACCTCATCAAGTAACAGGAGTACTGGGTCCATAATAAGAGCTCGGGGTTTTATTATTTATCTCACCTCTTCTAGTAACAGGAGTACTGGGTCCATAATAAGTGCTCAGGGTTTTATTATTTATCTCACCTCATTTAGTAACAGGAGTACTGGGTCCATAATAACAGCTTGGGGTTTTATTATTTATCTCACCTCATTTACTAACAGGAGTACTGGGTCCATAATAAGAGCTCAGGGTTTTATGATTTATCTCACCTCATCTAGTAACAGTACTGGGTCCATAATAACAGCTCGGGGTCATCTCACCTCATCTAGTAACAGGAGTACAGGGTCCATAATAAGAGCTCGGGGTTTTATTATTTATCTCACCTCATTTAGTAACAGGAGTACTGGGTCCATAATAAGAGCTCTAGGTTTTATGATTTATCTAACCTCATCTAGTAACAGGAGTACTGGGTCCATAATAAGAGCTCGGGGTTTTATGATTTATCTCACCTCATCTAGTAACAGGAGTACAGGGTCCATAATAACAGCTTGGGGTTTTATTATTTATCTCACCTCATTTAGTAACAGGAGTACTGGGTCCATAATAAGAGCTCAGGGTTTTATGATTTATCTCACCTCATCTAGTAACAGTACTGGGTCCATAATAACAGCTCGGGGTCATCTCACCTCATCAAGTAACAGGAGTACAGGGTCCATAATAAGAACTCGGGGTTTTATTATTTATCTCACCTCATTTAGAAACAGGAGTACTGGGTCCATAATAAGAGCTCGGGGTTTTATTATTTATCTCACCTCATTTAGTAACAGGAGTACTGGGTCCATAATAACAGCTCGGGTTCATCTCACTTCATCAAGTAACAGGAGTACTGGGTCCACAATAAGAGCTCGGGGTTTTATTATTTATCTCACCTCATTTAGTAACAGGAGTACTGGGTCCATAATAAGAGCTCAGGGTTTTATGATTTTTCTCACCTCATCTAGTAACAGTACTGGGTCCATAATAACAGCTCGGGGTCATCTCACCTCATCAAGTAACAGGAGTACTGGGTCCATAACAAGAGCTCGGGGTTTTATTATTTATCTCACCTCATTTAGTAACAGGAGTACTGGGTCCATAATAAGAGCTTGGGGTTTTATTATTTATCTCACCTCATTTAGTAACAGGAGTACTGGGTCCATAATAACAGCTCGGGTTCATCTCACTTCATCAAGTAACAGGAGTACTGGGTCCACAATAAGAGCTCCGGGTTTTATTATTTATCTCACCTCATTTAGTAACAGGAGTACTGGGTCCATAATAAGAGCTCAGGGTTTTATGATTTTTCTCACCTCATCTAGTAACAGTCCTGGATCCATAATAACAGCTTGGGGTCATCTCACCTCATCAAGTAACAGGAGTACTGGGTCCATAATAAGAGCTCGGGGTTTTATTATTTATCTCACCTCATTTAGTAACAGGAGTACTGGGTCCATAATAACAGCTCGGGGTTTTTTTATTTATCTCACCTCATCTAGTAACAGGAGTACTGGGTCCACAATAAGAGCTCGGGGTTTTATTATTTATCTCACCTCATTTAGTAACAGGAGTACTGGGTCCACAATAAGAGCTCGGGGTTTTATTATTTATCTCACCTCATTTAGTAACAGGAGTACTGGGTCCATAATAACAGCTTGGGGTTTTATTATTTATCTCACCTCATCTAGTAACAGGAGTACTGGGTCCACAATAAGAGCTTGGGGTTTTATTATTTATCTCACCTCATCTAGTAACAGGAGTACTGGGTCCATAATAAGAGCTCTTGCTATGGCAATCCTCTGTTTCTGACCTCCCGACAGACGAACTCCTCTCTCTCCCACTAAAGTATTGTACCCATCCTCAAAGGTTGAGATAAATTCATGTGCATTGGCCTGCTTAGCCACAGCCTCTACCTACAATAACAAATGACTTAATCAAGAGGAACTCGTAGCTGCACATTCACACCACAATAAAAGCACATACAAGGATGCATACACATCAATTTAATCAAGTTTTGTTTTAAAACTTTTCCATCAAAAATGAAACAGTGGATTTTTGATTTAACACTTAGATTTAATGTGAATTTCAAAAGGGATGAATAAAAAAAATTTCATTATCTATAAATAACCTCTTGATCTGTTGCCCTACATCCATAAGCAATGTTGTCTTTGATGGAGGAAGCAAACAAAGTTGGTTCTTGACTGACCATGGATACTTTTTTGCGGAACCATTGAGGATCCAATGTCTTCAGGTCCACATCACCTATAATCAACAGGAATTCAGTAAAAGAAGGATTGGCACATCCAAAATTTATTATAAACTTTGCTTAAAATATAACATTTTACCCATCATTTCAATAGAGCAGGTTTAGAAAATCACTGTATCAATTTATCTCTAGGTACAGTATTACTATGCATTTTTTTTTTATTGTGGAAAAAATTTGCCCAATTATTTTTACTTAGATACAGAAATTGACAAGTTTGCCCTGTTTTACTTTCAATCAAAAGGATAAACATTTGAAATATGGAGGTTTAACCAGGCATCTGCATTCAAACGTTTACAGAGGTAAAACTCACCTAACAGTATTCTGCCAGAGTCTGGATCATAGAACCTCTCTATAAGGTTAACAATGGTAGATTTTCCACCTCCACTGGGCCCCACTAGGGCCACCATCTCACCCGGCTCCACACTGAATGTAATGCCCTAAAAAATCAAGACACAGCATAGTACTATTGATTAGGTGTCAATACAGGAGTCAATCTTGATACTGTAGCTTTATTACCTTTAAAACTTTAGTTTCGGGCCTTGAAGGATAGGTGAAATAAACATTTTGGAATTCAACCCCTGAAATAACAAGAAATTATTCCTCATTTATCCTGTGAGACAGAAAAGGTTATGGTTTCAGTTTAACATCATGTTGGTACATACGTCCATTCATGTGATAGAGGACTTCTCCGTTCTCTGTTGGTACATCCGGCACTCGGTCCAGCAAGTCAAAGATTCTTATAGAGGCCCCTACTGCCTTTTAGAATTACCAAATAAAAACAAGAGGCCCATGGGCCACATTGCTCACCTGAGCACACTGGCTAGATTAAGGCACAAATCAGTTCAGTAATGAACGGGGGGGGGGGGGGGGGGGGGGGGGGTATTTTTGTAAAAATTTGATCCCCCATTGTAGCTCCTCCCTATCTCAGGGGTCATCATTTGAACAAACTTGAATCTACATTATCAATCCCCCATTGGGCCTCACCCTACCCCCGGCAGCCATGATTTGAACAAAATTGAATCTACACTTCCTGAGGATGCTTCCATATAAATATGACTCTTCATGGCTTTACTGTTCTTGAGAAGATTTTTGAAGATTTTTCCTGTATATTTCTATGCAAAATTTGGATCCTCCATTGTGGCCCCGCCCTACCCCCGGGGGTCATGATTTGAACAAACTTGAATCTACACTACCTGAGAATGCTTCCGTATAAATATGACTCTACATGGCTTTACTGTTCTTGAGAAGAAGATTTTTAAAGATTTTTCCTATATATTTCTATGCAAAATTTGGATCCTCCATTGTGGCCCCGCCCTACCCCTGGGGGTCATGATTTGAACAAAATTGAATTTACACTTCCTGAGGATGCTTCCATATAAATATGACTCTTCATGGCTTTACTGTTCTTGAGAAGAAGATTTTCCTATATATTTCTATGTAAAACTTTGATCCTCCATTGTGGCCCCGCCCTACCCCCGGGGGTCATGATTTGAACAAATTTGAATCTACACTACCTGAGGATACTTCCATATAAATATGACTCTTCATGGCTTTACTGTTCTTGAGAAGAAGATTTTTAAAGATTTTTCCTATATATTTCTATGTAAAATTTGGATCCTCCATTGTGGCCCCGCCCTACCCCCAGGGGTCATGATTTGAACAAAATTGAATCTACACTTCCTGAGGATGCTTCCATATAAATATGGCTCTTCATGGCTTTACTGTTCTTGAGAAGAAGATTTTTAAAGATTTTTCCTATATATTTCTATGTAAAATTTGGATCCTCCATTGTGGCCCCGCCCTACCCCTGGGGGTCATGATTTGAACAAAATTGAATTTACACTTCCTGAGGATGCTTCCATATAAATATGACTCTTCATGGCTTTACTGTTCTTGAGAAGAAGATTTTCCTATATATTTCTATGTAAAACTTTGATCCTCCATTGTGGCCCCGCCCTACCCCCGGGGGTCATGATTTGAACAAATTTGAATCTACACTACCTGAGGATACTTCCATATAAATATGACTCTTCATGGCTTTACTGTTCTTGAGAAGAAGATTTTTAAAGATTTTTCCTATATATTTCTATGTAAAATTTGGATCCTCCATTGTGGCCCCGCCCTACCCCCAGGGGTCATGATTTGAACAAAATTGAATCTACACTTCCTGAGGATGCTTCCATATAAATATGGCTCTTCATGGCTTTACTGTTCTTGAGAAGAAGATTTTTAAAGATTTTTCCTATATATTTCTATGTAAAATTTGGATCCTCCATTGTGGCCCCGACCTACCCCCGGGGGTCATGATTTGAACAAAATTGAATCTACACTTCCTGAGGATGCTTCCATATAAATATGACTCTTCATGGCTTTACTGTTCTTGAGAAGAAGATTTTTCCTATATATTTCTATGTAAAACTTTGATCCTCCATTGTGGCCCCGCCCTACCCCCGGGGGTCATGATTTGAACAAATTTGAATCTACACTACCTGAGGATACTTCCATATAAATATGACTCTTCATGGCTTTACTGTTCTTGAGAAGAAGACTTTTAAAGATTTTTCCTATATATTTCTATGTAAAATTTGGATCCTCCATTGTGGCCCCGCCCTACCCCCAGGGGTCATGATTTGAAAAAAATTGAATCTACACTTCCTGAGGATGCTTCCATATAAATATGGCTCTTCATGGCTTTACTGTTCTTGAGAAGAAGATTTTTAAAGATTTTTCCTATATATTTCTATGTAAAATTTGGATCCTCCATTGTGGCCCCGCCCTACCCCCGGGGGTCATGATTTGAACAAAATTGAATCTACACTTCCTGAGGATGCTTCCATATAAATATGACTCTTCATGGCTTTACTGTTCTTGAAAAGAAGATTTTTAAAGATTTTTCCTATATATTTCTATGTAAAACTTTGATCCTCCATTGTGGCCCCGCCCTACCCCCGGGGGTCATGATTTGAACAAACTTGAATCTACACTACCTGGGGATGCTTCCATATAAATATGACTCTTCATGGCTTTACTGTTCTTGAGAAGAAGATTTTTAAAGATTTTTCCTATATATTTCTATGTAAAACTTTGATCCTCCATTGTGGCACCGCCCTACCCCCGGGGGTCATGATTTGAACAAACTTGAATCTACACTACCTGGGGATGCTTCCATATGAGTTTCATCTTTCCTGGCCCTGTGGTTCTTGAGAAGAAGATTTTTTAAAGATGCTATTCATTTTCACTAATTCTTAATTATCTCCCCTTGAAAGAGGGCGTGGCCCTTCATTTGAACAAACTTGAATCCCCTTCACCCAAGGATGCTTTGTGGCAAGTTTGGTTGAAATTGGCCCAGTGGTTCTGGAGAAGAAGTCGAAAATGTGAAAAATTTACAGACAGACGGACTACAGACAAAATGTGATCAGAAAAGCTCACTTGAGCTTTCAGCTCAGGTGAGCTAACAAGAGGCCCAAGGGCCTTAATGGTCACCTGAGTATAATACAACAATTTAGAAGTTAAATACACTGATAGATGAAGCTTTGTTGCCCTAAAGCAAGAGAAGTAGGAAGATCAGGATCAACAAAATAATTAGTCTAATATTCAGTATCAACTCATAACTTAAGTTCTAATCTGTCCCCCACTTAACACTATCACCATGCAGACTATAAACAAACTATTTGTGCTTCTGTTCTATTTTTAAACCCATATTAAGACCTCTAGCATTGACCTCTCTTATGGTCTTTGAAGAACTTTTAATAAGATAAGTTATTTTTGTCTCATTTTATTTATCTATTACTTACAGGTCTACCTGAATATTAAAACTAAGAAAGTACTTTTTGAATTATACCATAAACATTCTTGCATAATTATCTTATTCTATTAACCTTTCAAATACATTACCGGTATTTACAGTGATTAATTATCAAAGGTGAATGGAAAAGAGGAATAACTTCTCTCAGTAGAATACAAATTAATAGAGCCCTGCCCAGGACCAGAATGCTTAGACAAATGGTCCAGATGTTCAAAAATCTGGTAGAAATACGCTTACTCATATCATTTAAACTTTTACTCAGTTTGCTTCCGATATCCCAGAAGCAGAGAAGAATTTCACAGGTACAATGCATTTTCACTATAGATTCAACAAAGCCTTACCCTAATACAAGAACCCAAGACCAAGGGTCAAGAAATTTACAAATTTGGAAGAGTTACCCACATCATCATAACTATGGTCTTCAAAGAATTAACACTTTTCCACTATATCATCAAAAGCTGCCCCCCCTCCCCCCCCCCCCCCCCCATTATGCCAGAACCCCTGACCCTAGGACCACAAGATTTAAAAATACTGTTTGAAGCTCCCATTTTCATCATAGCTAAGCAATTTATTTATCAGCTCAACACTACGGAGCATACAGGATTAATTAATGATTAATTTATAGAATTAATGCTTTTTCACTATATAATCAATAGAGCCCCCCCCCCTTCCTCAAGAACCCCAAAAACAGAGGCCATATATTTAAAAATTTTGGAAGAGGCATCCTTGCCTATCATAATCATGCACTTAGTTTGTTTAAATAATCTCCAGTAGCAGAGAAGAAGATTTTCAAAGAATCAATGCATTTTCACTATATAATCAATAGAGCCCCGCCCTAACACCAGAACCCCTGACCCTGGGGCCATGAAATTCACAATTTTTAAAAAGGCATCCTTATGCATCATAACCATGCACTTAGTTTGTTTAAATAATCTCCAGTAGCAGAGAAGAAGATTTTCAAAGAATTAATGCATTTTCACTATATAATCAATAGAGCCCCGCCCTAATACCAGAACCCCTGACCCAGGGGCCATGGCTTTCACAATTCTGGAAGAGGCCCACCTCCTCATCATAACTATGTACTTAGTTTATCACCTTAATGCCCAGGAGCAGAGGAGAAGATTTTCAAAGAATTAATGCATTTTCACTATATAGTCAATAGAGCCCCGCCTTAACACCAGAACCCCTGACCCTGGGGCCATGAAATTCATAATTTTGAAAGAGGTACTCTTGCTCATCATAACTATGTACTTAGTTACTTTATTAAATATCCAGACCAGAGAAGAAGATTTTCAAAGAATTAATGCATTTTCACTATATAATCAATAGAGCCCCACCCTTATACCAGAACCCCTGACCCTGGGGCCATGAAATTCACAATTTTGGAAGAGGCACTTTTGCTCATCATAACTATGTACTTAGTTACCTTATTTAATACCCAGGACCACAGGAGAAGATTTTCAAAGAATTAATGCTTTTTCACTACATAATCTATAGAGCCCCGCCCTAACACCAGAACCCCTGACCCTGGGGCCTTGAATTTCACAATTTTGAAAGAGGCACTCTTGCTCATCATAACTATGTACTTAGTTACTTTATTTAATACCCAGGAGCAGAGAAGAAGATTTTCAAAAAATTAATGCATTTTCACTATATAATCAATAAAGCCCTGCCCTAACACCAGAACCCCTGACCCTGGGGCCATGAAATTCACAATTTTGGAAGATGCTCTCTTACTCATCATAACTATGTACTTAGTTACTTTATTTAATACCCAGGAGCAGAGAAGAAAATTTTCAAAGAATTAATGCATTTTCACTATATAATCAATAGAGCCCCGCCCTTACACCAGAACCCCTAACCCTGGGGCCATGAATTTCACAATTTTGAAAGAGGCACTCTTGCTCATCATAACTATGTACTTAGTTACTTTATTTAATATCCAGGAGCAGAGAAGAAGATTTTCACTATATAATCAATAGAGCCCCGCCCTAACTCCAGAACCCCTGACCCTGGGGTCATGAAATTCACAATTTTGGAAGATGCTCTCTTACTCATCATAACTATGTACTTAGTTACTTTATTTAATACCCACGAGCAGAGAAGAAGATTTTCAAAATATTAATGCATTTTCACTATATAATCAATAGAGCCCCGCCCTTACACCAGAACCCCTGACCCTGCAGCCATGAAGTTCACAATTTTGAAAGAGGCACTCTTGCTCATCATAACTATGTTCTTAGTTACTTTATTTAATACCCAGGAGCAGAGAAGAAGATTTTCAAAAAATTAATGCATTTTCACTATATAACCAATAGAGCCCCGCCCTTACACCAGAACCCCTGACCCTGCGGCCATGAATTTCACAATTTTGAAAGAGGCACTCTTGCTCATCATAACTATGTACTTAGTTACTTTATTTAATACTCAGGAGCAGAGAAGAAGATTTTCAAAAAATTAATGCATTTTCACTATATAATCAATAGAGCCCTGTCCTAACACCAGAACCTGACCCTGGGGCCATGAATTTCACAATTTTGGAAGAGGCACTCTTGCTCATCATAACTATGTACTTAGTTACTTTATTTAATACCCAGGAGCAGAGAAGAAAATTTTCAAAGAATTAATGCTTTTCACTATATAATCAATAGAGCCCCACCCTTACACCAGAACCCCTGACCCTGGGGCCATGAATTTCACAATTTTGGAAAAGGCACTCTTGCTCTTCATAACTATGTACTTAGTTACTTTATTTAATACCCAGGAGCAGAGAAGAAGATTTTCAAAGAAATAATGCACTTTCACTATATGACCTATATAGCCCCACCCTGGGGCCACAACCCCTGACCCTGGGGCCATGAATTTCACAATTTTGGTAGAGGGCTCAATGCTTCTTACAATCATGCCAACAGTTTGACTGCTTGATGTCCAGGAGTAAAGAAGAAGATTTTTAAAGATTGCATTATTTTTGGTGGTTTTAGCCCCACCCCTCAGGCCCCAGGGGGGCAGGGACTATGAAATTCACAATTTTTGTTCATCTTCACCCATTGATGCTATATGCCAAATTTGGTTGAAATTGCGGTTTCAGAGAAGAAGCTAAAAATGTTCAAATGTTAACGCACAACGCACACCAACGGATGAGAACGGATAGCAATAGGTCACCTGAGTGACTCAGGTGACCTAAAAATAATAATAATAAAATAAACAGTAATTTCTCTGTTACTCAGATTTGGATGTTGTATGTCAGATTCTTAGCATAATTTTTTTTAAGTGTCACCCAAGTATAAGAATAAAACAAAACTGCATGAAATCGTACAAGCGTTTATTACACTGTACATGTATCAATATTGATAAAATTTCCCATACAATGAAGTCATACCTGCATAAAATCCCCATAGAGGGCTGACATCAAGGCAAATGCCATGGCAACTTGTAAGGTATACAGCAAAAAAGCTGCAAAAGATAAATGATGCAAATCATCCTAAACCACATCCCTTCATAGAGTCTTATACACAACTCTTAAATTAACTTTTGCAGATAATTTCTCTGTCCCTGAATTTTCCAAATTCATATCCCCTCCTCTGATTCCAGATTTAGCTGTGAGAGTCCTGTTTACAGCCAGATTTAGCTGGGAGAGTCCTGTTTACAGCCAGATTTAGCTGGGAGAGTCCTGTTTACAGCCAAGTGACAAGTAAGGGTTTGTGTAAGCCATAAGATCATAAAATAGTTAAAGTCAGTGTAACAGATGTACAAATGAAGTTGCAGATTTAAAGTCAATGTATCAGGTGAGCAGGTGTAGTAATTTCAAATAAGAACAGGTATTCTCATAAACAAACTGTTTCAAAAAGTTAAAATAATAGATTTAGTAGTGATATAGCAGACTTCCATGTAAAACACAGCAGATTTACAGGTCAAGTAATGGACGTCACGGCCATATATAAAGTTATATATGACTAATGAGGCAATGTATGACTTACAAGTCTTGTAATATAAAAGACTAATAGTTCAAATAACAAAATTACAGGTACTGTAACTAACTTGTAATGTACATTTAACATAACAAATGAACAGATATTGTAAGACAATTACATGTATCAAGCGATTTACATGTAAGATTTAAACATGTAACATAAGGGTCCAACACGTAATGTAAGAGACTAACATTAACTTCAGCACTTACATGTGATGTAAGACATTTTTATGTAAAAGATAGATATTTACATTTAATGAGAGAGAGTTACATGTGACATTGGAGTTACTTAAGAGATTTACGGGTAACATAAGAGCCTTATATGTAACATAAGAGATTTACATGTAACATAAGAGACTTTGATGTAAAGTAAGAGATTTACATGTCAGATAAAACTTATATGTAACAAGAAATTTACATCCAACATAAGTGATTTACATGTAAAATGAACCTTATATGTAACATAAGAGATTTACATGTAACAAAAGAGATTTAAATGTAATATAAGAGAATTACAGGTAATACAAGAGATTTACATGTAGCATAAGAGACTTAAATGTAATAGAAGAAATTAACATGCAACATAGATTTAAATGTAACAAAAGAGGTTGAAACATAAGAGATTTATATAAGTAACATAAAAGATCTACATGTAAAAGAACTATATAAAGGTAAAGAATTACAGGTACACAGACTTACATGTAAGTACACCTGGAGTAAGGCCTGTATGTTCTCCATGTGTGTTGTCATACACCAGCTTTCCACCATACCATAGAACCATAGCTATTGCACCATAAGCCAAAATACCCACTATACCCTCAAATGCACCTGGAACGCAGAAGAACAATCATTTTCAAGTGTGAAAAAGTGAAAATAACAAGGGGAAAAAATAAGCCTGTATATAGTACTCAACACTTAAATTTTTTTCTTAAATAAGAATATCTATTTCAGTTTTTATTTGAATTTATTGTACTATTATACTAACTATAAGTAATGTAAACTAACCCAGACTGATATAAACATAGCAGTAGATTATTTAATTTTGATGGTTCTGGTTACCATAAGCTATAGCCAGCTTCTTCCCGACTTTGTAGCTCTTCTCCACTTCTTCACTGTAAAGGCTGGACGCCTTGGATTCCCCGGCAAAGGATCGGACAGTCCTGATGCTGGAGATGTTCTCCTCAGCCAGGGTACCAGCGTCAGCTAAACGATCCTGAAACTTCTGTCTCATATTCTTCACAAACTTCCCTTAAAGTGTAATCACAAACTTCCCTTAAAGTGCAAATGTAATCACAAACTTCCCATAAAGTGTAAATGTAATCACAAACTTCCCTTAAAGTGTGTAAATGTAATCACAAACTTCCCATAAAGTGTAAATGTAATCACAAACTTCCCATAAAGTGTAAATGTAACCACAAACTTAATCACAAACTTCCCTTAAAGTGTAAGTGTAATCATAAACTTCTCTTAAGTGTAAATGTAATCACAAACTTCCCTTTAAATGTAATCGCAATCTTTCCCTTAAAGTGTAAATGTAATCACAATCTTCCCTTAAAATGTAAATGTAATCACAAACTTCCCTTCAAGTGTAAATGTAATCACAAACTCAACTTCAAGTGTAAATATATTGTGTCTAAAATACTGACAATAACAATTAAAGCTGGAGGTAGATGACTTATTTGTGTGCTCTGTCATGAAATAGCTAGGACAGATATAATTACTGCACTGCACTAAAAGACTTTACCATAATTAAGGATAAGTACATACCATATTGTACAGCTACGATTGAAACAACAGGAACCACAGCCAACAATACTCCAGTTAAAGCCGCATTCAGATAAAACATTAAGATAAGAGATCCCAGCATCTGTAGAGTGTATCGCACCAGCATAGATACATTCACCTGTCAATCACAGACATACATCAACATCTGTAAAGTGTACCACACCAACATAGATATATTCTTCTGTCGATCACAAACATACATCAACATCTGTAAAGTGTACCAACATAGATACATTCACCTGTCAATCACAAACATACATCAACATCTGTGAAGTTTACCACACCAACATAAATATATTCTTCTGTCAATCACAAACATACATTAACATCTTTAAATTGTACCACACCAACATAGATACATTCACCTGTCAATCACAAACATACATCAACATCTGTAAAGTGTACCACACCAACCTAGATACATTCTTCTGTCAATCACAGTTATACATCAACATCTGTAAAGTGTACCAACATAGATACATTCACCTGTCAATCACAGACATACATCAATATCTGTAAAGTGTACCACACCAACATAGATACATTCTTCTGTCAATCACAGACATACATCAACATCTGTAAAGTGTACCACAGCAGCACAGATACATTCTTCTGTCAATCACAAACATACATCCTTTGTTTACATTACTTCCTTTTCAATTCAGCTGTTTAACTAATATTTTTTAGTTATCGGTACTATTGAACTATTGTGATTATTTCAACATTTCAAAACAACTAAGTATCAGTCACTTAAGAGTATTTCAGTAAAGTGTACTCACAGTGGCTGCATTCTGAACAACCTGTGTATCTGATGCCAGTCTGTTACATAGTTCACCTGTCCTGTTGATAACAAACACAGCTAAACTTACTAACTATCATTTAAAGAAGTACAACATCAGTACATGTATCAAAAAAAAAAAAAACGTAAAAACACCAATGAAATATTAAAACTCCACATTAATATCTACATATAAAGCTTGTCTTTTTTCCATTTTTAAAAATTCTGAAATTATTATTCTGTGTCTATAGCTTGATTTAAGTATATATACATGTACAATAACAAATTGCTATATCCTCATTAGTTTTGATCAGATATTCAAATTTACATTGTAGAATGTTATACAGGTTTATTTCATGCCAATTCTGTGATAATTATTATACACTTCTTTGCATTTAGGTAAAGTTATCCAAAAAGTTTAAAATATTCTTAAAAGGATTATTTTCAATTCTAGCTTATGTTAGCATCTCATTTTTACATTCTGAGGTGATTTGAGAGTTTTTGTCTTTTTTGGTGAAAGTTTGACTTCCCTTCTCCTATACAGACAGTAAGACATACATACTGTTTTACCAAACATACCTATTGGTATCAAAGAAGGCAATGTCTTGCTGGATAATGTGATCAAACAAATGTTTCCTAAGTCTGGCAACCAATCTCTGTCCCGCTAGAGTGAAAAGCCAGGCCCGAATCACCGCAAAGATAGCATAAAGAACATAAATTAACACCAAGATCACCACAGTGTTTGTCAGCTCACCTACAAAAAATAACACATCTGTCAACAAATCAAATACACATATTTATGACGCAATTCCTTCAACATAGGCACCGTTGTACCCACTTTTGCACCCATTTTTCATAAAACCAGAGTACACATATAATAAAAATTTCCTGTCATTTTCTTCATATTACTTCAAATTACACAGTTTATATAATTTATTTTATTATCATTATGATTATCGGTGTTATCTTTTGAAGTCATCCATAAAATAAGAATAAAATACCCATGCTTTTCTGAGCAGCATCTACCACTGCACCAAAGAAGAGGGGAGCAGCTGTTTGAGCCCCACTGGAGACCAGTAATCCAAGGGATCCTCCCAATAGAATCCCCCACTCCTGTTAAAAGTCATACAAGTGCGAATTGTTAACTCCCAATAGAATACCCCACTCCTGTTAAAAGTCATACAAGTGCAAACTGTCAACTCCCAATAGAATCCCCCACTCCTGTTAAAAAATCATAAAAAAGCAAATTGTTCACTCCTAATAGAATCCCCAACTCCTGTTAAAAAGTCATACAAGTGCAAACTGTCAACTCCCAATAGAATCCCCCACTCCTGTTTAAAAGTCATACAAGTGCAAACTGTCAACTCCCAAAAGAATCCCCCACTCCTGTTAAAAAGTCATAAAAAGGCAAATTGTCAACTCCCAATAGACTCCCAATAGAATCCCCCATTCCTGTTAAAAAGTCATAAAAGTGCAAATTGTCAACTCCCAATAGAATCCCCCACTCCTGTTAAAAAGTCATACAAGTGCAAACTGTCAACTCCCAACAGAATCCCCCACTCCTGTTAAAAGTCATACAAGTGCGAATTGTTAACACCCAATAGAATCCCCAACTCCTGTTAAATGTCATACAAGTGCAAACTGAAAACTCCCAGTAGAATCCCCCACTCCTGTTAAATGTCATACAAGTGCAAACTGAAAACTCCCAGTAGAATCCCCCACTCCTGTTAAATGTCATACAAGTGCAAACTGTCAACTCCCAATAGAATCCCCCACTCCTGTTAAATGTCATACAAGTGCAAACTGAAAACTCCCAGTAGAATCCCCCACTCCTGTTAAATGTCATACAAGTGCAAACTGAAAACTCCCAGTAGAATCCCCCACTCCTGTTAAATGTCATACAAGTGCAAACTGTCAACTCCCAACAGAATCCCCCACTCCTGTTAAAAGTCATACAAGTGCGAATTGTTAACACCCAATAGAATCCCCAACTCCTGTTAAATGTCATACAAGTGCAAACTGAAAACTCCCAGTAGAATCCCCCACTCCTGTTAAATGTCATACAAGTGCAAACTGAAAACTCCCAGTAGAATCCCCCACTCCTGTTAAATGTCATACAAGTGCAAACTGTCAACTCCCAATAGAATCCCCCACTCCTGTTAAATGTCATACAAGTGCAAACTGAAAACTCCCAGTAGAATCCCCCACTCCTGTTAAATGTCATACAAGTGCAAACTGAAAACTCCCAGTAGAATCCCCCACTCCTGTTAAATGTCATACAAGTGCAAACTGAAAACTCCCAGTAGAATCCCCCACTCCTGTTAAATGTCATGCAAGTGCAAACTGAAAACTCCCAGTAGAATCCCCCACTCCTGTTAAATGTCATACAAGTGCAAACTGAAAACTCCCAGTAGAATCCCCCCCTCCTGTTAAATGTCATACAAGTGCAAACTGAAAACTCCCGGTAGAATCCCCCACTCCTTTTTGAAAGTCATACAAAATAAAAATTTGACTTTTACTGATATTACAATAATACTTTTGACTATTACACAGCTCAGTTATAATTTATCAGAATACCGGTATTATACAGAGATGAACAAAATTGATATCAATTCTAAAACTCACTGGTTTAGCAAGCAACAGCAATCTTTTGATATCCACCTTTTTTTTGACAGGTTTTCCTTCCTTGTCTATTTCCTGACCTTTATCATTAAATCTGTGTAAAATCCTCACTATCTTCAACCGCCTCATTGCACGATCACTGAATAAACTAAGTATAAACTCTAAAACACTGAAAGACACTGATGATATGACTAAAACATTGTATGTAACATGCATTGTAACATAATGTTCACCATTCAATATACAGTTCAAAACCATCCCTCCTTTTACGGAGGAGAATATAAGAGATACTAGAAAAAGCAATTTTAAAGCAGTCTTTAGGATAAAACATAATGTCTGTAGACTCCGATCGTATGGACTGTGTATCTGTTCGTAGGATTTATTCTCTAGAATTGGTAGTACAGTGACAATTACGGCAGTTTTCAGGCCGGCTAAAAGGGCCAAGTCAAACACTGATTCAGTGAAATGAAAGTCTGTTATGTTGTCCACAAAGTACTTGGTGTGACCACCTACAAAATTAAAGAAATAATGCGAGATACATCAATCTAACATCAGTTTCTCTTTTTTAGTGCATAAAATTACTATTACATGATGGTATGATCAAACCTCTTAACTCCATTAATACCCTAACTCCGCCACTTTTAGGACACTCTGCACTGTTTTTAAACATGTTAAATGAATACGATTATGATGTCATTTTTTGCATGCTGAAAATTGACATTCAAATGCCTTCAAATCATAACAGTCAAGTTCAAGAATGCATCAAAAACAAATAACAATTCCATTTAATCTATTGTATCTTTCACATTTTATGTGAAATCAGTAAACACCTTTTTCTTCATATGCTATTACATTGATATCTCTGGCATGTGCATCAACACAGGGTTTGAAATTAACAGTCGCCCACTCACAATTTGCGACTAATGTTCCATGTGGGCGACTTAAAATTACATTCAAGTTGCCCGCATGGCGATTAGAAAATTTACAATAATAAATATTTGTTTTCCAATTTTGTCCGAATGTTTTGTATTTTTCTCTTGAAAAATTTCGTAATCAGTAAAGTGCTTTATAATTACCCGTACGAAGTACTTAAACATAAAGCGTCTAAGTGATTGTGTCGGGCACAATGTGGCATCGTCGCGTCAATGAGCCCAAGAAACCAAAAAGTACTGTTGTTATTTCTGAATGAAAACGTGCCTTGTGCTCTATATATGATATTGAATGATCATATCAATCTTCATAAACAGAAGAGTTCCACTTCAAATTTAGATAAGTCATGCATAATGTTACAACGGATAGAAAAGAAACACGAAGCACATGATAAAAAAAACGAAAAATGGGGTTGTTGTTTCTATATTCAATAGAAGGTGTGATAATCTGTGGGCGAATAAATTTTGACGTGGGCCCCAGATTTGCAAGGTTCAGTAGCCCACATGGCTATCAAGGATTACAAGTTAGTTTAAAACCCTGCAACATGCTCATTTTCACATGTCAGTCATATTTATGAAGGTCTATGTCAAAGGATTGACATGACATGCCATACTGAATACGGCTGAAAACATTTTATTTTTCATCTACATTTGCCCTAATGCACTTTAAGTTGGAGATCACACTAGTGCAACATTATAATTAAATGTGATTTTCTGTTGTTGATATTTTTCCTACAATTCATAACATTATTTTAAAATCTTAAAAACTATTCTTTTCCATTAACAAGTTTAAAAAAGGGGGACAAAAAATAAAATAGGAAAAAATTCTATTTAATACCTTGACATATTGTAGAGGGCCCTGGGGACGGTGTTAGGTTCAATGGACACATTATATTTATGTACATGGATGTGATACTAGTTCGATTTAGTGGTATGTGCTATATACATAAGCCCAATAACAAGTTTATTACTTAGTGAAGCAAATGAGAAACAAGTCAAAAAATAATTCAGAGAATAATGCAGCATATTTTCCACTTATGGTGACGGAGTTTGGGTACTAAGAGATTATATATATGATTACATGAGTTTTAATTTACCTGTCAACCACATAATACATGACATAATTCCATCAATAATAACAAGACTAATAAAGATGTTGGTGTATCTTAGTACAGGTAACGTGTATCTGTGATTCCCAAGCAACGCTTTATCTTCATTTTCTTCCATCTCTGGAGCATTATTCACTGTACCATTGACTTTAGCCATGACTCTTCTTCTGAAACAAATGATCGATGATATCATCATCATATTGTAGTAATTAAGTAATTATGTTGACAAATTACACTTATATTTATGCTAACTTAGTAACGGTTCTTTAATTCTTCAATCCGATCGCTTCTGTTATGATAAATTAATATCCAGTATTTAGAACATAGCGTTCAATAAACTTACGCAATCACATGTAAATATCGGGTACAACACTTGCTAAACATTCATTTTCTCCAAAATGATATAGAAAAAGATAATATAGTTTTATATTCCTTATCATGCACCCCTTCCCAAAAAGTACCTTAGAAGAAGAAAAATCCAAATCAAGGTAAAAGTCTAGTCTGCAATCTTTGCGTCTGCTTTCATCGATCAATGTCACAACGATGCTTTGAATTTTTATGCGTTATCATTGTGTGGAGAAACGTTTGTATCATACGTATTATTAAAACTTTATGGATATGATATATCAATTATACAATAAACATAACAGTATAGTAGATATTACAAATTAAGCTCTGGAGTGCCCTGGCCATGATTTGGCTTAGATCCAACATTGTAAAAAAAAAAACAAAAACAAAAAAACGTTAGGCCACCTTTAAAAAATTGTTTGTTTGCCCTCTCCCTACTGCCTACCGACTGACTAAAAATCAGCTCGACTCAAAACTTTTTTTTAGACCTTCAAAAAGGATTTTTTTTATTCATTGATAACTAGGCCTATTTTAACTTCACATTTGCAGGTGTTTTTGAATAAAAAAAATCTTCCCCTATCCATTTTTTATGCTGAGTCGGGACAAGCAAACATTTTTCTAGAGATGGCCTTATATAAGAGTTCATTTTTTTTCGACATTGGACTAAATATTTTGAAACATCTAAAATATTCAACGGCGTATAAGTGCCATTTGAATTTTGCAGAAAAAAAAATCGTTTGTGCGATACAATTTTCTAAATCGTTCGCACGATACCTGCAGTACTAACTCTTTTGTAGGGCAAATTAATAACTTTTGGCAAAGTTTTTGATGACAGATAATTAAATGACGTATATATCAAACAATTTTTTTTAATACCAATTGTCACATATATGTTTATAATATGGCATTACAACATTTTATCATTAATGAATATAATAAACAAATACAAAAAAAAATTATAATTGTGACAACTGAGAGGAGAGAGAGAGAGGTAAGGGGGTTGAGAAAGGTAAAAAAAAAAAAAAAAAAATAAGAGCATGATCAAAGATAAATGTCTGTTCATTAAAGTACTGGTAAGAGTATGTCCAAGCATTGTGCTAAATGTCTTTAAGTGCCTATTCGCAGGGTCTTACATAAGTGGAAGCCAATTTTTCCATTTATTATTAAACTCTTTAATTTGATTACTTTTTGTTGCGCTATATTTCATGGTAGATAGTAATGTTTTAACATCTCACGTAATCCTTGTAATCTCAAAACCTCATTATGACATTTAGTTCTGTATATAAATGACTTAATACATAACAGTATTGTATTTAATTCCTTACTATTGGGTATTGGGTTTCCAAGTATGAATGTACAATTATCTATTGGAATTCTATATTATGAGCTTCACAAAGAATGGTAAAACTATTTATAAGTTCTTGAACCTTCTGGCATTCCCACATAATATGAAAAATTGTTTCCTCACTTGTCTGACAGAAGCTACACAATTTAGTATCTTTCAAACCCATTTTATATAAAATTTTATTTGTAACTAAGGTATGTTGATTTATTCTGAATTGTAGCCATTGTAATTTAGAACTTTTTGTACATTGAAAAGGAATTTTGTATAGCATTTCCCATAGGGAATCTTGAATTTCAAAATGTTTACTCCATTTCACTTTTGAGAAAGGTACTACATGTTCTGTATTCAATATATTATACATAGGTTTTGTTCCTTTTTTAGATAAACAGAATAATTTTAAATAGAAAGGTAGAATGGACTTTGGGTTTGATCTTTCTTTGTTTACTTTTTCTGCAGCCATAGCTACTTTTATAACTTTCTGTAGACTCGTATAGGTTAAAAAATTGGTTTCTATATTAAATTTTTCTTGAAGTTCTTCTAATTTTAGAAAAGTTCCCTGTTCATCTAACAAATCTGAAATAAATATTACAACATTGATAAACCATTTAGAGTAAAAAATGGGCTTATTGTCAATTTTGAGTTTTTTATTGTGCCATAATGGTTGAGAGATGAAATCTTCCCAGGAATCTATTTTCATTTTGTCTTCTATGTTCTTTAAGGCAATTAATGTATCTTTCCAAAAATTATTAGCTATACTTTGTAAAATTAGTTCAATATAATTTGAACCAGTATTAAATAATTTTTCAAAATTAAAGGCTTTTTGAATCAGTGATCTCCATTTTGAATCCTGGCCATTGAGTAGTCTTTTGATCCAAGATGATTTTAAGCCCTTAATGTAGTTAATTTATATCGATCATATTCAATCCACCACTCTTGTAATCTTGAGTAATTTGTTTTCTTTTTATCTTGTCCACTTTAGATCTCCATAGAAAATTAAACATAACATTATTTAGATTTTTAACAAAACATTCAGAAGGTGAAGGTAAAGCAATAAAGAGATGGTTTAACTGTGCTATTAGTAGTGATTTTATACTAGTAAGTGAAATCCTACCCAAGGGAGTTGTACGTCTTTTACTCCATATTGTAGTATTATATTCTTAATTTTGACCAAATTTTTTGTCATAATTAAGTTTTGGAATTCTAGTTAAGTCCACGTCAAAATAAATACCTAATACTTTAAATTGTGTTGTCCACTGGAAATTCATTTCATCAAGTAATCTTTCATTTGAATACTTTTTGCTTCCTATCCATACTATTTGTGTCTTAGAGAGATTAATTTTAAGTCCTGATAATTTATAAAATTTATTTATTTCCTCAATACAGTTTCTTAGGGATTGTCCTGTTCCATCTAGTATAACTAGCGTGTCATCGGCATATTGAGACATTAAGTATTCCCCCTCATCAATTTTAATACCTTTAATTTTTTTGTTATTTTTTATTTTTAAAGCTAAAATTTCTGCACATAGTAAAAATAAATATGGTGAAATTGGATCAGCCTGACGACAACCACGGCCTAGTTTTAAAAAAATTGGATAAATGACCTGCTTGATTGATAGCTGATACAGTATTACATTGAAATACTGAAATCCATCTTCTTAGAGAAGGCCCAAAATGCTTTATTAATAAAATTCCATGACACTGTGTCAAAAGCTTGTTCAAAATCAATCATTAACAACAATCCAGGGATATTTCTTTCTTCTGTATAATGCATTAAATCGTAAATTAACCTAGTATTTTCACCTATGTATCTTCCGGGTACAAAACCTGTCTGGTCTGAACTTATGATTGTGTTCAAGATATTTTTCATTCGACTTGCTATACAGCCAGAACCTATTTTACAGACAACATTTAGTAAAGATATTTATAACCATAATTTATTGATCTTACTATGAAATTACCTAGCTGTTTCCAAAAACTTTGAAGAATTCTGTTGTAAAGCCATCGCTTCCAGGACTTTTATCATCTGACATGTTTTTCAAAACTAGTAATGTTTCACTCGAAGATATATCCCCTTCAAGACTATTCTTTTGTGTATCACTAAGTTTTTCCGCAGAAATATCCCAAGTATGATCACTTAGGTCAACATCTGTTACCTCAGAATTAGCCTCATAGAGTATTTCATAATATTTTTCAATTTCCAGAAGAATGTCTTTCTGATTTGTTACTTCCGAATCCATTGAATCATCTTTAATCAATTTAGGGATTATTTTAATTTCATAGTGTCTGTTCTCAAGGTTGAGAAAGTAATTAGTAGGTTTTTCTCCTTCATTCGTCCATCAAACAATATCAAACAATTGCTTTTACATCATATTTCACCAAAATTCTACAAAATTTAAATTGCACAGATATACGCCGTCGTAATAATGATACATGAGAAGACATAATATTTCATATGCATCCGACGATTCGGAACGACCATTTGATTCGGGGGGTGGGGTGGGGGTGCTACATTTTGGAAATAAATAATCTGTCCTTGACTGGCAAGAAAGAAATAGGCCTAATCTGTCCTTACTGGCACTGGCATGAAAATAAATAATTGCCAGCCCCCTTTCAGAATCAAACGGTCGTCCCCTTACATTCAAGCAAGTAGTTTTGAGGAGGCGTAACCCCTTTTTCTAAAAAAAAAATAATAATAAGAAAATGCTCATTTAGAGGTTGATACACCCCGGGCCAAAATCTTTTTTGATCTGGTATAGTCAAATCCCTCCTATTTTCATGGACCCTAACCTCCCACCCAAACACTCTAAATAAATTTTTGAGTTTGAAGAATTCTCTTTTTAGGACTTATCAAAGTTTTTTCAAGTTAATTAGTTGTCATTTTTTTCCTTCCTGCCCCGTCCCCTCACTTCGATGCTACGTGCATGACATTTTTTTTCTCTCTAAAAAGGATGAAGATATCCCTCGAAGTACAATATACACCGAGTCTGAAGGGCGAGGTGAATATTAATTAATTGTACTTCTCGGGTGACTAAATCATCGTATTGACCTCAAAAACTGCAATAATTGTATACTATTTATAGACCACTGACACAGATGACTCTAACGTTTAATTTGTGTCTCTGAAATAGACTAAGGTTTGTTAGACACAGGCCCGTAAAACCGGGGAGGGTGTGTGTGTATTCCCCATTTGCATTTTAAAAACAATTTTAAATAAAACAAAGCTTATTTACAGTTTTCTCCCCTCAATAACTTTGCAAGTACATGTATATACTATAAATTAATGAATAGTATAATTCAACTGATATTTCCCATGCCGACGGATTTAAGGGTACAAAGGCGCATCCGGCGCGCGACTCTTCCTTGTTTAAATGAGAAAGAAATTTAAACATGATTTATGCCTCAGCATAAATAAAGTCCTATAAAACTAATGCCATTAATTTAAAGAGCAATATGATTAGCTGTATTTTCACACACACACACACACACACACACACACACACAAAATCGAATGAATTAAATCTTTCTTTAATTAATAGCTACAAAATTTAATGATTTGACTCCCAGAAAGTACATATTTAATTATTTTTATTGATTAAATAATTTTGCCTGTACCAATAACTGTTCCTCCTATGTATATTCCATTACAAAGACGGCTATTTGACATAGTTTTATTTGGCATGCACTAAATGTTTTTGTTCCTGGTGATTATAAGTTATAAGTTGGTTGCTTTTACGGTGTTTCAAAGCTGATCACCCTTTAGTATTGAAAATGGTTTTGTGAATTTCTGTTGTTGAGTTCTGAGGGCTATCTATCTTTCATCTTTTTGAGAGAAATTGTAGTACTCAGGTATTCTCTCTAAGTCCCAAACAAAGTTAAGTTGACAGAAAACTGTGCACCCCCCACCCCCCAGTGGTATTATCTGTTTCTTCTCCCCATTCGTGTTGGTTCGTGATGAAATGATTTTCAAGATTGTGGGTGTGCTGGGGGGAGGGGGGGTCTCAGGACTCAATCCATCAGTAAGTATTTGTTTTATTTCATTGTTTCCGGTGATAAAGTCAGAACTCTTCTATGGTTCTCTTTGTACCAATTTTGGTAAATGGGGAGGAGAAGACCTTAGAAGCTCCAAAATCAACTAGGAACTATTTTGAAAATCTACTGGGATAGCGTTCGTAAATAATAATAAATTGTTGCTGGAGAAAGATAAATTTTTCTGAATTCTGAGGAAATGACTTGCTATGGTTTTTAAATGCACTGTTAACCTTCTCCGAGCCTCTCTTGAATTCCTGTCCAAAGAAAGAGGACGTACAAGGCGAGGACACCCCCCCCCCCCCGCTCTGGGACAATATATTTCTCAATTTGCAAAGTTCACAGAAAAGTTATATTTTTCTAAAATATTGTTTTCAGTAATGGCATCTTCAACACATTTGATTCAATTATTTTATTGAATGACTTTTTGATTGATAATCTGAGTGCTTTTAAAGTTGACAGTAAAGCATACTAGTATTTAGTGGAAAATGGGTTTATTGGAGCCACAAAAATAGGTTTTAAATATGAATGGATCAAGTCTCCATTCTTCATTCACGTTTGTTTGACGGAAAAGTAAATGTAAAATCTATTTCATGTTTCAAAAAGTGGAGTTTGAACCCATTTTATCATCCTCGCAAGCCAGAGGTCCTGAGTCAACACGTTGTCGTTGGACGACAACGTGTTGACTCAGGATCTCTGGCTTGCGAGGATGCCATTCTATATGAAAATCGAACATTTCCTAAAAAAAAAAAAAAAAATTGCGCTTCAACAAACTCGTTTATTCAAATCATACTGAAACCTATCAGTACAAGATTAAGTAGCGTAGTGGTTAACACCTTCAGTTTCACCCTTCACGAACTTTGGAGAGAGTTCGAATCATGCGTGAAGCTTTTTTTTTTCACATATATACCTTAAATATATAATAAAATAAAATTTAAACAGTAAAAAATATATCATTCGTCAATAATTCATTCAATAAAATATATGAAGCAAATATGTGAAAGATTATATTGACAATATAATTTTTGAAAACTACAACTTTTCGTGAACTTTTAGAATTGAAAAATGCCTTCCCTCAGAGCGGGTGATCATCCAAGCCTTGCAAGCCTTCATTTTTTTCAAAAGTATGAAGTCTCTGTACATCTTCATAGAATAGTTCTAATAAACCCTTTGTTGTTTGTATCTTTACTTACAAAGCAAGAAGGAGGTATGTTATGTGTAGACCTCTCCCTCTGTTTGTATAGCCATTTGTCTGCCTAGCTGACCTTCTTTCTGTCTATATATTTAAGTCATCTGTGTGTCTATCCAGTTTTCTGTCTAACCATCTTAAAATCTGTCTAGATACCTGTATGTCTATTTAGCAATCCGTCTGTCTATCTGTCCAGCTGTCTGTTTAACGATCTGTCTGTATAGATATCTGTATGTTTATTTAGCCATCTGTCTGTCTATCTAAAAATACTTGTGAACAGATATCAATAAAAGTTAAGAGACGACATAGAAATAATCAAAAATATTTGATAATAATGTAGATAACAGGCAGCTGACTTTTGGATATTCATCTTTTGCAATAAAGTACTGGTGAAAAAGTAATACGTTTGCAATTTCCCAATATTCTCAAAATTTTCATTGGAGTATTCTCCACCTATACACTACATACATGATGTCTACATTATCATGTACATCATCTAGCCATTCACCACCTATACAGTATGAAGTCTGCAAAAAAAAAAAATATACATGGTCTTATGACAATGCTTCCCCCCCCCTTTTTTTTTTTACTTCTGACCTTGACCTTTTGCCCTTTAAAACTGTAACGTCTTCCCCCAATTATCCTCCATTTTGAAGTAAATATGTTGAAGGGTACTTGATTTACCATGTCACATAAAAGTGTTGACAGACTTACAGATTGATCTAGTACATATGTATTTACTTTTAAGCACCTTCATTAAGAAGGTCCCTAATAGTTTGTGAAATTTATCTTTGCACCAAAATCTAATAAAAAGATTGTGTTTTTCCCTTTAGAATTTGATCCTCTTACACTACCACAGCTTCTTTCAAACATTTTTAGAAACCTTAAAAAAATTGCTCCTGAAAACCACAACTGTACAGATTTTATGGAATCAGGGTACATATATAAAGGACCATTCCTTTACTGGTAGGGGTATCATTTTAACATGCAGTCCCCTTTCTTCTTCATTAAGTTATACAGATACCAGAAGATGGCTTAATATTGTAGATAACAGAATTAGTGAAGATTGTATTTTGTATCTGTTTTATTTATAAACCTCACTCCGATGAATGTGTCTATGCCTAGAAGGCATAACGGAAATTGAACACAAATTAAACATGATTTATGAGTCTGTCTCTCTAATTATAAGAGATGGTTTTATTTATTATCTTAGAGGTCCTAAACATAATTGATGGTCATTTGCACAGTTGCTGTCCTTCAAACCCTTTCCACAATAGCACCCATCAAACATCAGAGAATGAAACATATATCACTATACATCTCACAACTACTGCTGCAATTGTGGTATGGATAACGACGGCTCTGCTGCTACGTGTATCTTGTAAAGAAAAGAAAAACGTAGAAAACATACATGTGGATTTGTGTAAATAAATACAACTTTATTTTTCTCTCTCATAATCATGCATTCATTCTACGACAGACAGACATATTTGACAATTTTAAGAATCATTACAGAAGTCCGTAAGCTATACTTTATGTACAGGAAACAACAGAGTGATAGAGTCACTAGGATACCACTTTTCCTGTGTCCTCTTTGCCTTGGTATCTTTTCTTTCCATGAGAAAATGGTATATAACGGTACTTAATCATATGCTGAAAATTAAACAAATATCCAAATTAAAAATTATTACAGCAGTGCACAGAAAAATATATAAATGGATTTTTACAAGGAACATTTGTACTTCTTTCCATAACAACTTTAAGCATTCCCCTGGTACAATAAACATTTGTCATAAATAACACTAAATCTTGTATCAAATGCAGCATTATTTCATAAGAGAACATGTATCACATGCTGTATTATTGTATGCCAAATTTGTTGTGACTAATCTTTATTTGTCACATGTATCACATGGTGTATTATTGTATGCCAGATTTGTTGTGACTAACCTTTATTTGTCACATATATCACATGGTGTATTATTGAATGTCAGATTTGTTGTGACTAACCTTTATTTGTCACATGTATCACATGGTGTATTATTGTACGCCAGATTTGTTGTGACTAACCTTTATTTGTCACATGTATCACATGGTGTATTATTGTATGCCAGATTTGTTGTGACTAACCTTTACTTGTCACATGTATCACATGGTATATTATTGTATGCCAGACTTGTTATGACTATAACCTTTATTTGTTACATGTATTACATGGTGTATTATTGTACGCCAGATTTGTTGTGACTAACCTTTATTTGTCACATGTATCACATACTGTATTACTGTATGCCAGATTTGTTGTGACTAACCTTTATTTGTTACATGTATCACATGGTGTATTATTGTATGCCAAATTTGTTGTGACTAACCTTTATTTGTCACATGTATCACACGGTGTATTATTGTACGCCAGATTTGTTGTGACTAACCTTTATTTGTTACATGTATCACATGGTGTATTATTGTATACCAGATTTGTTGTGACTAACCTTTATTTGTTACATGTATCACATGGTGTATTATTGTATACCAGATTTGTTGTGACTAATCTTTATTTGTTACATGTATCACATGGTGTATTATTGTATACCAGATTTGTTGTGACTAACCTTTATTTGTCACATATATCACATGGTGTATTATTGTATACCAGATTTGTTGTGACTAACCTTTATTTGTCACTTGTATCACATGCTGTATTATTGTATGTCAGATTTGTTGTGACTAATCTTTATTTGTTACATGTATCACATGGTGTATTATTGTATACCAGATTTGTTGTGACTAACCTTTATTTGTTACATGTATCACATGGTGTATTATTGTATACCAGATTTGTTGTGACTAACCTTTATTTGTTACATGTATCACATGGTGTATTATTGTATACCAGATTTGTTGTGACTAATCTTTATTTGTTACATGTATCACATGGTGTATTATTGTATGCCAGATTTGTTGTGACTAATCTTTATTTGTTACATGTATCACATGGTGTATTATTGTATGCCAGATTTGTTGTGACTAACCTTTATTTGTTACATATATCACATGGTGTATTATTGTATACCAGATTTGTTGTGACTAACCTTTATTTGTTACATGTATCACATGGTGTATTATTGTATACCAGATTTGTTGTGACTAACCTTTATTTGTCACATATATCACATGGTGTATTATTGTATGCCAGATTTGTTGTGACTAACCTTTATTTGTCACATATATCACATGGTGTATTATTGTATACCAGATTTGTTGTGACTAACCTTTATTTGTCACATGTATCACATGGTGTATTATTGTATACCAGATTTGTTGTGACTAACCTTTATTTGTTACATGTATCACATGGTGTATTATTGTATGCCAGATTTGTTGTGACTAACCTATATTTGTCACATGTATCACATGCTGTATTATTGTATACCAGATTTGTTGTGACTAACCTTTATTTGTCACATGTATCACATGCTGTATTATTGTACGCCAGATTTGTTGTGACTAATCTTTATTTGTCACATGTATCACATGCTGTATTATTGTATACCAGATTTGTTGTGACTAACCTTTATTTGTCACATGTATTACATGCTGTATTATTGTACGCCAGATTTGTTGTGACTAATCTTTATTTGTCAAAAGTATCACATGCTGTATTATTGTATGTCAGATTTGTTGTGACTAACCTTTATTTGTCACATGTATCACATGTTGTATTATTGTAAGCCAGATTTGTTGTGACTAACCTTTATTTGTCACATGTATTACATGCTGTATTACTGTATGTCAGATTTGTTGTGACTAACCTTTATTTGTCACATGTATCACATGCTGTATTATTGTATGTCAGATTTGTTGTGACTAACCTTTATTTGTCACATGTATCACATGTTGTATTATTGTATACCAGATTTGTTGTGACTAACCTTTATTTGTCACATGTATCACATGCTGTATTACTGTATGTCAGATTTGTTGTGACTAACCTTTATTTGTCACAAGTATCACATGCTGTATTACTGTATACCAGATTTGTTGTGACTAACCTTTATTTGTCAATGGTGTATTATTGTACGTCATATTTGTTGTGACTAACCTTTATTTGTCGTTTCATGGTTATCATAAACAAAATGATGAAATACATGACTAAAATTGGCCAGAACACTGGAATATTCAGGGCTTCAAAAAATGTGCATATCATTGCAATGACGATGGCTTTAGTTGTACTATACCTACAATAGAGAGGAACACAGAAATAAAGAAATGAACTGTGAAAAGATCTCCTCAACTTCTAAAAGATGATTCAGTCAGTGTTCATTATTCAACAAAGGACTTTCATGATATTCTGTTACATTCACTAAGCAAGATTTTTACAGCTTTATTAAAGCATGAATCTCATTTAAAATATATGTTAAATACACACTACATGCAAGTATTGAATTTAATAGATATCCTTATATTATAAAAGTACACTTGCTTCCAACATTCTGATTATATTTAAGTAATTTTCATGCTTTGTTCCTTACTGGTGTGTTAATTAAACAAATAATGATATGTAATTGTAATGAGTTGATATCATTTACATTAATAAACTTCTGGAGAAAAAAGCCAGATACATGCATGTCATAACTCAGCTGGTTAACTCAAAAGCCGAAATCCCAACTTACCAGAACTTAAATTCAGGTAACCTTCTCATAAAAGGCCTGAATTCTTCATTGGCTTTTGTTGGAAGTGAAGGCCCATCCTCTGACAAAAGAACACAGAGTTCCTCAATACAATAACATTCACAGAGGTGTATATACAGCTGCCACTGAAGGGTTCTATATCACTATATTGTCAGTGCAAAGCTTTGATCAGTCAATACATAATAGATATTTTAAAAATCAAGATTTTTGCTGATTAATGATAACACCTGATTACTTGAAAAATTGTAATCAATTACAGCTGATTACTGAGTACAATTACCCCATGTCTGTATGTTGATAAATTAATATTTTACAGCATTGATACATTTACCAAAATTCCCATCAATAACAACCCAAGTTTATGGAATTTACATGAAACAAATGAAGAAAATAAAAAGGGGTACCATCATCATCTTGTTCCTGAAAGGCTGGGTCCACTTTAGGAGTTAAAAATGCTATGAATTGATTTAACAAATAAATCCCCAAGGCATATGTGACAATATACCAACCCTGCAATAGAAAAGACACAGAATTATCCAAACATCAACAAAACACGATTCTACTTCAATGATTTTTGTAAAATATAGATTACTGATTGTTAAGAGGTATGAAATATTTGCTTATACATGTACTGTAAAATCACTTATTTTTGTGAGAAGAAATTTTCATGGTATGAGTAAAATATTGCTTCATGGAGGACTCGATTTTGCAGTCGAAAGACAAAGTCTAAAATTTAACATTTCGTGGAGCGCATGAATTTGTGGATCTCTTTTGACCATGAAAACAACAAATTCAAAATTAATTCCCTCCTCACTCAAGATTAGTGATTTCACAGTACAAGGCAAACTTAATAAAATTAAAGTATTGGGGTAAAAAATGATTAAAATAAAAAAATTATGAGATCCTCTAGAATAAATACCTGTAAATAGTAAACTCGAAGTCCATATGCTAAAAATACAACAAGTGTAAAGACCCATCTAAAAGTTGTGTATGGTGTAGCCTTGTCTAGAAGGTTTTGTTTCGTCTGTAAAACAAATTATATTTCAAAAATATTTTGCTGCAAATCATTTTCAATCAACTCAAGTATCATTTCTAAGATATATTTCAGACACTAATCTTATCTATTAATTATGTTTATCAAAATATATTATTAGCAATGGGGATCTAGGAATATTTAATGGGAGTTGGGGGAGGGAGGCCACATCCAGTTATTTGGGGGGGGGGGGGGATTCCAAAAATATCTCATTTTTTCCCCTGTTCTCTTTTTTTTGCTTAATATACATGATTTCTCCAATCGTCTTAGAAAGGATCTGTAATCTTTGAAAAATAAAATACTCATCATATGCCATAAGAAAGGGATCCGATGAGTACTAGAATGACAAATAAATTCTGCCATTTAATCAAAAGCTACATCTTTATTAACACAATTAAATTATGTGAATAAATCATAAAATACCTCTCCTACTCGTCTGAAAAATTGTTTAACAGCCCCAGGCGCAGAAGGTGCTGAACTCTCTCCTAAATCTGTCATTTTTACAATTGTCAATCAACCTATAATCAACATGATTAGTTAGCAATTGTGGACCAAATAAACACAAAATTAAAAAAACATTGCATCAAAGAAAGAAGTATTATATATTGCTTTAAGGTAGCTGCAGAACTGTAGCTCTCTGGCTGAGAAAATTCGGACAGATAAACCAGATCCAAGCATTGTAACAACCTTTGATTTACGCCGCCGCTTTTGTCGGTAGCTTCGGGTATTTATGTTCCCCAAACGAAGTTTGGGAACATATTGTTTTTACTCTGTTTCTTATTATTATTATTATTAGGTCTTTCCACCTTTCTGTGGAAAGACCTATTGATATTCTTCTGTTTATTATTATTATTATTATTATTATTATTATTATTATTTTTCCACCCCCTGATGTGATTCTATGTTTCAAGATATATCGAAAAGATTTATAGTCTATAAGAATGTACTCTTTAAAAGATTGTTACAGTTGACCCTGCGTATATGAACTTTGACCCCTCTAAGAGTTATTACCCCTTTTGCAATAAAAGCTTGTTATCGCTACTCCTTCGAAACCGTAAACTGTAGAGGTACGAAACCTTCACCAGTGTCTTCGACTAATTGAGGAGACTCTTCAATCTTTTCATTGCGAAAGTATTCATGGACCCCTTTTATGAGTTATTGCCCCTGAAAGTTTTTGAAGTTTACAAATAATAATTTTTTTTCAAAACGATAAGTCGTAGAGACATGAAACCAACTGGATAAGATTCTTTGACCTCAGACCTTGAAATTTATGTCAAGGTCAAAGGTCAAGGTCATTCAAAATATGAGAAATTAAGCTCTTTTTATATCTCTTTTGTCTTTCATTGTATACCAAGTATCTTTGCATCATTAATATGTCCTCTTAAAACTATTTCAAATATTTCATGCTTGTCCCCTAAGATTTACCCGTTTAAGAGTTATTGCCCCTTTTACTGAAAACCTTGTTATCGCTACTCCTCCGAAACCATAAACCGTAGAGACACAAAACCTTCACCAATGTCTTCAGGGTCTTTAGACACAACTTCAATCTATTCAGTGCGAAAGTATCCGATGACCCCTTATATGAGTTATCGCCCTTTAACGTCTTTGTGCTTACTATTAAACCTTATAACTTTAAAACTAAAAGTCATAGAAGCATGGGGTCAAGTGCAATGTAACCCTTGACCTTTGACCTTGAATATTTGTTCAAGGTCAAAGGTCAAGGTCATTTCAAAATTTTTAAATTTTCATTTTTTGTATCTTTTAAGCCATTTATGGATTCTCTTTGAATAAAAATTAAGTTTAGAGAGTAAAATATGAAAAATATATGAAATTTAAAGAAGGTGGAAAGACCTCTAATTGTTCGAGAACAATTAGTCTACTAGTTATTATTATTATTCTTTTTTTCTACTTTCTTCTCCGGTACTTTTTTTTTGTCCGAGAGTGTTCTCATAGAACCACTCATCCGATTGACATGAAACCTTTTTAGGGTTAATAGGCATGTTGTGTAGGTGTTCGGAACGAAGGTCATTTTACGCGCACATGCATGCACGTGCGCGCGCGTGCAATGAGTGAAATGATTGATATACTTGATGAAGCCGTAACTTTTATATTTCTTGATGAATTGCTTTGAAACTCAAAATATAAGGATATATTAGTAGTCTAGACAAGATAACATTGTCAAATTAGAGTGAACTCACGCGCATGCACGTGCGCTCTTCTCTGATTGGCTGATACAAAAATCTCAATAATTTCCTTGTTTTTTGACGAAATACCTTGAAATTTAGAATATAAGTATATATTATAAGGTGCTACAGCATGTTATATAGGAAATTTCTTGAAAACACGTGCATGCATGTGTGCTGCAATCTGATTGGTTGAAACTTTAAATGTCTATAACTCCCTTGGTTTTCAACAAAACAGGATGAAATTTACGACGTGGATAGGCACATAGAGCTCCTACATTATGATACTATCCAAATTGAATGCAAGGCCATGCATGCGCGTATGCTGAATTCTGATTGGCTAATACTTAAAGGGTTACATCTCTCTTATTTTTCAATGAAATTCTTTAATATTTAACACAAATGTATGTATTGTGAGACACTATTATAAAATTAATGTGAAAAATGTAGAAAACATGTGCAAGCACATGCACTAAAATTTGATTGGCTAATACCCATATGGCTATATCGGAGTAGTTTTCCAATGAAATACCCTTAAAAATAAAATTTCCATTTATATTACAAAAGTGTTGTCTAATTTACTGAAGCTTGTAGGGAATGGGGCATCATAAGGGATTGGGGAGCCGTTTGGGGAACATCTGTAACGGTTCCCGTTACAATTAGCACTAGTATTTCTTGTATTTTAGAATAGAATAGGATTTATTACCAAATCATGGCCCAATGGGCATAAACATATAACATACATGTATAATTACAGATAAGATAACAGACAGAATACAACATTTAATGAAGAGCAATTCTTCCATTTAGTACATTGGTGGTGATTTGAGTTTCATATGTAGACATAGGTTGTCTTGATTTAAGATATATCTGCTCTCTCAGTTGATACAACTTAATGTGCAATCATGTGCATTATTACCACTAATATTATACATATAACTGAACACATAAAAAATGTCTGATACATCAACAAGAGGCAGCAAGAGTCGGTGCTAAAGGATATACAGATATCCACTTCTGCCTCATGTAGAATAAACAGATACATAATCTATGGAAAAGAGTATTAAAAAAAAAATAATAATAACAATAGCAATAATAATAACAGAAAAGAAAAAAATTGTATGTTGAATGGCATGTGTAAATTATATTAAAATGCAATGGACAGCAAGAGTCAGTGCTGAAGGATAGTATTATTATTTTAATTAATCCACTTCTGCTCAATGCAGAGTATACAAAAACATACGCATATTAACAACATAACATACTGTAGAATAAGTATTAAATTAGAGTACATGTAAATGAAAGTCAAGATCAACATGTGACTTTGAATTTGTCTAACTACACATGACTTATAAATTCACACAAATTGCACAGCACATCAACATCTTCACAGTTCATTAACCATAAAAATTGGTTACTTTTAGACATACTATTAAAAAGATGAGATCTCAGAGATATTGTGGAGAGTAAATTAATCCTTGATAGACTATGGCATGGACAACCCAAAAGAAAATGTATTTATGCATTCCACCCCTTCAAACATGGTATCTCATAATAAATTTCAACCTTTCAACGGTTCTGAACAGTTGTATGTAGTCTTAGAGTATCAGTTTAAAAAAATTGCATTCCGAGCTCCATGTGTGTAATGCTAAAAATAACATGCCCGACCAGTTTTATTTATCTCATTTTTTTTTAACATTTATTTTGTTTTCAATATAGACAATTGAATATACATGATAATTGAACCTCCAAATTTTTTTATTCACATTTTCTAGGCAAATGGATGTTCTTTTAAAAACTTTTTTCGCACGACTCCCAACATGGACGTCTGGATGGGAAATTTTTAAAATGATATTCCAAGACCACATAGGGCCATTTGGAACCATTGAAAGGTAAATAAGGTATTAAGAATGGGAGTAAAATATATTATTAATTATCGGATACCATTTGTGAATGGGGGTATGCATAAAATACAAGAAATAATACCCAAAGCGAGCGACATAAAAGTGGCGGCGTAAATCAAAGGTTTTTAAAATCTGTAGCTCTCTGGTTTATCTGTCCAAATTTTCTCAACCAGAAAGCTACAGTTCGCAGCTAACTTTAAGGCAGATATCTGATTAAATAATCGTCACTTAGTGTATGAAAAAACACAAAAGTGTTTCATAGTAAAGATGCAAACCCTCCTTCCAGTCACTGAATTTAGAGAAAACCCAAAACTTTTGTGTTCGTCACAGACAATAACATCAATATTTTGTGGAAAAGATAGATATTTTAAAAACCTTACATTCTGTATTTCTATTTAATGACATTTGATAACAAAAATTCATTAGGCCTACTGTACAAATAAACGATGACCTTTCAGTGTGATGAATATATTCATTAATAAGTCTCACCTTCAATCGCTGCCTTGTTATTTTTATATCGCTGTTTTCCTTCTTTTTGTTTTGTTTAGATTATTGAAATATTCATTTACATATATGCCTAGATGTAAGCATTCTTGTACATTTGTTTTTCGCCACGTCCAAGTTGGCCGGTTATCTTGTGTACTTCCGGTGTAAAAGGCGAGACGAATATTCGAACCAATATTTTCCCGGATTAAAAAGAGTAAAATAAAACATATGTGCGCTGTTAAATTTTCAAACCAGCATGGCCGTAGGAATCTGGGGGTGGGTGGGGAGGGGGGCTGTGCCCCCAATAATTTTGCCTATATATAGATTACTATAGTAAACATAGATACTATATGCTTTTACCCCCTCGATAAAAACGTCTGACCCCCTTTTTTTTTTGACTTGTCAAGGAAATTTTGGTGGTTGATGACCTTTTCTTTCTTTTTTTGCTTGACAGGAAATTGTTGGTAGTGCCCTTCAACTGTCAACTGAAAAATGTATAGCTGTGCCCCCCCCCCCCCCCAACTGAAATTGCTTCCTACGGGCCTGACCAGATATACTATAAGTAAGATCAAAGATTTGGAAATATTTTTGTAGTGCTGACTTTCACCTATGTTCAGTTGTAACCAGTAACACGGGTTTCATAGCCTTTTCACTGGGGAGCATTTTTTCCATTTAATTCAGTTTTTCAATGGTTACAGTGGTTAGACTGGTTACAATGGTTAGACTGGTTACAATGGTTACAGTGGTTACACTGGTTACAATGGTTAGACTGGTTACAATGGTTACAGTGGTTAGACTGGTTACAATGGTTAGACTGGTTACAATGGTTACAGTGCTTAGACTGGTTACAATGGTTACAGTGCTTAGACTGGTTACAGTGGTTACACTGGTTACAGTGGTTACAGTGGTTACAATGGTTACAGTGGTTACAGTGGTTACAATGGTTACAGTGGTTACACTGGTTACAATGGTTCCACTGGTTACAATAGTTACAGTGGTTAGACTGGTTACAATGGTTACAGTGGTTAGACTGGTTACAATGGTTCCACTGGTTACAATAGTTACAGTGGTTAGACTGGTTACAATGGTTCCACTGGTTACAATGGTTACAGTGGTTAGACTGGTTACAATGGTTCCACTGGTTACAATAGTTACAGTGGTTAGACTGGTTACAGTGGTTACACTAGTCACAATGGCTACAGTGTTAACATCTGTATCAACAAGTTCCCACTTGGATTTAAGATGATTTGTCACCAAAAGAATATAGCTGTAACCAGTGTAACCTAAAAATAAAGACCCCTTTCGGTTTCAGATGATCTGTAACCATTGTAATCGATTGACACCAAAAGAATAAAGTTGTAACCAGTGTAACCTAAACAAAATTTTAACCCCTTCTGGATTTAAATGACCACCATTCTATAATTGAAAGATATATGTAACCTTTGTTACTGGTTTAAATAGTCTTGTAACAGGGTTACAATATTGAATATAGGTAAAAGTCAGCACTATATAAAGGCTAGACAGGCCCGTAGGAAACAAATTCAGTTTTGGGGGGGGGGGCACAGCCATACATTTTCAGCTGACAGTTAAGGAGGCACTACCAAAAATTTCCTAACAAGCAAACAAAAAAAAAAAAAAAACAAAACAAAAAAACAAAAAACATGCTAGACATGGTCGGTAACCCACGGATGGTTCACATCGATTATCTCCAGAGAGTGGGAGCTTATGGACTAAAATCCGCGTGGTTTGTGCGACTGAGAAATTAAATCTTCTCACGTCAGTTTAAGTTTCTATATATATGCAAAACGCCATGTCCAAAACAGCCCAGTGAGTGTATAAAATCCATGTCTGTAGTGTTTGATCATAATAAATCTGCCCTTGGACAAGATTGGCTTACACTTCACCCAGAGTTCCTTTGATAAAGGGTGTGCAGTGTTTGAATCAAATTAAAAGTCTAATGAAACAGGTAGACTGACTGCAAAAATACTCACTTTTCCTCTGAACAGGTGTCCTTTTCCTTATAAAGGTAAAATATACCAATGCCAATCAACCAAATCAGTCATTCATGTAGACAAATAATATTGGCAAAGAATTTTTTTCGCAGAAAGAAAACTTTCTTGTTCGCAGATGTTTGCCAATTGTTTGCCGCTAGCTGCGATCTTGTGGCAAACACTGCATGCAGCAATTGCTGCAAGCTTGCAGCAAACTAGCAGAAACTCAATATGTTTGCAGGGACCATGCAAGAAACATACATGCCAATCTGTTGTGCGCAGCAAGTTTGCAAAGAACATTAAAGAAATTGGAAGTTTGCTTGAAGTTTGTAAGAACACTAAATAATTAAGTCATATCAGTTAATGAATTTAAATAGTTTAGTTTAAAAAGTATTTTAATCATGATATACATAGGAGTATATACAATGAACATGGATTGAACAGCAGGCAAGAATAGCCTGTATAAGTATCTCCATTCGGGTTTATATTTGCAATTTTACAAAGACATGTATTTTAAACTAATTTTTGGGGAGAGTACAATAAAATGGAAAAATGAACGAAGGAAAAAAGTGGGGTGGGGGTGGGAGAGGGAAAAGTAAAAAATGTTTTCCGCAAGTTAGCAGCAGGGTTTCCATATTTCGAAAATCCAGTGTTTGATGCAGACTTGCAGCAAACCTCATTTGTGAGTTCGATCTACCCTACCTATACTGGATTCCTAAACTTCATAAAAATCCTCACAAGATACATTGACGGGTACAGCAAATGTTCTACCAAGCCCTTATCTTTACTTTCTAAAAAATGTATTAACTCTGTAGTATAAAGAGGAAACGTCTGACGTGTACTGTGCTACAGCGTATTCTACAAATGGTGTGAATCAGATGTGGATTCTCAAAAACTCCAAAGAACTTAAATTTTTTTTTCTAAATCAGTAACATCAAAGCATACGACTTTTCTACACTTTATACAACCGTTCCTCACGATAAATAAAAATCCAGACTTTTTGATATCATAGACAAATGCTTCTTAAATAAAAATGGAACTCGGAAGTTTTCATATCTTGTGATAGATCATCAACAAAATTACTTTGTTAAACTTTAACAGTTAAAGATATACACACAGGTACTCTGAAATTGATATTAAAATGATGCTGGTGTTCCTCATTGACATCTATGAAGTCTTTAGAGACCACGTCTTCCAACAACCTGTTGGAATTACGATGGGCACTAATATTATTGAGCTCCTTTATTAGTCGACCTGTTTTTATATTCCTATGAAGCAAATTTATTCAAAATCTTCTACATGAGAAGAAGAAAGCACTTGCTGTGGCCTTCAACGCGACATTAAGATAAATCAACGACGTTTTATCAATTAACTATAGTTACTTCCAATCATATGTTGACTCGATGTATCCCATAAATCTGATAAAAAAGAACACAACAGAGTCTGTCATATTTGTTTCATATTTGGATGTTTTACTGACTACAGACGAAATGGCCAACTAACAACTAAATTGTATGACAGCCAAGATTACCAGCATTTCCATCTCCAACTTTCCTTATTTATCATGTAGTTATACTCTGCTATCACCTGCATACATGTATAGTGTTTATGTCTTCAACTTATTCAATATTCAAGCGCATGCTCTGAGTATGATCAAATTTTAAACAAAGGCAGGCTACTGACAGATAAATTGATGTTACAGGGATTTCTACAACCTTGTTTAAAGTCAGCATTTCATAAATTCTATGGTCATTATAATCACCTTGTTAGCAAATAAATTTGTATAACCTATCATTGGGGCATATAAAAACTTGTATTTTGGCCGACGTGTTTCATACCAATTGTTAGGCCTTTGTTTTTATACCAAATGTGATTACAGAATGTTCCATCTACCTAATCAATATATAGGGCTCATGGTGGGTGTGACCGGTCAACATGGGATGCTTAACTCCTTCTAGGCACCTGATCCTACCTCTGAATTTCCAGGGGTCCATGTTTCATGACCTGTTCATAAATTTGCCTGTTAACTTACAGTAAATGTTTGCAGTGGGCATTTTTAGGGGGTAAGGATTCCATCCCTTTGATCTTACTTGTCTGGACCCTCAGGCCCAATCTTGTCAATACTTCCCTCACGTAGTGCTCGTGGGAAAAGGATTTGCAGTGATCTTGAAGTTTCCATGTAAAATGTCATGGTGAATAATTCTGCATGATGGACATATGTGTCCCTGTTTACTGGCTTCAGTTCCAAAGACATCAATCTAGAGGCTCATCCCTGTTTGTTTTTTTTTATATTCCTCAATTATCATGTTTGAAAAGATATTTCAAAGAAGACTTCTTGAACTTCATGTAGTTTTAAATGAAATACAAGAAGGCAATATATTTTTTTTTATTACAAATTCGTACTGTAATGACATGAAACATGACATGCGATAAACACACAACTGAGGTGATTGGCTGTAACAAATGATAACACACTCACACTTCAAAATCACAAAAAGGAATGTCTACCCTACCACAGTCAAAACATACATGTCGGCAATCTACCCTACCACAGTCAAAACATACAGGCAGGCAATCTACTGATGCACAAACGATGACAGTCCACTTCGACATTTTAAATGCAGAATAATATCCCTCTATCAATATTACAGATAAGATATGGGGGCTATATACTTGATCTCTGTATGATATAGGATATATACTTTATTAATGTATCACACTTTATATATCAAGAGTTGTAAATGATTTCATGTTTAATTACATCATGAAATGTTCAACATCTTGGCACACAAAAACAGATCACAATTCACACTGTTAATTTGATTAATTGATTTTATAAATATTGATTTGACATCAGTCATACCAGCTAGTGCTTTGCATTTGCTGAAGTTTATCCTAACAGAGACTGCTCGGATGAAAGTTTACAATGAACTACAGGAAATGTTTATCCAAGAAGCCAGGAGCCTGATTAATGTTAATGAAGTTTAGACTTCGGAGTCTTTACAGGAACCCATGTACTGCATTCTCCTCCCAGCCACGAGCAAACGAGGTTCTCCTCCCCCTCCCAGCTCTGTCGTTAGTGTGGCTCATACTGGTGTACTCAAACACTGGCAAACACACATTCAGTGAAATTAATGGCTGTCTATGAAGCAGGAATCCTCACTCCCCTCCCACAGTCACTTCTCGTGGAACTGCGTGAGAAATGTCTCCATTCAACTTAGTATGGTTACTGGGGAGTTTTGTGTCAACATCATCTGGGAGTTCAGTAATTTTAAGAGAGTCTTTGGGTTTTTCTGTTTCCTCTGTTATGGCTGCCCCTTTCATGCTGACCTGCTGACGGAACTTCTCAATGTCTTCTTGGCTGAAATTTAACACAAACATTACTCACAAGAGTCTGTGCATAGACACCTGATCATAACCTCAGGTAATGTGATATGCAAATAAGTGTCTCAAAAATCCTTTACAACTACATATTTAAACTTGTTCCCCCTCCCCTCTTTCACAATTATACAAGACCAAGTGCAAAATAAAAGATTATCATATCATTTATCATTGAAGTCTACAAGAATAACTATCTTTTGACCAGTGATAATATAGGCATTACTCTGGACTAGTATCAAGACCTCATTACAGTAACATGTTTTACTGTTCCCATTACCTGATTTGTACAAAGACGATGCCATTGATGACATTTAGAGTATCGAGTACACTCGCTATAGAGGGTGTCTGAATGTGGAGGGGCGGTAAGGTTATACTCTTCTCTCCCTTGTAGATCTCATTCATTTTCTTCTGAAACACTACGGCTTGTTGTGTTAGGTGTTTAAGGCATTCCGAACTCTCCTTTGTTCTTTCATGCTCCTCTCCCAGCTAAAAAATATAAACAACAATCAATAAAGCTCTATTCATACAAAATTCATTAACTGTTTTATTATAATTTTTACTCTTTATACTATTCCTCAAGTTTTTTGTTTTTCACTTACAGTTTGTTTGTAGATAGCATAAGCTTCTTTTTCACTCTGTAGAGCGGCCCTGAAATCTCCACGACAGGAATGAGTTCTAGCAACCAAGTGGTAGTTCATAGCTACCTTCATGCTTCTCTGGCCAAAATATCTAATAATTTAATAAAAAGACAAAGATTTACAATCACAATTTCCTCTTCAATACATCTTCAAATGAAAAAACACAAAAATGTGATTACTTGATGTATTCTGTTTTAAAGTGAAAACAAATCTAACTTGGTATTGACTTCCAGTGCATGCTCCAGGAACCTCAAGGACAAATCAAACTCCTCTACAGTGTGAAGAATCAGTCCAACATTGCTCTGCAAAAGAATGATCAATAATAAGATCCAGTATTAACAACCAGTTCTCATTTCACATCAAATCTTGGATTGACCAATTAAAATTCAACTAGTCATATTAACTAATACATGTATATCCTATAAATTGTAATCAGATCTATAAATCATGCGTGTACCACTAACCTACTTGTAAATTAATAGTTTATGGTCTTCTTGTACCTGTATTTATGTTTGACCTTTGTGTACTTAATCTGTTTGACCTTTGAGTACTTACATCTATCAGTGCCACCTCTGGATGATCCTCCCCATGACAAAGTAAAGCCAGATATCGTGTCCTGTATATTAACCTTAGAGCACTGGATACCTGACTGTTGGCAAAGCAGTACAGGGCAAGATGTGCCTGAAGATTAAACATCAGAGATGAATTACATGTATTTACTTCCTATTTTCCCTCAGTAGGTTTACTTTTAGAAATATCATTCGAATTTATTGTGATCCTGACACTACTTACATATTCAGTGATTTGAATTTCAGTGTGATTGCGACACTACTTACATATTCAGTGATTGTATTTGGATTGTCAATGCCCAAGACACGTTCACTCATCAAAACTGCACGTTGTTGGAAAGACATGGCCTGGATAAAACATTCCAAGTGTTTTATATACAGTCAATAAATATACAAAAAAATAAATTTGACATCTACTGGCTGTGTATCACTTCCTTACCTCTCCGTATTCTCCCATGATGTAATTGAGGCGAGCGAGCAGTCGGAGACAAGCAGCAATCTCCGGATGGAGAGCTCCGTAGACGTTGTTCAGAAGATTGAGCGCCTCACTGATCAAGTCATAGCCTTCCCTCAGTAAACCTTGCTGGATTTTAGTTTGTCCACTCGTGAAGAAATGATAAGCATCTGAAGCCTGTAAAAGCAACTGGTTAGCTTTCTTTTCATTCAAGTTTTGTCTAAATCATTTATATGAAGCAACACCCACAATATGCTTCTTCTTGCTGTGGCAGTAGATAACAATATAAACCTACCTTGGGGTGAATGTGTTTGGCAACTGGGAAAACATTAACAATGTCTTCTTCGTTAAAGATCTGTTTGTTCTTGATGTCAAGGTTGTATTCTTTGAGCAAGATCTGAATTCCTACACTCAAACAGAAAGCCCTCAACATGGAGACTCGCTGTAGTCCATACTTCTCTACAGCTTGTTCAACAGAATCACTATAAACAACACAAAGGAATTTTCATTCAATCAAGAGGCAGTATCTCCTTCTAACTACAACTCAAAGCTTACAATTTTAGTCTCTCACAGTTAAGCAATTTTCACATTCTTTCATTATATCTAGGAATGTAATATCTCTTACGGAAGTACAAAACTGACACTAACAGAGGGCCTTTCAGTATGTTAAATTGAACAATTGACCCCATGATCCGGAATTTTAACAAACTGACAGTGCTAAAATGAACAATCTTGACCCTTTGACCCGGAATTTAACAAACTGACAGTTTGCTAAAATGAACAATCTTGACCCTTTGACCCCGATTTTTAACAAACTGACAGTTTGCTAAAATGAACAATCTTGGCCCTTTGACCCTGATTGTTAACAAACTGACAGTTTGCTAAAATGAATAATCTTGACCCTTTGACCCTGATTTTTAACAAACTGACAGTATACTAAAATGACCCTGACTTTTAACAAACACCCCCCCAAATTATAGCTGTTTTCCTCTAACCCGGCTTCTCCTACATGATAAATACGAAGTTTACATTACAGTTGAAAAGAGTCATAATCTTGAAAGACAGACACAGAGACTAGCATCCATTTTGACATTGGTCCTCAAATTCAACTTACCATTCCAGTTTGTAGTCAAAATACTCAGAAACTTCATCTGTAATTTTCTTCCAGAGTTTGGAGGGAGTCTCATTGACCCACTCTGTATTGTCTAAAATAAAAACACTCTCAGAAATACAAAGACTGGAACTGTAAAGTTAACATCAGACCTGTACCAATAATGCTTGTATCACTCACCTATACTCAAGAAAACAGATTTGTTTTTCTTGTTATTCTTCCTCTTGGCTTTCTTGCTTTGTAACTGAAACAAAATTGAAACGGCATTCTGAATCATTACACTTGCAAAAATGTCTTTCATATAATTTACCTTGTCAACAAAAAAAAAAAAAAATAAAAAAAAAAAAAAACCACTTAGTGCAATGTTTACAATGCACTCTAGACTCAAGTTTCCTGGTTTAAATTTCACTTTTTATAAGAATTTTGATTTTACCTCGTCAGCAGTGACCTGAGCGTGTGGTGTTGGATAAGAACCAATGTAACAATTGAGAAAATGACAGATAGCAGCTGATGTGTTCATCATGTCCACACCCTGCATGTAGGACTTAAACAGGTGCTTAGCTGCACGGCAAATCAGCTCTGATATGACAATGGTCTGTAATATAAGAAATTACAACACTTACAAGTTTGTCCTCCTATTAAGAGAGTTTAATGTGAAAAAGCACAGAATTAATCAAGTTTTCTTTCACTAAGCACTATCAGTTGCAGTCATTTCTTCGGTGACTTAGAATCAGCTACAGTACTTTATTAAAATGACAGGTACATGTCTACTTCTGTAAAAGTTTAAATGTACTCACATAAACATACGACACAGAGGAGTACTTGGAGATCATTTCTGCCACTTTTCCGAGGTACCGGATGTTGATTCCCCTGGAATTTACAGAAATTTTATTTCTCTGTTTACTTGTACATTTAAACAAACAGGCAATATTATTTCTGATTTACATTTCTTTGTGACTACTCTTGTGTAACTTACTTGTTGTGTAAAGCCTCAGATAGAGTGAAGCCATCAATTGGGGATGAAGTGTGCTCCATGCAGTCACTGATCTGAAAAATAAAATCTTCAGTATGTACATGTACTTAAAAGTAATGAAATTTTGCAGTTAGTATACACTTAAGAATGAAGAGACTTAACAATACTAGGGGATTTGACAATAGATACTTACAAATGATGGGACCTGACAATACTAGGGGATTTGACAATAGATACCTACAAATGATGGGACTTGACAATACTAGGGGATTTGACAATAGATACTTACAAATGATGGGATTTGATGAAGAACAAGAAATTCAGCAGCATCCTTGACAAGTTTCTTCTGTTTCTGGAATTGGTCACTCTGAAAAACACAAAGGAATCGGTAAAGAAAATACTGCATACAGACTAGTGTAAAATTCTTAAAGCTTATGAAAAACTTGACATTCATTAAATTATCAAAACACATGAACAGATGGTGAGCAACCCTTTTGCTTCAAGCAAAAGAATCTTCTAATGTTGAAGACTAAACTTAATGCACAGTACAGGACACAAATTCCACCACTTGATTGTTACTTTCACTTTTTATTTGGTACAATTTTAAAACACTAACCTTTTCATCAGCATGTTTGACGTGTGGTTGAAATACATCTGGATTGAAGAGGATACTAAACTCTGCAAACAATGAAACCATTTGTTAAAAGTCTATATCTGCTCATAACCAGAGTGAAGTCTTAGAAGGTTTATCAGAATGAAGCATTGAACAATGACCTGTTGTGTAAAGTCTTAGAAGGTTTATCAGAATGAAGCATTGAACAATAACCTGTTGTGTAAAGTCTTAGAGGGTTTATCAGAATGAAGCTGTTGTGTTACCTGTTTCACTGAGAGACCCCACAGCTGTTGCGGCTTTCTTCACAATGTCTTTACTATTCTCTTCAACTGGTTAACAAAACGGAACATTTCATAATTAATCTCTCTTTAACAGACATTATGAATTCAATGACTGGTTAGAAATAAGGTGAGCAATGTGAAACAATAGGCCCATGGGCCACAATGCCCATTGGAGTTCTGCTGCTCTTCTTCAGATTAAAAGATTTTTATAACCCCAAGAAAACTGTAACCCCATATTATGGTGCCACCCTAACTCTAAGCAGTCTCTAAATCCACACAACATGGGAATGCTTCAATATCAATATGACTAACATGGCCTGCGGTTATGTAGAAGATTTTTTTTCCTGTACAAACGCATTATATAAAACTTGATCCTGATTTTAGCCAACCCTAACCTGTGGTCCATAATTTTATGAAAAACAAGATGTGTTTGTTCTGATGGCAACTTATAGTCAAGGATAAACTTTCTCAAATGCAAATCAAATACGTTGGTACCCAAATCAAGGTCTTGTCTCAAGAAATATACCAATGAAATATAAAAGCCCTTGCAGCAACAATTGAATATATATGGAAACGGTTAAAGTTTTTCAAAAGTAAGTCAAACATCAAGGTCAAATGGTCAACATTAATGGTGCCCAAGGAAAGGCCTTCTCACAAGAAATACACATGTGAAATATGAAAGCCCTAGCACCAACTGTTCAAAAGTTATGGCCAAGGTTAAATTTTTTTTTCAAAATTAGGTCAAACTCTGAGGTCAAAGTCAATGGGCTATAATTGTTGGTATCCAAATGATGGTCTTGTCACAAGAAATACACACATGTTTTTCAAAAGTAGGTCAAACTCCTAGGCCAAGGTCAAAGGGTCAAAGTTGTTGGTATCCAAAGGAAGGTCTTGTCAAAAGGATTACACCTGTGAAGTATGAAAGCCCTAGCTCACCGTTCAAAAGTTATGACCAAGGTTAAAGTTTTTCAAAAGTAGGTCAAACTCCAAGGTCAAGGTAAAAACGTCAAAGTTGTTGGTATCCAAAGGAAGATCTTGACATAAGGATTACACATGTGAAGTATGAAAGCCCTAGCACCAATTTCAAAAGTTATGGCCAAGGTTAAATTGGTTTAAGTTTTGCAAAACTAGGTCAAACTCCAAGGTCAAGGTCAAAAGGTCAAATATGATGGTACCAAAAGAAAGGTCTTGTCACAAGGAATACACATGTGAAATATGAAAGTCATAGCTCCAACCAATCAAAAGTTATGGGCAATGTTAAAGTTTTTGCTGACAAACAGATAAACAGACAAACAGATAGATGGACAGGGCAAAAACTATATACCTCCAAATCTTTGATTAGGGGGGCATAAAAAATAAATCCATCCAACTTGGGATGTTTGTAGATTAATAGCTCTATTGTATTTCTTTAGATTTTGAGAAAATTCTTATATAGTTACATGCAAAACTTTGATCCCCTATTGTGGCCCCTCCTACCCCTGAGGGCCATGAGTTTAACAAATAGAAGTCTGAGAGCTTTCACATAAGTTTTATCTTTTCTGGTCCACTGGTTCTTAAAATTTCTAAAGATTTTTCTTAAATATTTCAATGTAAAACTGTCATCCCTTATTTTGGCCCCAGCTTACCCATGAGTCATAATTCAAACAATATAGAATGTACACTACCTCAGGAAGCTTCCACATAAGTTTCACCTTTTCTGGAACAGTGGTTCTTCAGAAGCTTTTTTAATGACCCCATCCAATTTTGTCTTTCTTGATTATCTCTCTCCCCTTGGAAGAGAATTTGGCCCTTCATTTAAACAACTTACAATCCCCTTTACCCAAGGATGCTTTGTGCAAACTTTGGTTTAAATTGGCCCAGTGGTTCTTGAAGAGACGTTGAAAATGTGAAGTTTATAGATGGACACTGGGCAATGGGTGATCAGCTCAGGTAAGCTAAAAAACTTTTATCAGCAGACTTAGCTTTCTTACAAGATTCTCCATCAGACCCAGTGAGTGCCTCCACAATCTTCTTTGCCTCATCAATGTTTTCTGTGTTGGCCTTCTCTTTCTTTTCTGTGTCCTCGCTTTTTTCTTCAAGGCCATCAAGCTCTATCTCTTGTGGAACCAGCTTCTGTTCCTGAACAAATTATAGGACATCAGATAAATACCTAACTGTTTTCAATACCAGAAACCACTTTACACATAAGGAAACACTAACGTCTTGAACGTCTAGTTCTGTGACCTTTTATTACCTTGCTCTCTGTAGACTTTTTCTGGCTTTGTTGTTGAAGTTGCTGGAACTGGTAGGCAGCATGTCTCACAAATGCTACATATCTAGTTCTAAAACAGATAGATAACAAATCTAAAGGTTGATGCTATAGTTCATAAAAACTTTCTTGTGTCATTTGAAAATGAACAATGCAACTTACTAACCTTCATTTTTAAGATAGGATTGAAATAACAAATAAATAACTTAACGGCCACAGTGAAAAATGAACACTACATCTACTGACTTATTCTCAGTTTAAAGTCTTTCAGATATTAATGCACAGAGAAGGCTATGATGTAATTTTGTTTCCACTCTGACTTACTCTACAAATGCCTCGATGAGTTCCTGTCGTAGACACGCCAGTCGGTGAGGGTGTTTCTTCGGATACCCGTGTTCCTGCATGATTTTACTCAAAGACTCTTCTTCAACTGGAAACAATTTTTTTTTACTTAGATCATGGCAAACTTCAGTCATTTGCAATAAGATGGTACTGTTAACTTCTTCCAGGATTATACAAAATTTAAAATCATAAATAACAAGTAAAACAACTGACTTACGCTGAAGGTAATTAATATCGGGAGGGAAAGTTCTCAATAAATCCAAGATGTAATGACGCTTGTCATTCCCAATGATTCCCTGAAAAATTACAGAATGTAAAGAAGTATGTCATTTTCAACAATTCCCTCAAAATATTACAGGCAGTTGAAAGCATGCACTGTGAAGTTGTGAAAAAAAAAAATTATCCTTTTATTTCAAATTTTTCAAAAATCTTAAAATGCCATTTACCTTGCATTCCAGAGATGTATATAGTTCTACTTGATCCCCCTTCTCACTAATAACCCTGAAAATAAAAAAAGAATCCCTAGAATTACGGTTCTGGTCAGTCCTCCTAACTGGATTTTACTTCAATTATTTTTTCGTAAAACTTGTGATGCATACTTCATTTGAAATTTTAATATAATTTTCTCTAAACTGCATTACTGATATGAAAATTTTAAAAAATAAAATAAAAATAGAACGCTTACTTGTGTGGACAGATTTTCAACTGTGGAGCAGTCTTTTGCAGCTAAGAAAAAGGGAATATTTAACAATATTTTCAGTGATTTTTGTAATAAAAAACAGCAAGAGAGATTAATCAAGTAATCTTAAAAGTTCCCACACACATGAATCTAGACTATCTGGGTCCACTCACCAGTTCTATATATTTATCACACGTCACGACAGTCTTCCCAAAATCAATAGATCCATACACAACAGACTGTTCCTGTTCTCTCTCCAGAATTCCTAACAAAGAAAATTAAAGTCAACACTTACACAAATCACACGAATATAATACAAAAGTTGATGTAGTTTGAAAGTTTTCAGTAATCACCTGGTATAATGGACTGGGCAGTGACCCTGTATCCCCTGTAGTCAATTACAGCTGTCCCCAGTGTGTACAGACCCTCAGTATCCAGGTTAAAGTAGGCCTTCACCCCCTGTAGATCATTACCCTGTAAAATAGCAGAAATATCCACATCTTAACTTTATGGGAATTCCTATGTACTGAACCATTTATTTCGGAATAAAATCCAGACAGACAAGCCTTACTGGAGCAATGTAAGCAGCATAATCTCCACCAAAATCCTTATAATGTTCGCGAACATCAAAACCAAGACTGAAGAAAATATTGTTCCAGATGAACATCTGCATCCTGCAATACAAATACCACATGTCAGTATTTCATTTGTAAGCACTTTTTCTATACAAAATGTTTTTTTTCCCCTCAAACACAGCTCTGTAATCTTACTTGGTATCCTCCCCTGGATTTATTGCCATGACATTTCCATCAATCACGGCTATAGCTCCACGGGTGGCCGCACCTACAAAGTCACTGTGCACCTACAAATGAATCACTTCATTATACTCTAACAGGAAATAAATTTTTAGTTCACTTATACAGAATTTCAGGGAAAGAGTGTTAATTATTGACTTTAAAGCATCCCAATGAAACAACAGGAATTCATGGGTGTACTCTTGGTTTTAATTTTCACAGAAATTTTTCCTGTGTGCTTCCTGATCAGCCTTACCTTAAATACTGCACGCTCCCTGATTAGCCTTTCTGGAAGTGTTTTCTTTGATAATTCACGAGTTGTCTGAATTTCTTCATTCCAGTCCCGAGTTTGTCCAGGGATGTGTTCCTCATACCCCAGACGTGTGGAGAAGGCTATAAAACAGAAACATAAACACTCAGTTCCTACTGAACATTAACATAAAGGGACAAAACTCTTAATTCTTTCATACATAATCAGAAATAATAAGTTCTACCTGACCTTTGGCAATGTGAATTTAGTATTATGATTTAAGTAATTAAGCTGGCATTTAAGTTGATTAGCTACTACTTATAGATACTGACCATCTTCTGCCCGAATGTAGTCAACGGTGTGTTCTGACTGGGGGGCCATCCAGCTGTAAATCTGGTAGGGTGTGGGGACCCTTTCAAATGGGTGCTTCTGTCCTCGCTTCTTCAGAAGGATACTAAAGTTCCTCTTAAAACTAGGACTTATCTATAGTAACAGGAAAAACAGGTGGTATTTCTCAATGATCAAAACTTCAAATAATATTACATTTATATATACTTTAACATTTATATGTGATATACTTTTACCTTTATTTGTGATATACTTTTACCTTTATTTGTGATATAACTTTTCATACCTGATTTAGAAGATCAATAAGAGAGTGAGATAGAAATTTCTGCTGAGCAGCTCTAGGATTGAATTCATCTTCAGTGGACCTATAACACAAACATGAATAAATTCAGATTAACAATATTTTTAATGAGATTCCTATTTTATATCTGTATTACAGACACAGTCAAATTAATACTTACTGGTTGACATAGAATCCTCTGGTTGAGGCCGTAATGTGATATTTCTTGTCTTCCAGGGTTAAAACATACAGATATAGCAAATCACCTACAAAACAGAAATAACCTCCTCTGTTATCAGCTTCTGTACAAAATCAAGCTTAATATTAAAATTATAAATAATCTAAATATTATCATGAATGACATCACCCCTACCATGCATTCTCCTGTTTCCTGGGGGAGGGTTCCACCCACTATATGTTAAGACTTTCAAGCATTGTGGACCCTAAACAGAAAATCATCATAAACAAATATTACATTCAGTGCCTTCCTAAGCAGCAAGGAATTATTTTCAGTGACTATGATTCAGTAGAACAGACCTTCAGATCCTTCAACCCTGGGTGTAGAGGGAGTAGTGGCCTCTCCTTGCTGTTGGGCATTATGTAGTCTGGAGGTGTGCAGTCAACCGAATCAGGCTTCGACCTTTTCTTGTCTGAAAACATTGACACTCAAACAATAACAAACTTCATGGAAAATCTGTTCCTTCATTCAGGATCATCTTCTCTGAATCATTTCAAACCTTAGAATTTGTTATTTTAAGGAACACTACACAGCAGTGTGATCTTAATAAAAATTAAAACCAAAAATGCCATAAAAAATTAAAGACATTAATTAGTATTATCATCTAAACACTGAACTGACCTAGAATATCTCCTACAGTGACGGTATTGAGGAAGGACAGAGAGTTACAGTCCACACCGTTATAAGTATCCGCTGGATCCACCGATTTAAGTAAATCTCGGATGTGACGGACATGTATACGGGCTTCTCTGACAGTGTAAGGCTCTGTAAATAATCAATAATACAGCATTTTTCTTTTTATTTCAAAGCTTGTACAAAAAATTTAATTCAGACTTTTATAATTAACATCTTTTTATAATTTTGGTTATTTTCTAAAAGAAGAATTTCGAAGCTTCATTTCATGGCAAATTTCATAATGTTTTTAAGACAAAGTTATTCCTCTTCACATTTAAAAAAGTAAAATATATATATATATACATAATATGTATATGTAACAATGCATTTCACCCCCAAATTTCACTCATGGAAGAAAACACACCTTCGACCACCTTGATGACAGAGCCCTCTTTGAGTCCTTCTATGCTTTTGAGTTCTGCGAAGTTGTCTAGTGTGACTCCATCCAGCTGTAGTGAGAAGCATGTCCTGATACAAGTGTCTTCTCTATCCATCAATACCTGGTGGATCTCCTGAACTAACTCCATAGAGCTCACCTGTTAAAAAAATCATCATAATACTGATAAACCACAGCTACATAGAGCTCACCTGTTAAATATCAACATAATACTGATAGACCACAGCTCCATAGAGCTCACCTGTTAAATATTAACATAATACTGATAGACCACAGCTCCATAGAGCTCACCTGTTAAATATTAACATAATACCGATAAACCACAGCTCCATAGAGCTCACCTGTTAAATATCAACATAATACTGATAGACCACAGCTCCATAGAGCTCACCTGTTAAATATCAACATAATACTGATAAACCACAGCTCCATAGAGCTCACCTGTCAAAATTAATACTGATAAATCACAGTTCCATAGAGCTCACCTGTTCAATATCAACATAATACTGATAAACCACAGCTCCATAGAGCTCACCTGTTCAATATCAACATAATACTGATAGACCACAGCTCCATAGAGCTCACCTGTTCAATATCTACATAATACTTATAAACCACAGCTCTATAGAGCTCACCTGTCCAAATTATCTATTTGAATGAACCATCATAGCATAGTTACACAAAATAGCCCTCTAAAGCTTGTTATTAAATTCTCAGAATCATTATTGAGTCCTGTTATAAAATTTGCAATGATTTTTGATACTGGGTAAGTTTGTGGTGCAATACCCATATTTCAAACACTTAGAATATTTCTGGAAAGCTTACAAATGCTTTGGAAATGTTATAAATAATTTTTACGGCACACAAAGCACAATACATTACACAAATCATTAGTGAAGATAACTACACTGCACTCATATTATACATATGACAATGTTACCAAGTAGCTCTTCAAAGGGCTAAATTACTGTAATTGATATAACAACTTAATTATTACATTCACACATAAAGCCTTACTGGTAGTTCTATAGGACTGGTGCCGGGAATCTGAATCTGGACATTAAATCCTGTATCCTGAATCAGCACTATCTCCTTATCGTTCTTCTCTCCCTCCTCCCCGGACTCACCCCCCGACTTCTCCTCTGTGTGACCCACCTCCTGGGTTCCGTTAACCAGGGGCTTTACTGGACCGTCTCCCTCTTTCTCTTTCATCTTCTCTGAAATCATAGAAAAAAGACAATTAAAACTGCAGTTACCATTTATAGTGCTTGATATTTCTCTAATCACAGCTAAGGCAGATGCTGTTCATGACTCCCTGCTATGTAAACCTCTCTAACAGTCATTTGACACAGACAAATCTGGCTAAGTCCATATAAAACAGAAATCTGGCTATTTAATACAGATCAATATTTGACACTCATTAAAGTTCACAGATTAAGAAAGTTCATTTGTAAACCTGTATAAAATTAAGTCAAAGACCTTTCAAAATTAATATGTTAAGCATGTCTGTTTTTAAATGGTCTTCAGAGCTAAACATTTTTTTTCTTTTCTGAACAATACAGTCATAAAACTCAGTTGTTTTAAAACTAAGGTATCTTGATTTTATGTATTCTAATTATAATCAGTATATTCATCATATAAATAAGCACCTGATTTTAAACCTACATTCAGTAAAACAGTTTGATCTTTTTTACATATAAATACAATGCACCAATTGTTTTTTGTGAATGCACTAAATACACTTCCTGGACAAACCCCTAATCTCTTTACTTTATATCAGTATTTCCCAGGTTACCTTAGAAATCACATACATGTTTATTATTTAAGTGTATTAATATTCAAAAGAAGGCCAGATATGGAGATCAACATGCTGTTTGAAGACATCAGTTGAATTAATCCTTTTTCATATGCATTTCAATTACTTCCTTAGTTTAATACAAGTCACTGAAAAATGTGTCAAGGTACCAACACCAACCCTATTTTCAATGACATCCCTATTTACAATAACATCATAGTATTTTTATTTACAACTTATAAGTTCCTTTTCTTAGTGGGTAGTATGACATATTCATTTAAAATATCACAGGAAATGCAAGTTTACACAAAGTACAATATGCATAAAACACAGTAAAACACAATGTGTTAGCTATTAGTATGTGTGGTTTAATTCTGCTATATTTTCTTTTCTGCATGTTCTAGTGTGTCCTTCATTTTTATGCTAATTCTGATCTGTTGTTGGTCAGGATAGCTCAAAATTAAGTGAAATAACCATCCAGTTATATTTAGATAAAGACTAACTGAGTTAAACAGGAAATAAAAGAGTTCAATACCTGAATCTGGATTACAAAGGACTTACAATCATTTAGGTATACAGACATAGGGGATTACGTACAGCAAAAAATAAGAAAGTATTCACTCTGATTTTTGTAAACGTGCATAATCAAAGATTACATAGATCAGTACTTCAATGAAAGTTACCTACAAATAGAACACAGTTTCACACAAACAAATATTCTGGTAGTGTGCATTCCTAGATGCAACATTTAAGCAAGTTTGGTCTGGTAGGAGGTTTAGTTGGAAATGGATTTGCTAAAAAAAAAAAAAAAAAATCTAATCACCCTGAAAATTTAAGTTTGCATCTGATGTAAGTCTGATAGTGTTTATCCCTAGATAGAATCATCCAAGCAAATGTGGTCAGCATAGGACTTATGGACAGCTGGGAATAAACCTTTTAAAAAAATTAATAAAATAGTATTTTCAACTTTTATGTAGAATATTGTTTAAATGGAAAATGTAACTATACATGTCAACTAGATCAAGCATCTGAAGCAAGTCTAGTAGTGTGCATCCTGCACGCATACATGGTCACCATAAGGCTTATAGTTACTTAAAAATGAACACGCTTCAAAAACGTCAACCTGGTAACAAACTCATAAAAAAAAATGTCAGACTTGTTTAGTATCCGCAGCAAGTCTAGTAGTGTGCATTCCGACTTGCATCATCCATACAAATCTGGTCAAGGTAAGAGCATATAGTTACTTGAGGATGAGACCTGCTCCAAAAACTTTAACCTGCTACAAAAATCCTAAATAAATCTGGTCATTCTTATGGAAAATACTTGCTGAAAATGCAGCATCTGAAACCTCAGACAGTGCTACAATGAAACAGGGTAAAGAAATACCTAGAGAGAAATTTGCTCGGAAAACTTAAACTTGGAAAGCCAAAGCCAAGGGTATTATATATAAGCTCCCCAACTCTGTTGAGATGAGTTAAAAAAGTACTATATTGTGTTAAGAAAAGCCCCCTTTCTATGATGATATACTTTGAATTTTTTTTTAAAATTTGAATTGAAGAAGCTTGAAGTAATTTGAAGCTTTTCCCAAGTGTATTTTTTGCAAGTATTTTAGTGATACCAGTAGTTTTAATCTACAACTATATTCATTAACATCAACAAAATCAATATAGCAGAAATATGTCCAACATATCAGTCAATATCATCAATCTTTTCATCAACTAGAATCTGGAGGATTTCTTTAATATTCCAAAAAATGAAAGACTGCAAATTACCGGTATGTATGTATTGTTTCATGTCACAGTTTGAAGATGAGCATTATTTATTCCTGTTTTGTTCATTTCTATTTTCCAAAGTAAGGAAAAAATGTAAACTAGGAAAATACATGCACAAATGCTAAAAATTAAAAAGAAATTTGATCAACATTTGTAGCATGAGATTATCAAATTTACTCTGGTGTATTTGTCAGCTATGTAACTGATTTAAGTCTGACAAGAAAATTCCAAGATTCTTTAACTATCCTGCAACATCTTATGTATATATGCCATCATGATGATGAAACTGATTTTATATTTATTTTTTGTATATATTATATAAATACTTTATATGTATACATTAAACCTACAAAATGGTTCTTGGTAATAAGCAATACATCTATAAACTCTTCAGTTTGATATCTAGGAGTTCAATAATACTCAAAGAAATACACCCCTGTGCATACTTATATACCTTCACAACTAATGTATTTGAAATAAATATTACCTGAATTAAAAAGAAACAGATTATGTATGTGCAATTTTTCCCCTTCTCTTTAAACATTTCCTGCAGCAAAGATAAATTTACAATCTCTTTCAGCGATACAGATGAATTTACATTCTCCTGTCACAAAAATTATTTTCTGTTTTTACAGTTTTTACAATGTCTTTTGTATCAAAGCATTTAATGGGAAAGTCTGAAAAACAAACCAGCATTTTTGAACATATATCAGACATTTTGGATATTTCTTTATTGTATGCACTGATAATATTGTGTTGATAAATCTCAGTATTAATAGAAAATCTGTATTTTAGTTATTTTCCTTGCTTATTTTCCTTAACATAATTGCAGACAACATAATCAAATCAAACAGAAAAAGGAAGAAAAATAAATCATTTCACTTTCAGAATACTTTTTTTCAAATGATTTTCAAAATGGATTAAAAGATTACTTTGAGTTTTATTGAAATGTGATACAATAAAAAAAAATATTTTTTTTTAGATCCCAAAATTGGAGGCAAAAAACTCTAAGTTAATATGTGTGGGTACAAATCAAAGGTTAGAGTAGTCAGATTTGAAGGAATGGGGTTTATGAATGGTACCCCCCTAGGGATGTGCGATTTTATCGGTATACCGGTATATCGTGATTTTTAATTGCGTGATACGTATCGTGATACGGAGACTAAAATACCGGTATTTAGGTACATAGTTATAAATTCCAGAAATTATTCATTTATTTGTTCAATCTTTCAAATTACAATTACAGGAAGTGTAAAAAATGTTGAAAACGGTAAAAGAAAGGCATCCTAGCATCCAAAACTGCGTGATATTATGTCAATAAAAAAGGAAATAAGTGAAGTTATGTTTTTCCAGCACATTTTTAGGAAAAATTATGAATATTCATTTAAAACCATTGTAAAAATTGCTTGTAAAAATATCATGATATTATCGTGATATTTTGGGAAAAAATCGTGATATATCGCGATACGAAATTTTTGGTGATACCCATCCCTATACCCCCCCATAATTTTAAAAATACTAATAAGATTTTATCAATTATGTCTGAATTTCTACTCAATGAATATTAAGTAAGTGTAACCTTTGTATACAGACAATTGCACAGTAGAGCTTAAGGCTGGTGTCAACTGGTCAACTTAATGTTCCAGTGTAATGCATGGTCTTATTCCTGCAGGTTTATATACAAACACATGTACGATCATGTACTTTTGATGACAAGATAGGCCTTGGGCTATAATGCAATGCTGTCTATTCATTCAAAATGTCATGCACATCCCATCCTAAATTAAAACATTCTGAATATCTCAAAAACCTAGATACTCGTCAGCAGTCAGCTGTTTGTTTAGGCCACACGAACTACATTTCGACCCAGACGACCTTGAAAACCTGCGTACGATTAATAAATAAAAACACGTGGTAACAAGTCTTTAAAAACAAATTAATTCAAACAACTGTGAAAATCATATAATTTTTAAGACAATAATATATGCGTAATTCAAATTAAACAGCGAACTTATGATGCACACAAGAAATAGGTTGCATAATGAGTCGAGGTACCATTGCATAAACATCTATCAATCATCAATGAAAAATCTTTAAAATGAGATTAAAAAAGTAAAAACAAAATCGAAACACGTTTGAATTTAATAACTTAAATGATACTGTGGTTAAATTTCTAAACAATACACAGAAATGCATTATTTGTCCTTTTTCCGTCGTCTGCACGACTGGAAACCATCTAGATTTCACTGTATTACATAAAATGAACTTACCTTCAGTATTTACTGTGACTGTCACACACTTAGATTTAGGTGAACCATTCTGCAGAGTTGTATCATTACTTTCATCACTTTCGTGACTTGAAATACCTGCCATTGAGCGTTGACTTTCACAGTAAAACACGTGCGTTCCGTCTTAGGAGATTGTCCTACATATGCACGTTTCACCTCAAAATTCCTAATCGGTTAAACGCTTAAAAGAAGTTGGTAAAAGTAGATACTGTTAGGCTTTCTTTGACGTCCGAATTTGCAAGATATATATTGAAACATTTAAATGAAATAGACTTTTTTGGTAACAAATAGAACTTTATTAAAGAAAATTAACCAAAAGTATTTTTAAAAAAAAATACAATTTCGGTTATAAGGCGTGCTATAATATTTAGACGGACGGATTATTTACTTTTATCGAGTTTAATTGAGAAGCTCTAAACACTAACATATTTTTTTTGTTTGGGGTGTGTGTGTGTGTGTGTGGGGGGGGGGGGGTGAGTGGGGTGGGGTGGGGTGTGTGTGCTGATAACAATGAAATATGAAGATAACGAACAGTAATGAATCTCGAAAGTCCAATGAAACGATGCAAATTTGGAGCAGAGCAAACACGGACCTCAAAATTTAGAGGTGGGATCAGGTGCCATGGAGGAGTGAGCATCTCCTTCCGACCGGTCACACCCGCCGTGTGCTCCTTGTCATGATCGGAAAAAAAACCCTGGAAAAATCCATAGACAGTTCAGTGTATAAATAATGGCCTAACAAATCACTTTTACACTATGTTTAACCCTCCTTACTTACCTTTAAGAGGGGTCCGTGTTTCCTGAGGATGTGTGGATTCAAAGTTCAATTTTGTAACTTTACATAGCAATTTTAAGAGCTTTGAAAATTCGCGGGTTCGGGAGGGGGGGGGGGGGGGCTAGATTCCGCTCACGTAGAAAGAAAATACATGTTTCCATGAATAAAAAAGAAATCTGAAATATATAAAAATTGATATTGTGAAAATACATCATTAGGTGTAAACTTTTGAAAAATAACTTGTATCAAACCTAAGGATAGGAGGATAGGGAGTCGAGGGGGGGGGCTGTTTCCAAGCACCTGTTTCTCATGTATCCGCTTTATTTTTAATATACATATATTAGAAATGTTATTTTTAAAAGTACTTTAAACTGTTAAAGTTTGTTTTTTCTATGGAGAAAATTACTCGATGCACACAATTTCGTTTTCTTCAACCTAGCCAAAATTTGGGCGGAAAAGGGGAAGGGGTGTTAAATAATCAAAATATCTTTTTCAGGTTTGTCTGTTTGGTCTTTTGTGGCGTTGGTAAATCTACTTATGTACAGAATTAAAAGAAAGCGAGTAAAATGCAAGACAAATAAAACAATAACAAAGACGGCGGCGGCACATTGTTGGGTTTAACTTTACCGTCCCTTTCATTTAAAAGCTGATGAAACTATCTTTTTTCTTTTATCATGTACAAGCTTATCTTTTAAAAAGATAGGTGAGCTAGCACTGTAGCTATTATAAACCACAGAATTAGATATCTGAATTATTGGATTTATATGCTGAATCGATTAAGGGGACGATCATTTGATTCTGAGGAGGGGGGGGGGGGGTCTGGCAAAATCTTTCGAGTCAGATTATTTATTTTCATGCCAGTCAAGGACAGATTATTTATTTTCAAGATGATCAAGGACATATTATTTATTTTCTTCTTAATCGAAAAAGTTTGACAAAAAAGAGGGACGGGGGGGGGGGGGGGTTAAGTAGTAATAGTCAATGACAGATTATTTATTTTCTTGCCGGTCGTGGAAAGACAGTTATTTATTTCCAACTTTTTTGAGGACAGATTATTTATTTCCAAAATCTTTCACCCCCCCCCCCCTTCAGAATCAAAGGGTCGTCCCTAATTATTAATAGGAAAACACAGTGGTACACTGGAGGTAGTGTTGGGGGGATGTGTCTTAATTCAGAATGGTGAATGTATCAGCTATTCAGTGTTTAATACAGAATATTCATCAGACTATTTATAAAAAAGGCTATTGTTGGATTAAATTCGGGATACTGTGCTTTAAGCATTCTGTAGTTTACTGTAATTTCAATTTTGAAGTGAAAAATAAGAGATAAGTAGAACCAATGAACAGCTAGTTTAAAAACAGTCCAGCGTGGTACTGTTTTGTAGCAATCGCATCCTTTCGGGCCTTTCCCGGCAAGCTCGGAAAACATATCCGAGGCTGTTATTCCGAGCTTGCCGGAAAGATCCAGGAAGATTGTTAAAAATAGCTATTTTTTTTAATTATAATTTTAGAAATTATAATTGATCTGTACAATTTTGGCATTTACTGTTACCTTTTGAACGTTTATTTAAGATTAGACAACAAAACGCGAAACTTCAGATCATATGTATTTTGAGATTAAAAAACGAAATTGACAATTTATCTACAACTAGTATTCCCAGAATGCCCTACCATGAAGTCGAGCACACATCTCGAATTATTGTTAGCTCGAGAGCGCCAGCAATAACAATCGGATCATTACTCGGGCTTTTCCGTCAAAAAAGGAAAAATGAGAAATTAAAGAATTATAATTATATCAGTGCTACTGCATTGTATCAATCGCTTCTCGTGTCTTTCCGACATACTCTGAAAGATTTCCTGGGTTTGTTTCTGAGCTTGCCGGAATTATCTAGGAAGGTAGTATACATGGTTAGCTTTAAGGAAAGCTAGGTTTTACCAGTTGATCTCTACAATCTTGGCATTATATGACCCAAATTTTCTTGTACTTTTAATCATAGGTTAGACAATAAATTAAGAAATTCAGAATTCGGACCATATCAATTTTTTATGATAAAACGAAATTATCATTGTACAGTCTATCTTCAGTAGTTTTCCCAGAATGCCCGACCGTGAAGCCGAGCATGCGTATTCCAGAAATATAGACTAACGTAGTTGCTAGCGCTCGAGAGCGCTAGCAATAAATGTTGGTGCATGTGCTCCATGATAAATATTTACAAACAATAAATATTTCGAAATGAAGGGATAGAGTCATTATTTAGATGAACACGGGAGGCAAGTTAAAAATATGTTCTACATCGAATGTGTTTTAGTACAAGTTGCTCAGATCTATAGATTTTGTAAACAAAGATGGCGGAAGACTTCGCGAATTTACTCGCACAGGGTATAGAAAAACGCGTTTTATATGCTGGAAAAGGTGGACAAACATCATATGAAGATGGAACAAAGGTAAAAAAAAAATGGATACATTCTTAAAAGTACAATGATTACGTTTACTTTTCTGTGAAGGTGAATAGTCATCGATTCAAATATGCAGTTCTCAGATCAGACATCAACAGCTGATCAACTGATTCCCATTCTATAAAAGATTTAGCAATTATTCCAGTATTTGATTGACAATACTCTGTTACTTGTTCGGCATAATATTTTTTATACCTTGGATTTTTACCCATTTTTTTTCTATCCATGAAAAGCTAATTAATTACAATAGTCTAAATAGATCTATGACTTAAAATTATGGAAGTGTCTATCGGCACGACGGTCGTGCCGATTATTTTCGTTATTCGCACGATGGTCGTGCGAATGCGTTCTATTTCCATTAGTGAACTCTTCAAAATTAGACGCGCGTTTGGTCGTTTGAATGGGACAGCATGGCGTTGCGAATAATACAAAACATGCCAATCTCAATCCAGTTTTAAATGTTAAATGTATTTGTCATTCCAATTAAAGAATAGAAGAACTAAAAGACATATGTAAGAGAGCGAGAACCCTAAATTTATCATCCATTAATAAAAAATACGGCATTTCCGAGGCATGTGTATTGTATTTAGATGTACCATACGATAAACCGATAAATAGATACAAACGATCAACAATAGATATAAATTGATATCGTTGTCATTCCTACTCTTGATGTATATAAAGTCCACAACAATAAAATATTTCATTTGCATTTTCTTAGGAATTGTTCATCGACATTCAACATATTGTTTACATGTTTATGTTTGTCCCAGAAATCCTGCGAGATTTGTACATTTTCCGACTTTTTCACAAAAGAGCGCACTAAGAAGTATAACTCTTCCATAGTGGAAATAGAACGTATTACAATTCCTATCCGCACGACACAGGAGAGATAACTCTTACATTATATACATTAACAACTATTCACCAAAAATATAATCCTAGGAAAAAGGGATGCACCTAATACACACATGTAGAACTAATTATAACATTCAGTTAAGCAAAATTTGCTTACGTTAAATTTTCTTCGTGAATCGTCGTGACACAGTGTAATAAGAATTTAATTTTTTATTCGTCCTTTATATCATCTCTTGGGTACATGTAACGTACTTCTAACGTTATTTTGATTGGAAATATAAAAAAATTATAGCTATTTATTTTCTATAATTTTCTTTCGTTTTTGTGGTGTTTATATTCTCTTTCCATAATTTTCCATTTTTCTGGATGGCTTAATAATCTCTCTCTCTCTCCTTCCAGTATACTGTACACAGGCACTTGTTTCGTATACGGGACACCCCTACTTATTTTTACCACAAGGTACCTAACTCAATTTCAGGCACCCCTGCTTAAAGTTCGTATTTTTTCATATATTATCAATCATTAACCTACTTTAAAATGACATCGTACGCTTTTTTCTTGTCAAATTAATCGTTTCGGATTTCACTGGTCGATCCTGTTTATTGTAAACCGCTCATTTCTTCCTCGAAAATTATCTCGATACAAAATAAGACTATGAATGGGATACATAGACTTCCGGTTGGGTTATAAATGAAGGATAAAACCAGAGACCTCGGAAAGGAATACTCGTAAGTCTCTGGACTTGTGATTCCGTGCATGGAAATGTGACCCTGTGGAAAAAAATATCGTTTACATTACTTCACACAGATATTATGAAATGATTAAAATATTCTGTCATATTTTCCCTATTTATTTTATTGAAAAATAATTTTTTAATTTAAATAGTAAATCGATTAATTTCTAATATATTCATAGAGGATGATTTTTTAGTAAATTTATGCAATATTACATGTATATTCTTTGATAGTGAACATATATAAAGCTTCGTCTAAATGTTTTCTTATTTAAGTACGTTGATCAAACTTGTTTGGAGTTTTTCAAACAATACACTGTGGAACCATTTAAATTCATTCAAAAATTCTTCAAAATCAATATGATACAATATAATCCATGTTCATGAAAGAAAAGACAAAAGACACTGAATTTAATTTCAGAGAAGTAAATATAAGTATTTAAAAAAAAAAAGCATGAGATAGATTCACATTTAGTTTACTTTATTACAATACTGAGACCGTAGTCTTAGATTCCGATATAATAATTCATGTGTAAATGTATCATAGGACACAGATTTCCAATTATTTCGCTATAATATATTCCTTCATAACATAGAAATGAATTTAAAGAATTTGACTGCCTCAGCTCACCTGACATATGGCACAGAGCTAGAACAATTCCAGTCTAAAAATATTCTGATTCTCAGGAAAATTTGTAGTGTACAAGCCATGCTGAGACACTTCAAATAACCCCTACACTGCACATATTTCAAATTCCCTTAAAATTTGAGAAGCAGGTGAAAAAGCCTTCTTTATACCCTTCCTAAAAGCAAAGATTCCAATATTGTAATTTAAAAAAAAAAAAAATCCAGACATTTTTTTCTATCTAATATCAACTCATTCCACCCCATATACATTCCAGAGGATTTTAAAGAAAGAACCCTCTATTATTTTTAATGGCACTACTTGCACAAAATGGGATAAATTAACCGTCAGTGTCGGACTGTCGAGAAGCCTTTTTTTTCCCTAATATATAAAATTGAAATTTTGAAAAAGGCCGTTGTTTTTCTTTTTGAAAAATCGTAATCATAATTATACCGTGGCAAAGACTCTAGCCTTTGGATAAGCAGAGACATATAATAATTACATCTCTGGAATAAGCTAGGAATTTTTGAAGAGTAAGCATGGTAAGGGATAATTTCACTTTATGTGTCTGTCTAATATGTAAAATTCTACATACAATACCAAAACACCGAGTAAAAATTTATTTATATAAATAAAGTATATACATATATAAATAATATAAAGTTATAAACCAAAAAAAAATTGTTTCAAAGTTTGTTGTGCGAATAGCCTCCGTAATTAGCATGACCATCGGGTGGATAACTTCTGTAATCGGCACGACCTTGGTGCGGATAACACCGGTAATTAGCACGACCGTCGTGCGGATAGCCTCGGCCTAAAATTATGTGTAAAGTTCACATGTATTTGCAATGACTTTTATTCTTTTAAATAACTTTTTATCCTTTATATTTAATTTATTTTCTAGTGTTAAAGAATAAAGTTTCATGACCTTGAATTTGGAGTTTGACCTAATTTTGAAAAACTTAAAGTCATATATTGCATATTTTTTGATAAGTTCAGGTAACAAAATTAGAAAGATCTTTCTATTTGTTTTATAACTTTATATAAAGATAGGACTTTCCTGTAAATTACACAATTTAAATCAATTGCGTTTCAAAGATATTAAAAATTTAAAACAATAACCATGATAACCGATTTATTTACGGACTCCACATTTAAATAACAGACAAATTTAAAGTCAGTTTAACTTTAGAAATGTGAGGTTATTCAAGCTCAAAATCAGTGAAAGTTTTAATTTGAACGTAAATAACTTATATCATGTATATTTACACTCAATCTCCTATTATTGTTTATGCCAGATATGCCATACATAGCTTTAAACCTAGCTGCCATATGGGGGATCAGTGTTTCACAAACACATCTTGCTTATTTCTGTAAAAGAACATTGTCCTCTGTTTCAATGCTTTTTTTTTTTTTTAAATTTTTGACTAAAATTTTAAATAAATATGACATACACTGAAATTACCTGAAACTAGACAAAGGTAAATAGGCCACATGCCTAAATAAAGCCAGGTTTTGTATGTACAAGATACAAGATACGTTATTTACCATCAAGGGTATTTCAGCATATATAAATGTACAATTTAAACATTTTACTACAAAATTGATTTTTTTTTAGAGATATACTCACTATAACTTGCATCAGTTAAAAAAAGTAGAGGAAATTTATATATTTTGTTTACCACATTAAGTTAAGAAAATACTGTAAATTACACAATTGAAAATGAACGGGTTATAAAGATGTCAAATTATAGTTATTTACTTTCTTGCCAGGAAAGTAATGCCTTTATTTAAAGCATCATGTGACACCGTCGCTACTTTAGATTGATAAACAAAAATGGTGTCAAGAAAACGAGGTAGGCCGTTTGGTATACAAATAATATCTTTTAAAACAACCAGTATTAACCATCTACTCTGTAATGACAGATATTGACCTTTTATTTATAATCATAGTCAAAATGCAACATACCTTGTCGTCTATGATTTCCCACAGACATGCATGTCTATATACTGTTTGCACAGTTCCTTGAATGGTTGGTGCTAGGGCTTTAATCTTTCACATGTATATTCCTTGTGACAAGACCTTCCATTTTGGACCATTAATTAGCTCACCTCGACGAAGTCGAGATGAGCTTATGCTATACCCCCGGCGTCGGCGTCGGCGTCGGTGTCGGCGTCGGCGTTAGCGTCGGCGTCCCAGGTTAAAGTTTTAGGAGCAAGTCCCATTCCCAAGTAACTATAAGCCCTACCTGGACCAAACTTGCATGGATGATGCATCTAGGGATGGACACTACCAAACTTGCTTCGGATGCTGGATCTGACCTAGATTTTCCAGATGAGTGACCAGGTTAAAGTTTTAGGAGCAGGTCCATTCCCAAGTAACTATAAGCCCTACCTGGATCAAACTTGCATGGATGATGCATCTAGGGATGGACACTACCACACTTACTTCGGATGCTGGATCTGACCTAGATTTTCTGGATGAGTGACCAGGTTAAAGTTTTAGGAGCAGGTCCATTCCCAAGTAACTATAAGCCCTACCTGGACCAAACTTGCATGGATGATGCATCTAGGGATGGACATGGCCACACTTACTTTGGATGCTGGATCTGACCTAGATTTTCCGGATGAGTGACCAGGTTAAAGTTTTAGGAGCAGGTCCATTCCCAAGTAACTATAAGCCCTACCTTGACCAAACTTGCATGGATGATGCATCTAGGGATGGACACTACCACACTTGCTTCGGATGCTGGATCTGACCTAGATTTTCCGGATGAGTGACCAGGTTAAAGTTTTAGGAGTAGGTCCATTCCCAAGAAACTATAAGCTCTACCTTGACCAAACTTGCATGGATGATGCATCTAGGGATGGACATGGCCACACTTACTTCGGATGCTGGATCTGACCTAGATTTTCCGGATGAGTGACCAGGTTAAAGTTTTAGGAGCAGGTCCATTCCCAAGTAACTATAAGCCCTACCTGGACCAAACTTGCATGGATGATGCATCTAGGGATGGACACTACCACACTTGCTTCGGATGCTGGATCTGACCTAGATTTTCCAGATGAATGACCAGGTTAAATTTAAGGAGCAGGTCCATTCCCAAGTAACTATAAGCCCTACCCGGACCAAACTTGCATGGATGATGCATCCAGGGATGGACACTACCACACTTGCTTCGGATGCTGGATCTGACCTAGATTTTCCACATGAGTGAATTTTAGCCATATTTTAACCAAATTAGCATGGATGATGTATCTAGGGATGGACACTTCCAGACTTGCTTTGGATTCTGAATCTGACGTACATTTTCCAGATGAGTGACCAGGGTAATTTTTTTGGAGTAGCTATATAATATTATGGCCTGTTATGATTAAACTTGCATAGATGGTGCATCTAAGGATGAAAACTTCCAGACTTGGATTGGATGTTGGAACTGACCAAAATTTTCTTGATTACTTAACAGGTCAAAAGTTTTTTGAGCAGGTCTATAATTAAATCAAACTTGCGTGGATATTGATCTTGGGATGTACCCTAACTAGAAAAAAAATATGATGTGAAATTTGCCTTACATGTAGATAACATTCGTCGAGGTGAGCTTCGTAATCTTTGATTACCTATGTTTTTGACATTTGACCTTGACCTTGGAGTTTGACCTCTTTTGAAAACCTTTAACCTTGGCCATAACCTTTGAATGGTTGGTGCTAGAGCTTTCATCTTTCACAGGTGTATTCCTTGTGACAAGACCTTTCTTTGGGTACCAACATTTTTGATCTCTTGACCATAAGGGGGCATTAGTGTTTCACAAACACATCTTGTTATTATATATTTGAAAATAGTGACTAAAAATGATATATCAACTTGTAGATTAATTTCTGAATTTTTAATAATTGAATGTGTTCTCTTTGAATTTCTGTTTCTCATAACTTTTTTTCCAAAGGTAATGCATTTAGCGTTAAGAAATAAAATAATTATAAATTAAACAAATAATTATTTTGAATAAAACTTTTTATTTCATTTCTCAGTTCTTTTTTCCAGCTATATTTTCATTTCCGTACAGAAATTTGCGATGAAGAAAACACAGTTCTTGATGACAGTCATAAGTATAATAAACCAATGGAAATTATTCTCGGGAAGAAATTCAAACTGGAAGTTTGGGAAACTTGTTTACGAACAATGAGATTAAATGAAGTGGCCTGCTTCACTGTCGAAAAGTCAGTAAGTGTCATAATCATATTTTGTCCAGCTTTATTTTGCTATAAAAAATGTAACCAGAAGGTTGTTTTCAAACATTAAAACAATGGTTTTAAATTCAAGGTCATTTAAACTGAGGTCATGATGGCACAAAAAACATATTCTTTTATGTGGTCAATCAGATGCCAATTTTAAACATCCCAAGCTCAGATGATTCTTGGTTTTACTTTTTTTTTTGCCAAAAAAGCAAAATATAATTTACTTTTAGATGAAAGGTCAAGGTCATATATGGGTCCTGATATCTTATGCTAAATCTAATAGATTAAAAAAAAAAGGGTTCATTTTCAGACATACATATTTGCCACAAGACAATTTCACTTTAAGGTCAAAGGTCATGAATGAACCTAGGATGACACAACCATGTGTCTTATTTCATAAACATGGGTAAAAGGATAGCTAAGACAAGATTATATGAGAAATTATAATGATTGAAATGAAAAATTCAGGGTAAAACGGTCAAAGGAGGCATAATTAGTAGAATTAATCAGGGGTTGAAATTTTCCTGGAAAACCCACTAGCCCAGGGACTACTGATCAGTAAAAAATTACTAGCCCAAACCTCAAACTAACTAGCCCAATTTTTTTTATGCAAAATGAAAACATAGCAAGTTAAATTAAAGTTTCAAATGCTGTGGTGACAGAAACAAATTATACTACAATGTAGTTCTCACTCAAAAGAAACCAGTCTACATAGAAAAGCAAAAGTAAACTGACGAGAATTTTTTTTCCGTTATGCTAGTCCAACGGACTATCATTACATTTAAATTAGCTAGCCCGAGTCTTTAAATGACCAGGCATCGGGCTACCGTATATTTCAATCCCTGTCAATAAAAGTCAAAGGATCTGTTTTTTTTTTAAAATGACATCTTTATTTTTACTTTCAGCACATATCTGTATGAATCTTTATATTTTTTTTCAGCACACATCTGTATGACATCTTTATTTTTACTTTCAGCATACTTCCGTATATCCAGTGGTGTCTAAGACATTAAGGGAATATTATGGAGAGAAGAAAGCTCACAGTCACAATGATAGCGGCCATTGTTGTGGAATGATGATGGCTGAACATGGAGTGGGGTTCGATGACCTAAATGAACTCATGAAGAACCCTAAACAGCTAAGGTTTATATTAGGTTTGTTTGTCTCTTACACATTTACAGAGAGACCTTTATATAAACTGAGATTCTTTTAATACTGTACCGGGTATTTGTTGATTCATATTTGACAATTGACCATATATGATAACTGGTATAGGCCATTATATATCACCAAATTCAAACTTTAAGAAACTTAACATTCTGTTCCTCACCAGAAAATGATATATTTGTAGACTTCAAATCAGTAAATATTTGCTATAATGTCACCAGAAAAAAAAAGCATTAAGGAAAATATATTCAAAATTTCAATGATCTTGAGAGAGAACCTATTTTGTTTGTTATTTTGTTAGGAAAATATATGGAGGACAGGTCTGCCCAGATTACATAGTTTGATAGAACTGTGTAGAATGATAATATAAGTGTCATATATCAATAAGGATCCAGGCCACTCTATGAAATCTTACACTCTGTGCAATCTGTAGGTAAAATTGAACAATTTTGTGCCTTGCTCCTTACGAAAAAAGGAAATCCCCAAAATTTGTGATATAGAGTCAAAAATACCAGGTCATTTTTTCCTTTTCAAGATATATTTTTATTTGTGATTTCTTCTATTTAATGTGATATTGTGCACACACAAGTTTGATAGAATTTCAAAATTTTATGATTATTGGGCAAAAACATGCCTTCAAGAATGCCAATATGTCATTACCACATAACCCTGGTAGTCAAACTATACCTTACAGCATAGCACTCCACTGAAGCTGGGATGGGAATCTTATTTCATGCATGACTATACACTATTTATTTCATACTGTGAAATCACTTATTTTTATGGGGGTTAAATTTTCATTGTTTTCTTGGTACAGTCAAACCTCATTATCTTGAACTCAAGGGGTTGATGAAAAACTTTGAGATATCCAGATATTTGAAAGAATAAGTGGTTGGGACTTACAAATCACTTCATATCCATGGTGTTCGAGATATCAGTGTTCAAGAAACCAAAGTTCAACTATATAAAGAAACCAACAAATTCTCTCCTCCAGGAAATATTTAAATTTCAAACCGTGTTTCTCAGTCATCTTCAACCACAAAATGAAATACCGACAATTTTTGATTTCTCAAACCACAAAAAAATAAGTGATTTTACTGTAACTAGTATACTCCTTTTTTTTTAAATCATACTAGTATATTATAATATATGGAGCAAGAATTTTCCTCATAAGATATCAGATAAATTTTACTCAATATTCTTTTAAATTAATATGAGGATAATTTTTTACCAAGTTAATTTGTTTTATTTCTAGAATTGGTAAAAGTAGAGAGACCAGAAGAGTATGAAAAGGATTCGTGGACATTAACAGACGAAGAAAAGTTACAGAGAATCCCTGTCCTGAAGGAACAAGGCAACAAGTTCTTCTTAGAGAAGAAGTACCCAGAAGCAGCAGAGAAATATTTTGAGGCTTTGAGTTTCTTAGAACAACTGGTGCTCAAGTAAGGAAACAATTCTTCACTTCAGGCTATAGGAAGGTGCTCAAGTAAGGAGACATTTCTTAGTTCCAGTTAGAGTGATTGGTGCTGAAGTAAGGAGACATTTCTTATTTTCTGGTCAGAGTAGCTCAAGTAAGGAGACATTTCTTATTTTTGGTTAGAGTTACTGTTGCCAGTGTTTAAAACTCACAGTAGAATTAGATAGACATGCAGGGCTGACCGCTTGTGAAAGTTGTCAGCCCTGCCAAAACTCTACTAGCACGAGAAAATAAAAGTCTTTTATAAAGTTCTTTTTAGCGATAATGTGAATGGGGCACGGTCACCATAAATTCCATCCCAAATCTATAGGCTGTCAAATTCTACCCCTTAGCTTGTTACACTTAGTTACCGACATTATAAGTTGGTTTGAGAGATGTTTATCAAATATATGAATTTCAACTTATGGCAAATTTTAAACATCCAGCTGGGCGTTGATACATACAAATCTGTTCGTCCGCAGCAAAATTTGTGCGTCTCGGGCAGTTGGGCGCATGGTTATTTCAAATACTGTTGTTGCTGAAGTAAGGAGACATTTCTTATTTTGTGGTTTGAGTGACTGGTGCTAAAGTAAGAAGACATTTCTTATTTTCTGGTCAGAATAGCTGGTGCTGAAATAAGGAGACATTTCTTATTTTCTGGTCAGAGTAGCTGGCACTCAAGTAAGGAGACATTTCTTATTATCTGGTCAGAGTAGCTGGCACTCAAGTAAGGAGACATTTCTTATTTTCTGGTCAGAGTAGCTGGAACTCAAGTAAGGAGACATTTCTTATTTTCTGGTCAGAGTAGCTGGTGCTGAAGTAAGGAGACATTTCTTATTTTCTGGTCAGAGTAGCTGGCACTCAAGTAAGGAGACATTTCTTATTTTCTGGTCAGAGTAGCTGGTGCTGAAGTAAGGAGACATTTCTTATTTTCTGGTCAGAGTAGCTGGCACTCAAGTAAGGAGACATTTCTTTTTTTCTGGTCAGAGTGACTGGAGCTGAAGTAAGGAGACATTTCTTATTTTCTGGTCAGAGTAGCTGGTACTCAAGTAAGGAGACATTTCTAAGGTTGAAGTTGAGATATTTCATAATCATCTTGTTAGAATATATACTGTATCTTGTGGTTTAAGATTAAGAAAGATATTAAGTTGTTCATGTTCTTGTCCTTTGATTTTGTAATAATTAACGTTTCATTTTTTTAATTGAAATAATTTACAAATAATTTATCATATTATGTGACAAAGAATCTCCTGTCATATGATCACAGTTTCAGCAGTTTTCAGACAAAGCAAACTGTATATTTTCAGATCCCCAAGAAATACCACATACTAGTCATAACTAGTGAAAAAATTCTAAAATGATGAATGATCATAAAATTGACCAATTTCAACTGGTTCTCACAAGAATGTATAAAAATTAGTTCTATTGTAGAAAAAAATGATGTTACAAATATCAAAAAGATAATCATTAGGTACTATATGTGACTAAATCTATTCATTCTTTGCATTGTGTGAGGAAACAAGATTTTAATTACTGGTTACTATCCTTGAAAAACAGGAATGACAAATCAATATCTTCTGTCATTGTTGTGTTTCAATGTTTATGATTTAGATTTCTTTCCTGTTTGTAGAGAAAAACCTGAAGAACCAGAATGGAACTCTCTAGAAGATATGAAGACCCCTTTCTTATTAAATTATGCTCAGTGTAAATTATTCTTAAAAGACTTTTACCCTGTAATAGAACACACCTCAACTGTACTGAAAAGGGAACCAGGTAATATTGGACTTCATAAATATGCAATATTACAAGCTTGAAGCCATGCCAATATTTTTTGATACCGACTAGTTCACAGTTATTGAATTTAAATGATTAATTTTCATGATTCGTTTATATAATTTCTTAAGTATAGATCCATTTTTCAACCATAAAATCATGGTCAAATATCATACCATGATCAAATATCGTAACATTAACCTTTTCATAATCTTAACATTACTTGTCAAATTTGGCAGTGGTTTTAGCTTAAAGTGGGGCATTGTGCTAATAAAAACCAAAAAAAAAAACCCCATGTTTCTAGTTAATCTTTTTTGCCTTTACATGTGAGAGAGAATGAGGATTATTAGCTGAGTTGTTATTTTTCTTTCAGAAAATGTGAAAGCATTGTTTCGCAGAGCCAAGGCACATGTTGGAGCCTGGAATCCCCTGGAGGCCCGAGAGGACTTCAGCAAGGTCATGACCCTTGACCCTTCCCTATCAACGGCAGTCCAGAAAGAATTAAAAAACTTAGAGGAATTGCAAAAGCAAAAAGACAGTGAAGATAGAAATAAACTAAAAGGACTTTTTAGTTAATAAAGTTAATTGTTGTTAAATGTTTAAAATTTTTAAATTCTTTATGTGTATTTAAATTATTTCCCTGTTAAGGTGCTTTATATGAATTGTTTTATTTTAAATTCATCACTTTACTTAATTTACCAATTCAGCATTATGGTAATAACCTTATTAATAAATGAATCATCTTTGAATTTTTTTATGCATCTTGAAAAAAAATATTAAAGATTTTTACTCTGTCATTCATATTTTTAGATTCAGAACTCTTGTTCACTAGTAAAATAAAATTATACTCAAGAATTTGAGAGTCACAGTTCTTAGTCAAGCATTGCTCTGCTTTTTTGTGATATGCACTGTTTGGTGGTAAAACTTTAGACCTCAAGGTACCTGCCCCATTCAGTAAAACTTAACCTCCGTGAAATGTCTGTGTAGTTATTAATCTCTAGTCACCAGTCCTGACAGGATACATTTTTCGTTATGGAGGACGAATCTGTCACCACTGCCTGTACACGTGTATAGGATCAGATGAATTGTGAAGATTTTTTGGATACTGTTCATGGAGTGCATTTATACCAGGGAGAGTTGATGTTTATTAATTGTTTTATTTTCATGATTGATTCTGCCTTTGTTATTGAAAATGATAAATTATTTCAAAATGATACATTTTACATGGTTCTGTTAAACTTGACTAAACCTAGTATAAATATAGACTGCTGTTTTAATTCATTTTGAATTACGCCAATTTTCTCAAGAGAAAGAGTATATAAGTATTAGAGGCAATTTTATGAGTTGTAATACCCAAATGCATTACCTTAATTACCTATTAGACTTTACTAGTATGTGTACCAGGGCTGCACTGTATAAAATTTAAAGCTTACTCTTTTTTCAATCTATGTACCCATGTGGGTTTTAGTGCTCTAGATTCAATATCAGTCTTTTTAGCAAGGTTGAGGATCCATGTATCAACGTCTTTGATTTTGATGAGTTTTTGTCTAACTGCTCATTTTTCTTTGTGTGTAAGATTTCATTGGATTCAGATCTGGGTTGTTTTTGGGCATTAAACATGTGACAAGTTCTCAATTTTTTCTGTAATATATGTTTTGAATTTCATTAACCATTGCCTTGTCATACTCCATCATTGAAACCAAAGAAATTGTATTAAAATGTAGCTTCCCCTTGTTAATTGTAGTCCTGTATTTGTGAAACCCAAAGGATAGAGGTGATTTTGGACATTATGTTGTAGTAGGTGATTTTGTTGTCTTTTACATAAATACACAATGATATTTCTTATTTTTTTTATCGTCAAAATTGTCTCAAAAGTGTATAATAATTATGACTATCAAAGGTTTGGATTATTCAAAATAAGTAACAAATATGTTCTTTGATGTTTGCTACAGCTTGTTTGTTTAAATGGTGTTGAAGTTGTACATTATGATGATTACTATTGTTTGATTTGAGTCAAGCAAATATTTGAATAAACATTCAAGCAAGCTCTGTCTTGTCGTACACATCCAGACTCTTTTCTTGTTCTAAAGAGCTACAGATCAGTCAGAAACTAGAATATATGATTCTCTACAGATATTCCCTACACTGCATCCATATTACTTTTCAATTGTAAACAAACCCTACAATGCGTATTAACCATCGAAAACCAAATCCTCCAGAGTGTTCTTATTCCTTCTATTTTCCCGACTATATTCTTGTTGGACACCTCATTATTGGTGTTATAAATATAGTTAAAAATGAAGACCTGAAAGATATCATTTTTAAAAGTCCGAAATTTACTGAGCCCTGATTTTTCAAATGGCAACATAATTTTATTTCTTAGCGTTTTAGAAGTATATTATAAAACCTTGCTAGAAATTTTAAATGCAGAGCACATACTATCTATTTTTCCGTTTTCAGTAAACAGGAAGTGACATATTTGGGTGAATTAAAAAATAATGACCACCAAATTGAAATTTTTTGATAAAATTCAACTACCCATAACATGTTTTTCACTTCTATCATTATATACATGCATTCTAGTCAAAATTCCCGAAGTTGCAATAGAATAGACAATTGGATAAAAAAGTTTCAGAATTTTTATTAGTAAAACTTTATTTGAAAAAAGAAAATATCACTACATCCTTAAAGACTTTCTTAAATACATAATCAAAAGAAAGTATAGTTTAAATTTATGCTTCAAAACAGTATCAGGGAAATAAATGTCTAGTTATGAACCTTGAGTTTCTTCATTTGTATATGAGAAAAAAAATTGGCTTTTTGATTGCTTTTTTTACATTGTTTTTTCAATTCTGGTTTGAAAAGTTTTAACATGAAAGAAATATGAAACAATAAAATCCCACAGATCACTTTCTTGTCCATTTCAGTCAATTCTTTAAATCTAAGCCAAAAAGAATTTTGATGTACAAATTTCTTATAAAATATACTAGATTTAGAAGTGACCCTATTTTACATTATTGTGTTGCACTCCTGACATCTAATATGTATTTTATTTAACTTTTTAAAAAAAATTATAACACTCAATAACCCATTCCTAGTTTGTAAATCAGTTTGTCTTTTTGATATTTTTTTTTTTTTTTATCATTTACGGCAAGTTTTTCATATTTTTTTTTAAGACTTCAAAACATGATTATTTGCAGTGTGTAATATATATACATTGTATTTAAACAAATGTGTTAATGTGATGAAATTTTTCTCTGAATTGACTGTAAAATGTCTGTAATAAGTTGATAGACATAATGTTTTGAACAAATAGTATCGAACATTTTTTTTCAATTTATTTTTAAGTAAAGGTAGATGAAGATCATTGATAATTATAAAACAGTTTTGTTGCACTCCTGACTGCAGTAAAATTAAAAATTAAAACGATAGAACACAAAAATTCATAAAGTGTTGGCAACATCAAGTGGTAAAGAAATTGTGCAATATTTATAGTCCAATACTTTACGAGTATAATTAAAACACATGAAAGTATTAGAAGATAAATTATATTTTATAGTATATTTTCCTTCAGAGGACAAACACTGTAAGCAACTGAGGTCAACTAGAAACATTCTACTGATCAATTTTTCTATATATTTATTCATTTTTGATTAGCAATAATTCTATCATATTTGTTGCACCCCTGACCAAGAGCATGGGAGTCTTTAAAGTAAATCATATACGGTACCAATTTTGATGCACCAGATCCGCATTTCGACAAATTATGTCTCTTCAGTGATGCGCATGCCAAAAATTTGGAAATCCGAAATATTTATATGAAAAGAAAAAAAAAACAAACTTTGAAGAGCTGAAAAAAGGGGGTGCCAAAGACTGGAGCCAAATACATCGAAGGACTAGAGCTATGCATGAGGGAAATAATCCTTAATTTTGAAAAAAAAATTCTGATTTTTACCACAGGAATTAAATATATATCCCTATTTTCAAGCTAGTACCGAAGTACTTGGGTACTTAAAGTAGAATTGTGAAGCGAAAATTACACCAGAACTTGTTCTGTTGTTTTAGTGAAGTTGAGGTGGAATTACTTGAATTTTATGACAATTTTTCAGTATGTTTATTTTTTTTACATTCATAAAAAAAAATCAAAGAGAAGATAAAAACACATCTGAATTGTTAAAATTGAAAAAGAGAAGGATTTTTGCAATAAAACTGTCAATAATTTAGTACTAAATTTTCAAATAGATCATTATTAATTCAAGAGTATATCTTAGCATGAATAGGAATCTTTTCATCACATAACTTGAATCTTTATTAAAATACTCCTGACCACAGAAATATAGATCAGAAACACAGACAGACCCTTTAATTGATAAAACTATTTGGTAAAAATGTTCTTTCTGTCTTTATTTTGCAAAATAAAAAAACAGAGAATCATATACTGATAAAAGTTTTTTTCATGATGGGGAGCAAATCATCAAATGTTGCACTCTTGACATTGTTGGGCATGCACAGATACTTGACTCTCATTAATGCTGCTTGTGATTTATATAACAGTTTTAAGTTTTAAATTGTATATTAGTAGTTATTTTACACTTTGAAAATTCTTTTTTGACTTAATTGTCTTTCAGATTTTTAAAATCGATGATTTGTTTTGACAACACTACATTTTTTCTGTTGCACGCCTGACATGGTTTAACATTTTTTTTTCAACATCAGCCATGACCACAACTTAGTAAAACAAAAGTTGCTAAAGCCTACATTTAAAGCTGAATACTTTGCATATTATCAGAAAAGTCTTTTTTTCCAACACAAACCATTATTATTTATTTCACAGATCTTCAAAAAATATTGAATTTTTAAAATGTTACAAAAAGGTGTTGCACTCCTGACATTTTTGGCATCATTTTTGAGCACAACCTTTTTGTGAATTGAGATATCAATGAGATATCTGGCAGGTATTTAGACACTAGCTAAAGACATATGCTGAGACATAGACATTTATTCCCATTGCCTGTATTTGTAATGACATGTCTTTGCTTAATTTTTTTTAATTAACCCATTTATGGTTCCAGCTGATAATGCTTATAATGATATAGTCTTTGTTTGTAACGCTCAGATTTTTAACTGCATTTTAGAAGGTCACAGTCCTAACCCTACATCTGGAACCTAGCTTAAACCCAATGTTCCATTTCAAAGGATGGAATTCTTCAGAGTCACGTTTCAGTTTTCATACTGTTAACGTTCCAGACAACGGGAGTAAATCTGATTTACCGCACCTTTACTAGTTTCTAAAAGTTCCTAAAAATCCTTACAAAGAGGGTATAGTAAATACTTTACCAAGCCTCTATCTTTACTCCTCGCAAAAATATTAACTATCGTGAAGGAGAAACTTCAGACGGACAGTTGGGTACATGATATGAAAGAAGTGGTATAAATCTGGATTCTTAAAACCCTCAAAGAACTTTTTAGAAAATTTTAAATCAAAAATGTTTTCTTCCTCTCTAGAATCAACAACATGAAGGCATACATGACTTTTCAACACTTTATACAACCATTCATTAAGATAAATGAAAGACTTGGCTTTTTAACATCAAAGACACCTGCTTTTTCAATTAAAATGGAACTCGAAAATTATCATTTGATTGCTTATCTACAAATTTACTTTGTTAAAAGTCATTCTAATTCTACACATTAGTACTCTGAAGATGCTGGAGCTTCTTAATGACAACATCTGTGTAGTCCTTGAAGACCAGGTATTCCAACAATCTGTGTACACTAGTTGTGTTCTTTTATTAATTTTTTTATATTCTTATGAAGTAGAATTTATTCAGAAACTTCTACATGAGAATAAAACTTCTTCCTGTGGCTTTCAATTCGACATTTAGATACTAGTTTTATCTATAAACAAAAGTTGCTTTCATTTTTTTGTCGACTCGATATAACCAAGTGAACTCAATATAAGGGACAACACAGAGTGCTACACATCTGTTTCATATCTAGGGATATTTTATTGACATTAATTTTTCTTTCATTGATTTATTTTGGCTGATCTTGAGCCCCAGATTCTCTCTCTCTCTTCTTCTTCTTCTAGCTTGTCGGTCTTTTCTTTCATATATTGTTGTGTGGCTTACTAAACTGACATCGTCTACAAAGTCAATGTCTTTCCAATGCAGTAGTAAATTTTGTGTATTCCTCGTGATTTCCGTGTCATTCAACGTTAATATATACCAGGTGGGGACATTAATGGTGATAAAACACATCCTTGATGTACACTTGTTGTTATCAGAAACCAGTTTGAAGTTGATTTTTTATACCGTATGGAACATTTGAATCCTTCATACATTTCTTTTTATGAATTATCATTTTTATTTTTAGATGATGGAATAATCTCAAGCTTTCTGACTGGTTGAAATCCAAAATTGTAGAAATCATACTAAGTTATACGATATACGAAACCTTTCTCAGAAAACAGCAATAATTGTATAATGGTATATTCCAAACCTTCCCATTATTTTCCAGAGCGTAATACAATGTATACTTTCAAATGCCTTCCCAAAGTCAACAAAGTTTATACAAGGATGATATCCATTTAAGACTATTTTCAGTGATGTAACGTAAGCAGAATGTATTATTAATACACGATCTATTTTTTCTTAACCCACTTTGTTGTTCCTTAAGATGCTCTTGCTCTTTCATTCTATGGAGTAAAACCCTACAGAGAATCAGTAGTAGTGTGATAGCATTCCAGTTGTTTCCTTGTGTTAGGTACCCTTTCTTTGGAGGTTTCACAATGATACCTTCTTTCCATTGTTCAGGTATTTTCTATTCTTCCCAGATCTTAGCAAGTGCCTAGAAGACTACGATTAATATCTTTACTTTCTTTATCATTTCAGCTTTGATATTGTTTCGTTCTTCTTGTTGTGTTTCTTAAAGATCTTCAGATTTCCTCCTTTTTTCTGAACAGTACTGTCTACATTATGTATATCTACTAGTAACTGGATGTTCAAAACTGAGACAGAATATTGACAAAAAAGTTAAAGTTACAGGGCTTTCTCCAGTCTCATTTAAAGTAAGCATTTCGCTAATCCTATGGTCGTTAACATGACTTTGTTTGCAGTTACATGTACAACCCATCCTTAGGTCGTATTTTGGTTGACATGTTTCATACCTATTGTTAGGCTATTGTTTTTTTTTTTTTTTATTGTTTTTTACTTACCTTGTCATTGGTCATTTGCAAAATTACTTTGTCAAAAAACAATCTGATTGTTCACACAAGTACTCTGAAGTTGACATTAAAAAGATGCTCGGGTTTCTGATTGACAATATCTATGTGGTTTTTGGAGATCAGGTCTTCCAACAATCTATTGGAATTTCCATGGGTACCAATTGCGCCCCGTTATTAGCAGACCTATTTTTGTATTCATATGAGGCAGAATTTGTTAAAAAAATCTTTTACGAGAAAAGAAGAAAACACTTGCTGTGGCCTTCAACTCGACATTTAGATATATCGACGACGTATTGTTAACAATGGTTATTTCCATTTTTATGTCGACACGATATATCCCGCTGAGCTTGAACTAAAAGATACCACAGAGTCTGACACATCTGTTTCATATTTGGATATTTTACTTGAAAAAGACGTTAATGGTAATCTTACAACAAAGCTTTATGATAAACGTGATGACTTTAACTTTTCAATCGTCAACTTCCCTTACTTATGCAGCAATATACCCTTATCACCTGCATACGGAGTTTATATCTCTCAGTTGATTCGATACGCTAGAGCATGCTCTAAGTATGAACAATTTCTAAAACGAGGTAAGTTATTGACAAACAAGACGATGAAACAAGAATATCAGCAGTCTCGTTTAAAGTCATCATTTCGTAAGTTCTATGGTCGATACAATGACCTAGTCAGCAAATACAATCTATCAATAAGTCAAATGCTGACTGACTTTTTTCATACTAATTGTTAGGCCATTATTTACACAATGAATTGTCGACGGATTTTTCCGTTATTTGCCGATCATGACAAGGAGCACACGGCGGGTGTGACCGGTCGTCAGGGGTGCTCACTCCTCCATGGTACTTGATCCCACCTCTGGTGTTTTAGAGGTCCATGTTTGTTCTGCTCCTATTTTGTAATGTTTAATGGACTTTTGAGTTCGAATACTGTTCGTTATCTCCACATATTTTCTTCTGATTTTGACTACGGATTTCTCCGTTTACCTTTGGAATACAGAGAGCTCACGGTGGGTTTGAACAGTCGACAGAGGATACTTAATCTTCCTAGGTGTTTCCAGAGGTCGTGTTTTTTTGTTCTGTTCACGTTTCATGTGTCGCCCGCGTGGCGCACTGGCTAGAGCGTCTGTTCTAGAGTCGCGGCGTGAGGAGTTGATCCTTACGTCACGGGTTCGAATCCCACTGTGGGACGTGGAGACTGGTCCTTCGGATGAGACCGTATAAACCGAGGTCCCGTGTCGCAGTAGGTGCTGGCACGAAAAAGATCCCTCACTGCTCAATGGCCGTAAGTGCCGAGTATAGGACAAAATTTGCAGCTCTCCACCGGCAAGTGGTGGCGTCTCCATATGAGTGAAAAATTCTCGAGAGGGACGTTAAACAACATACAAACAAAAAAAAAAGTTTCATGTTGTTGACGGGACATATGTAATTGATCATAGTTCGTTATCTTCACCCATTTCATTGAAAAAAAAAAGAAGTGGAGAGATGTCTACCCCCTACCTCTCCGGATCCTCGGCTTTTGCGGGTAAAGGAGCAGTGGCCTCTTTTGTTTCAATCATTGATCAGAATTTTTCACAGCTACTTTTATAGCAACATATTTTAGAAATCAGTATTTTAATTTTATAAAAATATGAGGTTATATGAGATATTTCCTCTATGGATAGGTCAACCAGTTCACTAGACACGGAATCAATTGCTACAGCGCAGAGAGGAAAGTACGTCAAACAACTTTATTGGAGGATGCAATTATGTTCTTAGTTTTAGTCCATGTTTGGATATCAAAATTGTGGTGAAAATTGAAATATCTAGCATCATTTAATGATCGCATATTATTCATTGTAACAATGTCTGATGAAAGAAACTCCAATTTGCTAAAAACGAAGTTATTGATTCGTGAAGAGAACTTGACCACAGCGTCAACTGGTAATACTACTAGTACCCCAGGATCCTTCTCTAGAACTGGTGTGGTTTCTCCAGAACCTCGCACATGGGAAGATGGGGTTACTAAAGGGCCCCAGAAAATGCTTATATACCAACAAGGTAAGTTGTGTTAAATTTTGAGTTATACACAGAGCTGTACTTTACCTGGATTTCTTATTACTTTAAACGCCACCTATATACTAATTTGCTTGTATATTTTGGCAAAATTACAATGTTAAGATAGATCCGTAAAAGAAAATGAAATTTTAAACAGTTGTACATAATTTCAATTGCAATTTTCATTTCATTTTCAGCCATTTTTGATTGTGGTTGATTACGATTTTTCGGTTTTATAGCAGATAACGGGCAAATATGGGCAATAATAGGGTGTGCGTTGACCATTGGAAACATAATTGCAGCATTGGTTATCTACACATACAAGCGAAGGTAGAGAGAGAGAGAGAGAGAGAGAGAGAGAGAGAGAGAGAGAATGTCATCGAAGCTTGATATAAACATTTCAAAATAAAACTTCAATACCAGGAAACAATTTATTTATGATAAAGTACATAGCTTTATAAATGCTGCAAATTCCAAATGAACAAGAAAATGTACATATCATAAATTGTTGCAATTAGCATGAGTCAAACATCACAAAGACAACTTCATTATTATCTTTATTATATTGATGAAATGCTTTTTACAAAATATTTCATTATAAGTCAGAGGATGATGAAATAATTTGATATTACTTCCTTACAGGAAACGGAGACTTAGACAAAGGGGGCGTACTCGAGATGCTGGCAGAGTTCCAAGTGATTCCCATTATACATTGCCCACTAATCCAGACCCGCACTATCTTCAGATTATGGACAACCCAGAAGGTAGAAAGAAAATGCCCACTCTAACATAATGTATTTTTTACGTTTTCATTTTTCTGACGTATTTTCCGAATTTAAGTGTAAATAATTGAACTAATTAGAGTTCAAAATCACTTTGATGCAATAATAAAAAAAATCGAGTGATCATTTCCGAGTTCCATGAAAGATACTTTGAGAGACACTTTGCGATTTCTCTTTCAGTATGTACTTGAAAATATACACCTCAAAGTATCCTTAAATTTAAAATGTTTAAAGTTTCTTTGCAAATAGGAACACTTTGATCGAGATACCATTATACCAAAGAGCAATTTTTTGCTTCTCAAAGTCACCATTTAGAAAAAATCTGGAACTTAAAAGCAACTTTCAGATGATACAGCTAAAAATATATGAATCAAAGAATATTGAAGGACTAATGGCATCTGGTGTAATTAATATTGATACTTTTGTAGGTACCTCAGCCAGAAAGAGACATGATTTGGACGACGGAGGTTACATCACAGCAATAGAACGGAACTCTGAGAAGAATTCTGGATACACAGATATTGTACATTTCTCCAGCAGTCAACGATCTAACTCCTACCAAGAAATCACTGAAGTGAGCGAGCTATCCCTATCCTCTCATTCGCCAGTTCATGGTACGCGCAGTTTGGATCCGCCGATGCGTATACACAAGAGACGAGACAAATATCTTGTCAATATCAACATTCCGTCGGACTCGATAGAGGAAAGTGTCAGACAAAGCTACGTCTTGTCGCCAGAGCTGATGGATGAGGAACTTTCTGAGTCCTTAACAAACTTTTCCAAGTATTTCACTTCCTTAAGTGTCAAGAAAAAGAAAGAAAGCTCAAACTGTGAGAAAGGTGAAGAAAGTACAACAAATGATGACATTATAGATGACGGGAACGAAATCAAAGAAAATAAGATGAAAGACACGGAGGATAAATCCTCATCTTCGTGTTTACAAAGCTATGATAAGGACACCATCGATCACGAGAATACCACCAGCGCTAGAGAATCTCAAAAGGGAGTAAAGAATTGTGATGGAAAAATGCCTCTTTTCAATGACTTGAAACTCAAGGGACAAAATAGTTCTAGTGTTATATCGCAGGAGTTGCCGATGGAGATACCCGTAGAACAACAAAGTGCCTCTCACATTAAGCGTCAGGATCAGACTACATCAGACGAGGAGCCACCAACCCGTGCTTCTGCCAACTTTGACCAGTCCTCAGTATCAAGTAGAGAAAACCTATATCATGAGAAAGTTAGCAAGGTGTCTCTACCAAACACAGAATGTCTTGAAAACAGAACGACATTGAAAGACAGAGACAAAATTGACAACAAAGATAGCGATCAGGCTTACGCCTTTCCTTCTCGAAACGAGAAAGTTTGGTGTAAGGAACCCGGTGGAATTAACGACAACTTGCTATTGAAGAAGAGCCGAGGTTTGATGTTGGCGCCAATGACTTCGTTTAACAGTGATCACTCTCTGAACAATTACATCCGGAAGAATGGCATTCTTCTTCCGGTAAAGACCGCAGCAGACGATAGTTCAGTAGCTGACAAGTCATACAAAAGAGATACCCTATAATGTGTTGATTAGTGTGTTAACCATGAATTCGTGTACTAGCATATGTAAAAACCGTCTAAAGTTTGAATAAAAAGGGCTACTGCTGTTTCTGCAGTGTCTAGCTTATAAACACAGAGTTTTAGGACGTCATACGTTCCCATATAGGCATTTGAAATCATTATACAGTGCCATTATTTTTTCAAAAAAAAAAAAAAAAAAAAAAAGAAAAAAAAAAAGAAAAGAAAAATAGATGACACCTAAACGATTTTGATTCAAAGATGAGGATGATTATAGTGCAACACATTGAATACGATTTTGCAATGAAACGGTGACTATGACTGCATAGTTTAAGCGATATTGAAATGAAGAACTGTCCTGTTTTCTTGTTTAAGTATTTCGTCCCCTTTCATCGTCCTGTTATCATATGCGGTTGTCTTATTGTGTCATTGTTTAAGTCCTGTTTCTCTCTCGTTTAATCGTGTATGATTGTCACATTGTACCATCATATCATCATAATTTATAATCGTTACAATGGCATTATCATAACCTCGAACTAAGATCCAGTTGTATGATGTTGGGATAAATGAATTGTTTGGATATTATGTATGAACTAAGATCTAGTTGTGTGATATTGGGATAAATGAATTGCTTGGATATTATGTAGGAACTAAGATCCAGTTGTATGATGTTGGGATAAGTGAATTGTTTGAATATTATGAATGAACTAAGATCCAGTTGTACGCTGTTTGGATAAGTGAATTGCTTGGATATTATGTAGGAACTAAGATCCAGTTATATGATGTTGGAATAAGTGAATTTTTTGGATATTATGTATGAACTAAGATCCAGTTGTATGATGTTGGGATAAGTGAATTGTTTGGATATTATGTATGAACTAAGATCCAGTTGTATGATGTTGGGATAAGTGAATTGCTTGGATATTATCTAGGAACTAAGATCCAGTTATATGATGTTGGAATAAGTGAATTGTTTGAATATTATGTATGAACTAAGATCCAGTTGTATGATGTTGGGATAAGTGAATTGTTTGGATATTATGTATGAACTAAGATCCTGTTGTATGATGTCGGGATGAATGAATTGTTTGGATATTATGTATGAACTAAGATCCAGTTGTATGATGTGGGATAAGTGAATTGTTTGGATATTATGTATGAACTAAGATCCACTTGTATGATGTTGGGATAATTGAATTGTTTGGATATTATGTATGAGCTAAGATCCAGTTGTATGATGTTGGAACAAGTGAATTGTTTGGATATTATGTATGAACTAAGATCCACTTGTATGATGTTGGGATAATTGAATTGTTTGGATATTATGTATGAGCTAAGATCCAGTTGTATGATGTTGGAACAAGTGAATTGTTTGGATATTATGTATGAACTAAGATCCAGTTGTATGATGTTGGAATAAGTGAATTGTTTGAATATTATGTATGAACTAAGATCCAGTTGTATGATGTGGGATAAGTGAATTGTTTGGATATTATGTATGAACTAAGATCCACTTGTATGATGTTGGGATAATTGAATTGTTTGGATATTATGTATGAGCTAAGATCCAGTTGTATGATGTTGGAACAAGTGAATTGCTTGGATATTATGTATGAACTAAGATCCTGTTGAATGATGTTGTGATAATCTTGACACTTATCTGAGTAGACACATGGGTGAATCAATATCTAATGAGACGCTATTTTATTGTCCACAATTAAATCAAGGTCACTTAAACTGACATTGATAATTACTTTTTTTAATGTTTCCTAAGACTGTATGTTCTTCACGTTCCTTTAGAAAAATTTGACCTCAGCCTTTCTGTGTTCTCACATTTTTACCCAGGCATCATGATTGAACAATTTGACTACGGCCTTTCTGTGTCCTCACTTTTAACCAACGCATCACGAGGGAACAATTGACCCCAGCCTTTCTGTGTCCTCACCTTTAACCAAGGCATCATGACTGAACAATTTGACCCCAGCCTTTCTGTGTCCTCACTTTTAACCAACGCATCACGAGGGAACAATTGACCCCGGCCTTTCTGTGTCTTCACCTTTAACCCAGGCACCATGAGTGAACAATTTGACCCCGCCTTTTCGTGTCATCACCTTTTACCCAGGCATCATGATTAAACAATTCACCCCGGCCTTTCTGTGTCCTCATCTTTAACCCAAGCATCACGAGTGAACAATTTGACCCCGGCCTTACTGTGTCCTCACCTTTAACCCAGGCATCATGACTGAACAATCTTGCGGATTGTGGGTCAGCTCTTCAATGTTTAGTGTTGGGAAACAATCTACATGTATCATGATATGCTTTTAGCATGTATAGTTAAGTTTTGTTATTAGCATTGGATATTTTTTCATTTTCGGTGAAGAGGTATTAATTTTAAATTGCTCTAATTGCGGATTCATCGATACTTACTAAGTATAATTGTCCCAGATTTTAAAGGATAAGTGGAGCTGTCTCAACGGGTAGTCTTAGATTATGCTCGGCCAATAATCAGGTGTGAGCTCTACTGACACTGGCGAAACCCTTCAGTTTATCATGTAATTCGAGGATCTTCATGCAATGAAAATGTACAATAAGCAACCTTTTCTCTCAGAAATCAAAAATAAGTGAAGAACTAGTAGACTAATTGTTCTCGAACAATTAGAGGTCTTTCCACCTTCTTTAAATTTCATATATTCTTCACATTTAACTCTCTACTGTTTAATTTTTTTTACAAAAGAAACCAGAAATGGCTTGAGAGATGGAAAAAATGAAAATTTTAAAAAAATTTGAAATGACCTTGACCTTTGACCTTGATTAAATATTCTAGTTCAAAGGTCAAGGATCACATTGCAATTAACCCCATGCTTCTATGACTTTTAGTTTTAAAGTTATAAGGTTTAATAGTAAGCACAAAGACATAAAAGGGCGGTAACTCATATAAGGGGTCATTCGATACTTTTGCACTGATAGATTGAAGTTGTGTCTAAAGACCCTGAAGACATTAGTGAAGGTTTTGTGTCTCTAAGGTTTATGGTTTCGGAGGAGTAGTGATAACAAGGTTTTCAGTAAAAGGGGCAGTAACTCCTAAAGGGGTAAATATTAGGGGATAAGTATGAAATATTTGCAATAGTTTTAAGAGGACATATTAATGATGCAAAGATACTTAGTATACATTGAAAGACAAAAGAGATATAAAAAGAGCTTAATTTCTCATATTTTGAATGACCTTGACCTTTGACCTTGACATAAATTTCAAGGTCTGAGGTCAAAGAATCTTATCCAGTTGGTTTCATGTCTCTACGACTTATCGTTTTGAAAAAAAATTATTTTTTCTAAACTTCAAAAACTTTCAGGGGCAATAACTCATAAAAGGGGTGGACGAATACTTTCGCAATGAAAAGATGAAAAGTCCCCTCAATTAGTCGAACACATTGGTGAAGGTTCCGAACCTCTATGGTTTACGGTTTCGAAGGAGTAGCGATAACAAGCTTTTATTGCCAAAGGGGTAATAACTCTTGGAGGGGTCAAAGTTCATGTACGCAGGGTCAACTGTAAAAATCTTTTAAAGAGTACATTCTTATAGACTATAAATCTTTTCGATAGATCTTGAAACATAGAATCACATCAGGGGGTGGAAAAATAATAATAATAATAACTAGTAGACTAATTGTTCTCGAACAATTAGAGGTCTTTCCACCTTCTTTAAATTTCTTGAATTTTTTTACATTTTACTCTCTAAGTTAATTTTTATACAAAAAGAATCCTTAAATGGCTTATAAGATAGAAAAAATGAAAATTTTAAAATTTTTGAAATGACCTTGACCTTTGACCTTGAACAAATATTCAAGGTCAAAGGTCAAGGGTCACATTGCACTTGACCCCATCCTTCTATGACTTTTAGTTTTAAAGTTATAAGGTTTAATAGTAAGCGCAAAGTCGTTAAAGGGCGATAACTCATATAAGGGGTCATCGGATACTTTTGCACTGAATAGATTGAAGTTGTGTCTCAAGACCCTGAAGACATTAGTGAAGGTTTTGTGTCTCTACGGTTTACGGTTTCGGAGGAGTAGCAATAACAAGGTTTTCAGTAAAAGGGGCAATAACTTTTAAAGGGGTTAATCTTAGGGGACAAGTATGAAATCTTTGAAATGGTTTTAAGAGGACATATTAATGATGCAAAGATACTTAGTATACATTGAAAGACAAAAGAGATATAAAAAGAGCTTAATTTCTCATATTTTGAACGACCTTGACCTTTGACCTTGACATAAATTTCAAGGTCTGAGGTCAAAGAATCTTATCCAGTTGGTTTCATGTCTCTACGACTTATCGTTTTGAAAAAAAATTATTTTTTCTAAACTTCAAAAACTTTCAGGGGCAATAACTCATAAAAGGGGTCGACGAATACTTTCGCAATGAAAAGATGAAAAGTCCCCTCAATTAGTCGAAGACATTGGTGAAGGTTCCGAACCTCTATGGTTTATGGTTTCGAAGGAGTAGCGATAACAAGCTTTTATTGCCAAAGGGGTTATAACTCTTGGAGGGGTCAAAGTTCATGTACACAGGGTCAACTGTAAAAATCTTTTAAAGAGTACATTCTTATAGACTATAAATCTTTTCGATAGATCTTGAAACATAGAATCACATCAGGGGGTGGAAAAATAATAATAATAATAATAATAATAATAATAATAATAAACAGAAGAATATCAATAGGTCTTTCCACAGAAAGGTGGAAAGACCTAATTAATGACATTTGACTACTGATTATGATCAGTTTAAGATTTAACAGAATTTTTGGCTAATTTCAACACTTGTATACGCGTTTAATAACACCTTGCAAGTGTTAACCGTTTTATGAAACAAAAGTTTAACAACTCCTAACACGCTAGAATTGGAAGAACATTTCAGGAGTTAAGTCAATTTTAGTTGTAACTTCAAAAGCGATCTCATTAGAATACAACAGATTATAGGTTACTGAACTTTAAATAACATGATTGACATTTAATTGTTATAGTAAAACATTCAGCG